ATGAAAGAGACTGACTTTTGTAATGCTCGTTTCGTACTTTTCCCATCTTTTTTTAGAACGCTTGATTTCCTCGGGATGACTCCCACTGGTACATCGTCGCCGATGCCGTCTTTCTCCTCTAAACTTTCACCGTCTCCATTAGTGAATGGAGATTGTACTTCACTTGAAACAACTGAAGAAGAATCGGCCATATTAATACAACACACAGCAACAAACCATGATTCGTTCGAGGCTCTGCGGCCGTAAATCTATTTTGATCACACCGCGGGGTTGTTGTGAGACGAAAGCAGCGCGGTAGACTGGGAACGAACACAAAATTTTCATCTCATTGACATGACAAAACTGAGGCAAGACGCCTTGAAAAATCGTAAATTTTTTCAACTTATTCTCTATGTTCCTTTCGGTAGCAGGTTGATCGCAAGTCGGCGAGGCCCAATCAGACTTGAAAGTAAACAATAGGGCAGATGAATTCGAATTGAATTAAGTTATATTTACATTGGGAAAAACAACTAAATTTTACACAGTTGAAATATAAAGTTGACAATTACCCGCATGTCATATGGAAATGGCAAGTAATGGTAGGACAGTTATATAAGGTTATCATTCAAAACACAGGGAAAATATCCTTATTTTTTCATCATTTTTTTCGCTCTAGCAAGAAATAATTATTTAAGTGTCATTTCGATTTCATGAATTAAAAAATGCTGTGGTTAGTAGTAAGTGAAGTTCTAGTAATTATTTTTTGCCTTTAATAATCTCAGTCAGGATTATTCATATTTCTGACTGAGGTTATAATGGACACTTTTAGCCATATCTGCTTTATAATTTATAGGCCACAACATTTTCGATATTTAAGCTTAGACATGATGTATTAAATAAAATTCCATCTTCTACTGGGATTAAGAGCGGATTTGCTTCTAGTGGTTGCACTTTGTCGTTTCAACACAATAATTTTGATTACAAATAAGTTAGTCTGTTCACAGTTAAAGTAGGACAACGAAATATTAAAAAAGGAAAGTGACAGGGGCAAAAAGGCGGAATACGACTTCCGTTTTGACGTGTACCAGGCTTTAGATAGTGGGCAAGACGGTGGAATAAAATAAAATAAAATAAACGTTAAAAGTCTAGCGAAAACAAAAGGCGAAAACGCTAGCTCATTTTTAAGGCTCCATTTCCGTCACTTTGAACAGCCTACTAAGACGAAAATCAGAAGTATTACACATAACTATCAATATATATAATATATATCTATATATAGATAGATACAGCCTAGTATTAGCTGAATAACGAAGATTTATTTAAAAATGGGATATTTTAAGCGCTGCGCCGGAAGGAAGTCAGCGGTGATACGGTACTTGACCGAGAAGGAAGCTATAACAAGCTATAACAAATGAATGCTAAATAACTTATGCCCATTTTCATTACATACCTGCTCTCCAATGCAACAGTTTCATATTTTGTGTTAGCGATCAAAACTGCAGCCTTCGATGGTGGTCTTTCTTATGATCTTCCATTTTTCTTTTCAGGGCGTCCACCGGCGGAAAAAAATAACCTGCTCTCAGGTTATTAAAACTGCTCGCCATATATGTATTAGTACTTTGTCACGGGCACGATAAGATAAATGCTGTCGACAAATATTTCCAGAGAGTTCAGTCATTTAAAAAAAACCACTTAAATTACGTCTGCCCACAAGGAGTGGGAGTTTAGATATTGCAAGTCGATATCTATATATATATATATATCTGCCCACAAGGAGTGGGAGTTTAGATATCGCAAGTCGATCTATATCAGCGACTTCGAGTACTAGTGACCTACGTAGAAATTGATGGGACGTTTTACATGTATAGGAATGCCATGCACGTGGGAGGCTAAACTAATTTGTGTCGTTCTTTTTGCATCGTGAGTGAGGCGCGAGGAGAAAGAACTAAGCCACAGAATGAGGGGGGAAATGCGGCAGGAGGAGGGGAGGAAGGAAATTCCTTACTCTCCCTCCGCCTCCCCCTCCCGCTGATTTCCCTCTCCCACAAGCTATTTCAGTTTTGTTTTTGTTTTTTTGTTTTTTTTTTGCACCCGGCGCCCGTTCTAGAAAGTCCCTGTAACTTTTTGGGTGCGAACCCGAATATTAACGAAACAAATGTGAAAAAGATGAAAACAGCAATGAAGGTCCATAGGCTTAGCCAAAAAGAAGTTTTAAAATAAAATTTCTGAACCTCGCATTCTGAAGCAAAAACATAAAATTAGAGCCACTGGCCTGGCAACACTACTGCTGACTACTAGTATCAAGTCGTCTCTTTTGTCTTCATTAAATATTATATTTGGGCGTCGATGGACTACGCTTGTGTGAAGTTTTTTAGGTGTATTAGGAATGTGTGAGTAGTGCAGTAGCGTTTTATATTTTAGGGGTTGGTTGAGATGTCTGAGGTGGAAGGCGTGTATTTATTTTTTACGTGGATTGGTAAGGACAGCGGGAAACTCACTGCTTATGCGCAATGTCTCCAAGCTGAATGTTTTCCTTATTTATCTCATGCACGATCACGGAGTTTTCCTTGACATCTTCTTTGGCTCTTGACAACTGAGGGCAAAAATATTGTCAAACTCTTGACAACAAGCCAAACCCGGTCAATTACAATAATTTTCGACAAATTTACCTTCAAATCTTTGAAAAATCACCCGGCTACTAGGTAATATAAGATAAGCTTAATAAGATTTATGAGGGTATCATTTCCGAGGTAAAAAATCATCCTCTGAGAGGACATGTCCTTACTGGCAATGAAAAAGGGCATTAACCAGCACCTATGATCCCGGAGGAAAAACATTCACGCCAGGTGCTGCGAGGACAATTATTTTCCAATTCACGCCGGGTGCTGCGAGAACAATTATTTTCCAAAGGGAAAATTTAAATTATTTACTAGTTTGTTTCACTCAGTGTACCCTGTTTTTTCAATACGTTTGTTTTCTATTGTCAGTTTGTTTGCCGTGCAATATCTTTGGTCCGTATGTAACGAGGATAAATGCTGTGTCGTGACACATCACGTGGCATACATTCGCTTCCCTTTGCTTGCTTACGTTCGCACCTATTGCGTGCCTATTGTTACTTTGAATCAAAACAAGCAATCTCGATAGACCAATTCGGCTAACTCAATGTTGTACCCAATTCAAACCCTTTGGGAATAAAACTTTTTGTTTCAGGAATTTCCATACATTTAAATGAGAATGCAAAATTATAATGGAAATACAATACACAAAGAATCTCAACCCCGGGAGATTTGGATTGGGTACAACATTGAGTTATCCGAATAGGTCTATTACTCTATTTGGGCGACGCCCAAATAACAAGGGAAGTGTGTAGAGGACGCGAAGGGAATGAAAAGGAGGAAAAAGTAGAGATTCTCCTCCCTTTCCCCCTCTCTCCTTCCTGTTTTACCGAGATGCCCTGCTAGTCTCCACGACGGCGTACAATTAATAGAGAGCTTAAGCAAAAACGACGGCGACAGCAACAAGAACGGCAAAAAAGCAATAGATTTGATAAGCAAAACAACAACTTTGCATGTGCATCACGCTTTTTTGTACATTTGTTTGCCCGTCGTTGCGCGACTACGATGTGAAAATGCCAAAATTCGCTTTTTGTGGAGGAAGTGATTACAATAGGTAGATTTTGTGACATTAATTGGGCAGTTATACTTCGATACTCTTTTGCGTTACGTGTTATCAGTGACATTCCGTGGAGCAGTTGTTATGAAAGTTTTGGCCCAAAAGACACGAGGTCACAAATACCATAATGCTCTTTATTTGTCACCCCGAAATTTTGCGTAAGCATTATCTTCAGTTTCTCTTGGGAGTTAAAATGGCTCCAAGAGAAACTGAAAACAATGCTTAGGCAAAGTTTTTGGGTGACAAACAAAGAGCATTATAGTATGTTATGCTATTTTCTGGAGTGGTCAATTGGAAACCTTGCCAGACAGTCTTTCTCTTTCTTTGACCGGAATAAAACTCGGCCCCAAACAAGCAAGACGAGTGAATGATTCAACGGCTAGCTTATACATCACTAGCAGAACGATGGAAGATTACAGAAATTCGCCGACCATCAAATTCTGCGCTGACTTATTCCCTGCTCACAGATGTCCTTCCGCTATATAAGTTTAAAATAAGACTAGAATGCGCGAGCGTGAATTGATCGAACGTCCTTTTAATTTCTAAGGCTTACTTTCCGGCAAATAAAATGAACTAAAGGTAAAAAGTGAAATAGAAATAGCAAAAAATTCAACTTCTAATTAAATCTTTTCTTATGGTTTCGAATATACCATTCTCGAAACTGAAAATGTTTTGATCAAAGCTGTGTAAATCGAACCGAAACTATTCATGGAACCTTGTGTTTATTTCCTGTATTTATCTCACCTATTGTATGGAATATGTGTGAATATCTTCATTATGAATCGGTATATTTCAAAGACGGCTACACAACGAGCAAGAATACTATCGACCGACAATATACGGAGCGGGGGTAGCTGTAGTGTCAACTATTACTAGTATAGTACTTGTAGCGTGAAGTGTCATCCTGTAATTAAACGCGTAGGCATGTGATAATCAATCGGCACAATTTGCTGAGCATAAATTCATTCCTAGTCAGTAGAACTCCTTGAAACAATTCGAATCAAAGCAGTTTTTTATTTATGAGTTCCTGTTTACCATTATCAGGATAAAATAAGCAATATTCCTGTAACATATGAAGGCATATTTTTGGAGAAAATAAAATGGCTTCAGAAAAAGTGACAGATGAATTGAGATCAGTTGAGAGCACTGTGTGTATAGAAGACTTAGGTAAGAAAAAATTTCAGCCATAATGATAGATAAATTTATAGATAAATAAATATTAGTTGGGGGGGAGGGGGCAGACATGTTCTGTGCTTCGGTCAGTCATGCCACATCTCCACGAAATATCCACGCAACCACGCGCGAGGTAACTTCAACCGCGTGGTTAAAAATACCTCGAGACAAATGTTTAGGATTTGATGCGAGCGAGACTTGTCCCATCGACTTACGAATCCTTAGACGCGTCTTGTAATCAGACTCCTCGTCTCTTTCGGTTAATAATGTACCCTGGGGTCGACGAAAGGGGGCTGCACGGTTACGGTTATGGCAAAAAGGAGAGACTTTTCAGCTAAAGGCTGTCTATGGAAAACATGTCAGTTACTTTATACAAGGACTCGAGTTCCGGAGAGGCTCAGTGGTCATTTCAAGAGCTTTCGGACTCACTGACCATCTGAACAAGTACGACTGAGGACTTCAAACAGAAGATTGAAAAAAAAAACCTGCGAAAAGTAGAAACGAGGAAAAAAACGGATCGAGTTAACTTTCGCAAAGACTTCTGGGACTGTCTCTAGGGACAAGGAAAGATAATGGCCAATAGGGACTTAAAGATCCAACAACTCGAACGGCAAAAAAATAATAGGTTAAATAAGCAAAATGTACAACAACTTTGCACGTGCATCACTCTTTCTTGCAAATTTCTTCGCGGACAACGTGAAAATACCTTATTTCGCGTTTTATGGAGAACGCAAACAAGCAACGATGAAATTTATTAAAACATTGTCCCTTGGGATTCAACTCCAGGAGGGTTCGCCTACATTTGACAAACTAACTGGGTAGAAATAATTGCGATAAAGACTGACAGAACGCAAATTCACTTTTTAAGAGACGTTGTCGTTGCCGTCGCGTCGTTGGATCTTAAAGTCCCCAACTGCTGACCCGCGTCTGACCCGCACGACGACCTGCGCGTTCTCAGTAACGATCCCAGAAACAATTGCGAGACGCATTTCGGCTCCAGTTCCCGTCTGATTTCTTACAATAGGGACCTTAAGATCTCAGGAAGGCGACCGCAGTGAAAACGTCGCTGAAAAAGTGAATTCGCGTTCTTTCAATCTTTATCGCGATTACTCCAAGTCACTTTGTCAAATGTAGGCGAACCCTCCCAAAGTTGAATTCCTCAGAACCATATCTAAGTTCAAAAAGAGAGAGGAAATTTCGTCGTCGCTCGTGTACTTCCTCTGTACATCGTGAAATTAGGCATTTTCCCGTCGTAGTCGTGCAGTGACGGCAAAGAAATGTACAAAAAAGCGTGATGCACGTGCAAAATTGTTGTTTTGCTAATTAAACCTATTGCTTTTGTGGCGTTCCTGTAGCCGTCGCCGTCGTCATCGGAACTTAAGGTTCCTAATGATGACAAGAAGGAAAACACATCACCACAGAAAATTTAGTGCACTGGCCGGGAACCAGCTTTTGACGCCAAGAATCCTGGAATCATGACAATCATGTGGGTGATCATTATTTTGGTTTACGATCGCCTACATTAACCCAGGACCGAGTTCTCAGCTCAAATGCCGCGCAATTCATCGTACTTCTCCAATTTCCAGCTCTAAACCAGTCAACCGAACATACATGGTTTTTTCTTAGAACGTGTGGAAATCTCGTGACATGCGGGTGTTCACTGACAGGGGAGGGGTGGGGCGGAGCGTCGTGGAGTGTTAGGTTTCGGGCGCGATAAGACTTCTAGTTTATCTATTCTTGGTTGATTTTTGTTCCCTCCCTCTACTTTCCAATGAGATGGGAAATAAAGTGAGATAGAAAGAATAGATGATTTAATTTCCCAGAAGATTTGGATAGTTTGTGCCTTATCTAAGGGCCCAATGTCTTTACAGAACCACCGATGGTAAAAACAGATTTGAAGTTTTTCTTCTGTTAAAAGATATTTTCTCTCGGTATAGCTCTGGCTCTGAGGAAGGCTAATTTTGTTAGCCGAAACATTGGCCTATAATAAATCAGTCCTTTGATGTAGTGCCAGCCCTGTATTCAGTTTTGTTTTAGTTTTTCAACGCCTCTGAACGCAAATCAAGACATACACATCATCCGAAATAATGTTGTTGCCTGATTTATCACAAGAGATTAAATTTTTAGAATGAGAGCCAATCGAAAAACATGGCAAATGTTACATTCATTTTTCAAAAGATATTAACAGCTGACGCGATTAATTTAAGCAACTTTTTAATTAAATGTTTTGAATAGACAGGAAGTCTGATATGAGAAAAACTGTAGAGCGGAAAAAGGAGATGAAAATTGCTTACTAAGGAAATGCATTTTCTAATTAAAAATTTTAGAAAAATTAAATTGGAACAGAGGATCCACTCTTCTGTGGTTAGAGTTTTTTTTTTAATCATTTTCTTTTTCTTTTCTCGCCTCTCGATTTGAAGGGCAAAATAAAAACTGAAAAACCTATGACTTTCACAATATCAATATTGACTGAAACGGTTTTGTCACAAGTGGAAGTGTAGATACATTAGAAGTATGCGAGCTCCTCCTTTAGAAGCCTAAACCGTTGAAACCCATAATTCAGTGTGTATTGGTTTGCCACTGTTTGATTGGCACTTCTATTATCACAGTGTTATGGGACCATGTGAACCAGGGGCACCCAACGAGGATATAGTTCAAAACCACTTAACGTAGCATTTTTGAACGTATTTTAGTATTTAAACGGTAGATATAGGCATATTTTTATCCCCTAAAAACTTTTCCTCTGTTCGAATTTCCTAGCTGAAAGTCTAGTGATCCGAAAATGATAGGGATCAAAGCTTACCTTTTCGAAAATTTCAGCCAGGAAAAGGCTCCCGAAAATTCTAGGTGGCCTTTTTTAGGGTAAAAATCCGTTAAAAATGGGTAATTATACCATTTTGTAGATGTTCGAAAATCCTAGGAGTGGCAGGCAAGCAAGAAATTTTACAACAAATGTTCCGAAAATTCTAGATCTCAAATCGTCTTCCGAACAGATATTTTCCGAAAATTGCCGTTGGGTGCCCCTGTGTGAACCCAAAGTGTTATGCCAAGTTGTGACATTCAAAAGATATGTTTTGAACAACATCAGGTGATGCGGTTCTCAGTGAAGGCTTTTTTGGGAAAATACATGAAGAATTTTCAGGAAAAGGCAAGACCGAACCCGCCAGGTGATAAACTGTATGCAAATTACCCGATCAATTTACTTGGAACGGACAAAACACACCAGTTGTTAATTGCTTCCTCCTAAAAGAGCCTGGTAATGTTTGATAAGCTTTCCGTTGTCTGGGAAAAGTAATTAAACAACCTGAAAATATAAAATATAAAATAAGAAAAAGTTATCCTTTGAAATAAAAATTTGATTTAAAAAAATTGCTGTGTAACTAAATCCAGATTGGCTTGACTAGTAACTTTACATCCTAAGTTATAAATCAAAGTGAATTCATCATTCTGAAAGGTACATTTTCGAGGACCAAAAATAATTTTACATTGCATATCCGCGTCGCGTCATTATCCTGTCTTGGCAGAGCATAATATCGTTTCTGTATTGCTAAGTCCTCACGTCTTTTCTTAATCAGCCATGTTTGAGCTAATTAATCTATGCAAATACTTCCCTAATCGCTAGCTTAAAGAAATTGACAAGCTCAGAGCCATCGTTTATTTTTAAAACAGTGCGACAAACCATGAATGACGATGCTTTAATCTCAAAATGCTTCTTCCTTGAAACCTCTGCTCATCAAGCATCAAAAAATCTGGACTCGTTAATCGTTTTCTGTATTGTTCTGCACGCTTTGTCTTTTATTCCGGCGGCAATTGGCAATGGAATCATCTCGTTAACGACGTGCAAAAGTCCTTCGCTTCAAACACCTTCCTTTGTCCTTCTGGGCTGTACGGCGTTTGCTGACGCACTCACAGGATTCATTGCTCAGCCGATAGCAATGGCCTCTTTCGTGGTCAAACTTCGAAAGCAATTTCCTTCTGCCTGTTACCTTGATGCTGTTAAAGAGTGCTTAGGGTGGCTCCTAGGAGGTATTTCCTTGAGTATCCTAGCTTTATTGAGTATTGAACGCTATCTTGTCCTACATTTGGGTCTCCCACGCTATTGTGCAGTTGTCAACGTGAGACGTGTGTTAGTGGTAGTCGCCATGTTCAGCGTTTCATTGATCATTATGGAAGTACTTCGCTTTCATGTTCTTAGCAACAAGAGTTACGTTGTTATTCATCTGCCTTTTATGTTTCTAGGTCTTCTTATACTCACTCTGAGTTACTTAAGAATACATCGTCATATAAGGCGACGAACAATGATAATTGAACCAAAGCCATCGCAACAGCTACAAGAAATGAACTCTTTTGACATTAAAAAGTACGAGAGGGTAACATCTGCCGTCCTCTTCATCGTGTGTTTTTACTGGCTATTTTTCGCCCCTTTTGTGTGCGTACTCGTTGCTTACTTGATATTAGGTTTCACGGAGCGTATAGAGGGCGCCTATTACATCACAACAACAATAGTTCTCACAAGTGCAACAGTTAATCCTATCCTTTATTGTTGGAAGCTAAGGGCACTCAGGCGAGCAGTAGTGAAGAATGTAAAGAAACTATTCTACTTGAGCTCCGACTAGATATAACGATTATCTTTATGTAAGTGGATAGAGGAAACAGCGTAAACCATGCTTATCAGTTATCATCCTGTTTTAGGCAGGCCTCAAAACGCATCCTAACCTTCGTTGCTGGAAGCTAAGGGCACTCAGGCGAGCAGTCGTGAAGCATGTAAAGAAGCTATTCTACTTGAGCTTCGATTAGAACTAACGATTATCTTCATAAGAGGACAGAGTAACAGCGCAAACCATTCTTATCTAGTAATCAATATGAATAGTTTACCCAAGCCTACAAGCGGAGCTCCTGAAAATACTAACTATTTACCTAAAGACTCAATAACGAGAAAAGGCCGGGATGACCAAGCTTAGTGATCGGCGGGCACTAGGGGGTAAATTTCCCCTAGAGACAAGCAATCAACTGGCTTTTAAACGTTATAGTGGTTTTGTTAAATGATTAACCATGAATTTTCTCTAGACTGGCAAAATAGTCAACTTTACATATAACTAGATATTTTAAAAGACAAGGAACGGAATTAACTCAAGAAATTGTTTAATTCTGAGGTTTTTATAACGCTATTAAAACTACAACGATGAAAAAAAGTGCCATTTATCAGATCTATTATGTATTTCAGCAACCTCATTACCAGGGTCTTTCATCCCACACCCCAGCACATGAGGTGGAGATATGAAGGAGGCTGGAATTCCAGTGGTTCCAAAATCTCTATGGTAATTGCAGGAATCGCTCTGTGCATTCTTTTTAAGGAATATTATCAGTAGAAAATATTCCAAATAAGGCCATTTAGTTATTTAAATAAGCAATCAAATAGATTAATAGCCCTCGTAGGCGCTGGAGGTTTGGTTTCGGCCATCGATCCGCCGCACGTTGTGATTGACAAATCCGCAATGGATTTTCGCTCCACTCTATTGCCGCCATAACAATAGCTTTGGCACAAAGTCAGCTTAAATCCCAGCAGCCATGCAGGCTAAAGGGTTTATACAAGAGCCGACATTTCCTCTTCACTAGTTTACAAAAACGAAAATAGAAGGCGAAAACAAAAAAACCTTCCCGGTTACAACACTAAACACTACTTTTAAGTTATTCTTTTAAATTATAGCAAAGAAACAGAACTATGTAAAACAATTCTTTTCATACAATTTAATTGGTGTATTCACTAATAATTAAAAGCCTAATTTTTGTCTTTCACCGTGGCCGTCTTCATCAGAGAAGCAAACACTGTCAACACCATCTTCGGTTTGACTTCAACCAAGTCTTCAGGCAGGGCGTAGGTTGTCACTATCTTTCGGGCCACACTCAGAGCGTATTTAGCGTTTTCAAGTTTCTCCTAATCAAGAATAACAGCATTTTACAATTTGTCAAAGACGTCATTTCTTGCTCTTCCCCTACCCCCCCTTCTCTCCCAGTGAAAACATTGTAAGGAGGGGGGAAATATTCTTCCCAGCACAACGTTTGTTTTAAAACTTGTTATGATCTTTCCTGCAAGTCTTTCGAAGTATTCATGTGTTAAGGCAGTCATACCTGACTGCCAAAATGTAGACAATGGCCACTGACTTAACTAATGTTTTATTCGCAAGAACTGAAGACATATAAACAAACAGACATGCATCAAACATATTTCTTCAAAACTAACCTTTTCCAGACGCTTTAAGAAATCCAAGAGGATTTAGAAAATTATCGCTTCCCATTTCAAATCGTAAGAGGCCCTAATGTTTTGAGTCTCGCTCTCGAGTAACCCTCAATCTACCTCAGTGCGCCCTATATCCCACCCACTTTCAGAAAAAAAACCGCGCGTTCCGGGATTCTCGAGTCAAAGTATGCGCGCCTAGGAGGGTTGCACACGCTAGCCATGTTTGTTTGACTCTTCTGTCTGCGCCAAGCTAAGAGTTTGGCGTGAGTGTTGACGTAAATTTTCAAAATTGACCAAACAATCAATGGGTACACCAGGAGCTGGCATACTGACATCCTGGCATACTGGCTCCACTCCACCGTCGCTGCCCGGCCCCTACGCGGTTTTCGTGTAGATTTTCTCGATGCGCTATCTTGGAGCCTGGAGCAGGCTACCTTGCCTACTGAATTTAATAAGGAATGCGAATGATATTCCTTACTTCATACGTCCTGCCCCCTGACACCAAGGCATACTTCACGGTACCAGGCTTGATAGCATCAACCAAATCCAAAACTGCCTTGCTGGTAGAAATGGCAGGATCCTTAAATGAGCTGATGCTACTGGACTTTTTCGCTTTCTTTAACTGCAAGACAAACGTAAAAGTAAAACTCATTTAGGTCGCAAAGCAAAAATTCTTCGCAGCCACCCTATAACAGATAGACAGCATCTAATATGGTATTATTAATAAATTAATCAAATTAATCACGAGAAAGGAGAGCCCTTAAAATCCCCTTACTATGTATGTACAAACCTTGTACAATGCCCAAGCGTATTAACGATTTTAAGATATCGTCCACACTTGAAAACTATGTGAACGAATCAAGCTAAGCATGCACGCGCATAACTAAAATAAAAATACCCAGCTCATCAAATAACTAAACGGGCGCGTGGAACCTATATTTTTTTGGTTTATTTAAAACTCGACCATTTATATGCATTTTAGCATCGCTTTCACACTAAATAAATAAGAATAGGAGGCTTCAGAAATGGGGAGTTTCCGAAAAAGATGACGTCTGTTTAAGAACAAAGCAAAAGCTGTTTTATAACTACAGTGTAAGTAAGCAAAAGCGAAATTGTTTCTGTGGAAATACAACAACAACAACAACAAGTTTATTCAGTATTACCATTTTGTACAGGTGTTACCGATTAAAATAACAATAATAAACAGTTAAGTTTAAGGAAATACAGGTATGATGGAATGGTAGAATTAACTATGTTTCTTTCGTCTTTCAAATGCCTGAAAGATGTAATTAGCAGCTAGCCTCCTGATATGTGAATCAGTATTGTTAAAAAGAAAACATGCGTGCATGCATGTGGAGGAGGGAGTAAGGGGGGTACGAATATCGAAAAATCGCACAGAAATTCGTATAAACACCGCACAGAATAACATAAGAAAACCGCATTGAGATTACCTGAAGATTTCTAAATACCGCAAACCGCTTGGTTTTGTAAATTAAAATAAAAGTTCCCTAAAAACCGCTCCAAAAATCGAGCACTGACAGCATCACCGCGGCGTTCGAACAATGTGGAAAGCCCAAGGCAGACGGCCCCATCATCCATCATGGACCTTTTTGATGTAACGTATTGTGAGGTAATGTATTTGTAATGCAATGTAATGACATGCCATGCAATCCAGTGCAGTGCAGCTGTACAGTAACGTCGCATATTAGAATTCAACAGTATGTACATTGGTTAGCGCAAAGGCACAAAATGTCAAGTAGCGTAACGTTAATGTTTGTATCTGAAAGATAGTAACGCCCTTAACATACAGTTAGAAAAACAAGACCTTCAGCACACGGTATGAATTGGTTTTTGATCTGACCTTTTCATTGACCCACGCGACAATATCTCCTTCCTTCATGGGTTCTCCACCTGGCTTTGAAGGTAAGCGGGAAATTGTGTATGCCCGCATTTGTTGCCACACAATAGCTGAGAGAGATAAAAAATATATACTGAGTTCGAGGTACAGTCGAAGCTCTCTTAAATACGGATGTCTTGTCTCCTGACAGTACGGGCAGTTTCCCTTGTCCTAGGGGAAAGCCCTACATTTGCTGTATTTCAACCCGGGCCCCGTGGGAACCAACTTGATACGAAAGTCATTTACAGTCAACTCTCTATAAGACGGACACTTTTGGGACCAGCACTAAGCGTCCGTCTTACAGAGAGTCAAATAAAGGGAGTAAAGAAAGGCAGGGACCAACTCTAGGTGTCCATTTTACAGAGGTGTCTGTCTTATAGAGAGTCAAATAAAGGGAGTAAAGAAAGGCAGGAACCAAATCTGGGTGCCTGTTTTACAGAGGTGTCTGTCTTATAGAGAGTCAAATAAAGGGAGTAAAGAAAGGCAGGAACCAACTCTAGGTGTCCATTTAATAAAGGTGTCTGTCTTATAGATAGTCAAATAAAGGGAGTAAAGAAAGACAGGGACCAACTCTAGGTGTCCATTTAATAAAGGTGTCTGTCTTATAGAGAGTCAAATAAAGGGAGTAAAGAAAGGCAGGAACCAACTCTAGGTGTCCATTTAATAAAGGTGTCTGTCTTATAGATAGTCAAATAAAGGGAGTAAAGAAAGGCAGGGACCAACTCTAGGTGTCCATTTAATAAAGGTGTCTGTCTTATAGATAGTCAAATAAAGGGAGTCGAAAGGCAGGAAAAGAACTCTTTGTCCATTTAATAAACTCATTCTTATAGAAATTTGATAAAGGGAACAAAGAACAAGCGGGACCATCTCTTGTCCATTTTATAATGCCTGTCTTATAGGAAAATAAAGGGGGTAAAGAGTCGGGACTAACCCTCTATCCGTTTTACGGACACTCCGTCTTGTAGAGGACAGACGACTGTAGTAAAAAAGACATCTTTGTCCAGAGAGGTAAACTCATTCTCACGGAAATTTGATCTCGCTAACACCAACAAGCGGTCTTCTTTTATAATGGTGGAAAATATACAGTCGACGCTCTCTCAGGTAACGGACACTTCTACAAGACGAACACCTCAGTAAAACGGACATCTAGAATTCCAGAGAGGTTTAAGGCTGCTTCTACACGAATCCAGATAAAAATTATGCGGTTACAAAAATGTCCGGATTCGTGAAGGCATGGCCTGAGCGCCTTATAAGGAACAAGTCTCAGAGATATGAAAGACCTGGGACGACTACAGTAAAACCTCGAAAAGAGACTGGCAAAATAATGTTCGCGACAACAAGATTTTGTTGCATCGAAGTTCGTTTCCATATATTTTACTCTCAGTGAAGCGAAAAATATCGCTAGTTATTCTGGGGATTTCGTTTTGTAGGGCTTCGCCAAATCGCGATTTCACTGTATGTGTGACGAGAGCAAAGGTCTTTAAAAGTAACGTAATTGATGGCTACTTACCAAGCGTTAAGGTTTCGTTGCAATCATGAATATCCTTTCCTTCAATACTAACCAATGAAAATTTCATTTGGTCTTTACCAATCTCCACTGCATAATTGCAATTTTCTACTTTCTTCATGTTTCCTCCAATCCCACTCATCTGCTTGAATGACGAGGGCCTGTTTACTTTATCCCAACTGACAGTTCCCGGCTTTATTTGATCATAAATCTACAACAGATAACGGTTGGTAACGGTTTGGACGAATGATAAACAAACTACAAGATTGTTGAATCCTGTTCGGGACTGAGTCATGTTAACTTTGTCATTTGCTTACACCTGTTAATCAGTCTCATTTGTCGAAAAACGGGTCAAAAAATTCTAAAACTGGTAGCAAGGCAGCTTTGGCTTTCCATTTGGGTCATTCAGTTCGAAAAAAAACCTGCAGGACTGCCATTTTAGACTTCGCTGCTCCAGGAAATTTTCCACTTTCGTCAATTGAAGACAGGCGAAATTAAGTACCAATAAGGCATTTATTTCAATGTATGTTAATCAACCTCAACGTACTCCAACGACCTTTATACCATTGACGATTTCCATTTGTCAATTCACTTTTAATCACTTTTCTGTTTCAAAACAGCTTCCCCTGCCGCCGGAGGAGCCCCAAGCATATAAGAATTCTCACCGTCTCGTGAAGGGGCAGAAACTGAAGATTTTGGTTCAACTAAGGGTGTTCAGCATTCAGCACCGCAAGACAATATTTTTAACCATAAACGACAAGAAATGATGAGTTCAGACTCTCTTGTTTAGGGTTGTGCGTAAAGAAATATCTATATATTAGACAAACGCTTTGATAGTGTGTTCACTGGTCTTCTTTGGGGGTCAAAGTCAAAGAAAGCTTGAACCGCTCCCCTATTGGTCTCCTTTAGGGGTTTGATTGTAGTTTTCTGACGACCATACCCATCCCTAATAAATGGGAGTCACCCCAATTGCATCCATGCAACCACAGCCAATACCGCATTCCTTCCAGTTGTCATAGATGGAATACACTTTTTAATTATCAATCAATGTTTATCATTAGGTGCTTCTTCCTAGCCACCCATCCATAAGTCCATCCATTCAGCCATCCGTCCATCAAAACAACTCATTAAATCAATCACTTGATCAGTGGGACGAACAATTTAGCTACCAACTTAACAAGATGATCACCCTTTACCTGTAGCAACACCAGTCCGTTGGAGAGGTCTTTGTAAAGGTGACTCACATAAGGGGATACACCAATGCTGTTCATCCAGTTACGGTAAGCTACAAAGAACATAATTATGGCAATATCTGAATATTTTGTTTCATCTTACAGTCAAGCCTGGTCAAGCGTATCCCCCCAGATTTCATCAATGAATTCGAAAGCTGAATCTTTAAGTCCTTGCCGCAACAAGTATCAAGTTCAAATCTGTATTCCTGCACGCGTAATTAGCAGTGTTATTTTCACGATGATTCTCTGTTTTCGGCAATCTTTGAATGGACAAAATTGTGTCGAAGTCATTTACATCACATTCAAGAAACTTGAACCGGTAGAAATTTCATGATTACCTCACGTGTGAGTTCACTGCTCATTACGCACACAGGAATGCAAAGATGAATCTTAAATCTACTACCAACTGGCTCACCTTTGGAATAATAAATTCATTAATGGAATCTTGATCGTACGCTTGATCTGACTGGACTGTAAAAGCACGCTAAAAAGCCAACTTTCATAATGAACGCCAACAGCGATAACCATGTGCTGATGGTGGTGACGATGATAACATCGAGGAGGAGGAGGAGGAATAGGAGAAGGAAGAGGGGTAAGAATCAAGAGATGGTAGTCCTCCCGTGGAAGAATGCAAGAAATCAGCTAGAGATCAAGAATGAAAAACTAAAGGCGGAACAATAACAAGCAACTGACGTTAGACCCATTCTGTCTAGTAGAGAGTGACATTTCGGACACACAAGTGAGTTTTGGCCTTGACCATTCGGCTTGCTGCTTAACCCGGACCTACAGATCAGAACCTCCAAAATCCACAACAGAGTTGATGCATGTTTGTTACCTCACAGACTAATCAAGAAGGGCAGAAACCATTCTTTGAGGCAATATCTACTGACAATCTACCTGCCCAACTATTTGTAAAAAATCTTATGTCGTCAATGCTGTCCTCTTAATTGTAATTATTGGTATGCAGTAACATGAGGTTCCGGGTGTCGGTTTTTCAATGAAAGGCTACACAAAACTGAATAACAATAGAAAAATCACAATATCAAACTAGAGCTAGTCAAAACAAGGATTCTTCATCTGTTGTCAAATTTACAAACTTTTACTCTACGGAATTTACTAACTTCTCTCTTCTCTGGTCTCCATTTTGGGGTCTTCGTGGTCCTCGTGACTCTCCATTTTCTCATTGGTCAAAGGAAGCAAAGCTGGATACGTGTTGAACAAGTTGGCTACAAAAGCCATATTCAGCTTAGTGTTTCCTGACGCTACATCCTGAAAAAAATTTAACATACCCTTATAAGAAAATTTGATGATAGTATTCATGATATGAATTTTGAAATAACCGGTGATCCCTGCAATCTGATTGACTCTTAGCAGTATGATTCATTCACGATTCACACTATGTTTTGCTCCGTATCACATCTGTTCTAAATCGCGTCATTCATTTTCTAAATCCGCGCCATTTCTGTTTTAAATCGCACCATTTCGATCTATCAGGATATTGCATTATTTCTGTTTCTGGTACAAAATGAGACGTAAAAGCCTTTTTGCTTGCACTTTTTAACAACCCACCTACTAGACCAAATATTAGCTCTGGCTGAATTGCTGTCATATTTTAAAATGGCTGTAATTAAGTGGTAGTTAAACTTAAGTGGTGCAATTTTTGTCTGAAATAATACTTGTTTTCTCAAATCGCGTATAATTTCAGACCAAATTGCACTACTCAGTTCAATTACCATTATATATCATAAATGATAACACCTTAAGAACTAATCCATTATAATTCATCAAATCCTCGAATTGACATGTTTCATGATTATGGATGTTAGTGGAAGTGTTGCGACAGCTGTAAATTCAGTTTCACCAACTGTAAAATTTTAGAACGCGGGGGACAGCCAGAAGACGTATTTAAACATTAAACTTGGATCAAAGAGGACGATAAATGATAGTTGACAGTCTTCGTTGGCTGTCTTAAACATCGTTGGCTGTCCATTACACTTTCGTTTTCGAAAGCGGAAATATGTTGACCTTTAATCCCGAGCCCCAATGATTTCCATTTCCCTCCGTATAGAGGAAAGACATATCATCTCCGTTTTGTGTTATAAATCTCACTTTTTATCTTTCACATAAAGGACGCAACACTTCAAATCGCTCTTCGCTATTTGCAAATGTTTCTCCACTCTAGATCTATGCAGTGGTTATTGGCAGGAAGTGACACATCGTGATGACAAACTACTTTAGTTACAGCCATGCAAATCTTTTGAACCAGGTCACCTAATGAGAATTTCCGGTCAATCAGTCTATAAAAAGTGATTTAAGTCGGGGTAAAAACCGCTAGGACCGAAATTTGACTTATTCTATAAATTTCCTTTGTTGTTATTTTGACAATTGATGGGTTTACAGTAGACTTTTATAGACGTGATGGAGGACTGTAGGTACGTTATACTGATTTCAGGTAACGGAAAACTTCCCGTAGGAGACATGGTAAAAGTATATTCATAAAAGTAAGAGTGCTCTTTTCGGGGTGCTAAGATTGGGCGATTGGGTATATAGTTTTCTCCTTTTTCTCTTATGGGGGTTTGGGGCGGTTAAACCTTGCAGGGAACTTCAACTTCTATTGCTTTGCACGTGGTATGTACATATTTGTTATGCATACCTAATCTGAAAATAAATTAATAAACATTTCAACGTCATACCGCGGGGCGCACAAACTTCTTGCATCCGATGCTGTCTGCAATTAGTAACATTTTTTCAGCCCTTTTCTTAAGATCTTTTTCCTGTAGCAAGAATAACAGTTGTGTTAGTGACCAAGGACAAATTCAACCAAGCTGGATCATTGGCCGATGCTTATTACAGAGTTTTGTTTAAGCAAATGTAATTGAATTTCTAGAGAGAAAATGAAGATTTAACTCTGTGGAGAGCTGCAGCCTTAAGGCAAAGCCCCCATGTTTTGGTATGCGCGGGCTAATTACCTGTGAAGTTATGCGCAGTAAAGATGCGCAATACAATACTAAGAAATAACTTTAAGTGGCTCATGTACCGAACTCATTCCAGCTACCCAAAGTAGCACTAGGAAAAGGCTACCACATCCAAAAAGCAAAGAGGGCCAAATACTCTCGGAAACTTTACGATAGCTTATCATATTTGGACTCCACAAGTCTTTTCAAAGAAGTGTAACGAGTTCGACAACAAATACATTCAAAATCGTCATTCCAGTGTAAAAAGAAGCTGGCTGTATCATGGCTGTGTGTCCATTCCACTATTTTAGTATTTCCATTCACTCGCACCCCGATGGCAACCATCAATTTGCCCATCCACCCTTTTTTTTGTATTTGTAAACCTCCCTTCAATGTTTCAGGTGGCTATTTTTGAGCTTCGCTAAATTCAATGGGGGCATTTCTTATTGCCTGAATTTGGCTTGATTTCTTGACACAATTCACTTGAAGATTTGCTCATTCTATTTCTGACTCACTTGCAAAATACCAGCGACTGGCTCGTGTTCAATTCCTGAAATTCGTGAAATTCGCCACAAAAGGTAAGTGTAGCACTCTGAATCCTGAATAGAAAATAAACAACCATATCATAAGCTTGACAAGTCAGAATGCCATATGTCAATGACAGTATGCGCTCGAAAACGTTCTTTCTCAGAATCTATAATCAGAAACAAAATACACTAGTTGACACAAACTTGTTTTGTTTTCCCAAATGGGTTCGCTTTTTCCCGATTAACGATTCCTTTCACTTCATTTCGATCATATAACTCTGTTTAAAAAACCACTGAATGAATGATTTACAAACCAAAGTACTTTCCTCATATTATCCCTTTTTCACGAGTGAGGGAACTTCTGGGATTTTTAAAAATCGTTCGCGTATTTCTGGACCTGGCGTTCCTCCACCCCTGAAGAAAATGTAGGCTCACTGGTATTCTAGTAAAAACTATATACTGTTTTAGACCAAAAGGGCTAAGAAAACTAATATGTTTTGGAGACGCTTATGCCTACGTAGCTTTGATAAGCGAGTATCCCCCTGGGTTCGAATCAATTCGGAGGGTCAGATGCTCTCTTTGTTCCCGAATATATCATTTTCTGATACCTTGATGTCCTCATTGAAATTTGTCACCCTACGCATGTGCCCTTCCTCTTTCAAATGATAGTTAAACCATCGTAATAGAAACTCCTCTGGAGAAAGGTCTTCAATAGTTTCATCATTTTCCAGGAGATGTGGCAGTCTTTCGTGGATGCTTTCGCCCAGTGCCTCGTCAGATGTCGTCTTGGAGGTAATGTTGGAAAACAAACCAATCTACAAAATAGGTCAAATAGTGTTTTCGGAAACTAGTAGCTCTAGTAGCTAGAGAAAAAGTGTCCAAGTTGGTTCACCGTGTAAGGTCAAACGTATTGGTCATTTTTTAATTTTATTTAGTGGTACAGTATTCAGCATCTTTGCTGAGACTGCTTCAAGCCCCAATAGGTGGCAAATATCGACTTTGATTGTGTGGTCTTTCTACTCCTCAGAGGTCTCTTTGTGTGGTAGGGAGGCAGGGGAGAAGGAAAAAAGAAAGCACGAGAGGGACGATGGGAGGGGGAGGAGAGAAAGCCTTTTCCCCTTCCCATCGTTCCCCTCGCTTTCTAGTTTTCGATTATTGGTATTTTCATTGGGTTACCCAGCGGGAGCATCTACGGCGGAGAGAGTTGTGTGCTGCGGCTATTTTGGAAAGGCTGTGAAAAAAATAATTCATTACAATCAGTACACTTGAGCGAATTGTTCTCAGTTTGTACTTTTATGAGTTTTTACTTTCACGAGCGTTTTAGAAGCTCATGTTAGAAATTTTTAGGATTTTAAAGTCATTTGTTCTTGAGTGTATCATGCAGTAAGAGAGCCACAGTGTCAATGTCAAAAATGTCCCAAAGTATTTGAATAAATCACAATTGGCGGATAAATGGAGCTTTCTTCCAAAACAAAAACTGACAACTGAGGTTTGTGAAAATTTGTGATTTGGCGGGTACTAATAAAACCAGTCAATAGCTTCTTCTTTTTTTTTTCGACTAACCCCCTTGCGCCAGTGGTAAAGAAATCCCCGTTTCAGTTCAGTACGTGCGACCCACAGTCTCAGAAGGTCTGTGAACAGGCTTCTATAAGGCCTATTTCAAACTTCGTGCTACTGACGTTTTAAGCTTACTGGACTTTAGCACAACTGTAGAACGACTTCAGACGTCAGATTTAAATCAGTCGGATAAAATAGCTATTGCCGCATACTAAAAACGAAACTTTAAAATAAAAAGCGGTATAGTGAACTTCGTTTTTAACATATATATAATCTATGAAAGCTCAGTTGCCGTGCTACATGGCAGTAGCACGACTTGGTTTCAGGCGTCGTACCTCAGCCCTGCTAAAGTTGAATTTAAGTCGATCAATTGAGCTTGACACGCAGTAGCACAACGTTTGAAACAGGCTAAACGCTAAACAATCAAAGCAACACTTACTCTGATGATCTGCCACATGACTCCAAAAACCAAATGAGGCTTGGCCTTCTCAATGTCTTCTGCTCCAATATTGACAATGTTACATCCAATAGCACGGGCAGAATTTAGCGCCAGTTCCAAATTTTCTTTGATAAGCACGTTCTTTAGCGCTCCACTCATCTTTTCTTTGATAAGCATGGTGTTTGCATTCTGTGGCTTGTTGACGGCACGTTCGTCTATCGTATTAGGCACCGTTAAATTAATCATTTTGCTACAAAAAATGAAAATTAAGCCAAATCAAAACAGTTTACAGATACTTCGTGTAGGCGCCTCTTACTTCCTCAGTTTCTCCCTGCACTAGAAGGCGGCCTCCGGCGAGGGGCGGGCGAGGGGGTACTCAACAAAGTTTTATACAGAGAGGCTTGCCCCGAGGTCCAAACCCCTTATCCTTTTATATACCATTTTTGACAAAAAAGGATACCCCTTCAGTCGATTTCCTCCACTTGATAAATGTTACCCCTTTAGATTACCTAGTTAATTGCATCCCTTTTAACTACTGTAGGTTTACTGTTTTTAAAATATGAATAAACTACAAAACCAGAACGTTTTCTAGACTTTTTTCACAGCCATAAAATGCAACGTTTAGACCTACTGGGCCTTTTTACGGCCGAAATTATGTTTTACCTTCCATTTCACATGCCTCAGCTAGTGAAATCCCTACTCTTCCATATACCTGAAGTCTGACAAAGGGGTACTTCATCGAGGCGGAGCCTTCCCCTGTATGCCATCATAGGGAGTATCCCACCGGGAAGTTGGCCAGGCCGAATGGTTTCTGGCGCAACCTTCCTCTTTGTCGCTACGCAAAGGAGCGGTGCATGATATCTTAAAGGACGATTGCGTTAAAGACCATAGCCTGCGTAGCTATTGAATCTACGGCCTCCTCTGCTATGTGGCGTTATTGTCACCCTCCTGGGTATTATGCTGATTTAAAGTTCCTCAGAACTCACCATAAAATTATGCCATCCTTGATCTTTTCAAATACTTCCTTTTCATCTGTTGGGTTAATAGGTAGGTAAGGCTTTGTTTCCTTGTCATCTTTCAATGCAGTATTTATCCACTCCACAAAAGCCTCTCTCTCTGCTTCCTGGTAGGAATGCTTTGAACTTTCAGAAGACCCCTCAGAATTTTCCACCAGGTTTGTTTTCTTACTGATAAGCTTTTTAAATTCTGAGCCTGCTTTTAACTTACTGCTGTTTTGTTTGTAGATCTGAAAGAAAACGTTCATAAATTTTGGGGGGTTCAAGTAAGCCTGAGCCACTCCCTTGGTGGTTAGGGCTTTAATTCTGATTTTCCGACCGGCATCCCCGTACCTTTTATACCGGGCGGAAGTCACCACCGGCCCCCTTCCCCCACCGGTGAAAGACTCTTCAACCTATGGTTTAACCAATTTTTCTTGTCTTTATTTATTTATCATGTTTTCATTGCACTTGTTGCATTTACTATGTTTAATCAGAATCAAGACAATCACGCGCTATTTTGGTAATTAGATTGCCGTGTTCGCTAGTTAATGAGATTAACCATTTCGGTCGACAAATGAAATCTATCTTGATTCAGTTCTATATTGATTTCAAAACTATTAACTTTTTAATGCACAATGTCAACACAGCAAGAACTCGGTTATGGGCGTTTTGGGTAGATATAACGAAATGTCTTCGAATAAATAACCTAATAACGGTAAACAGCAAGAAAAGTTGGAACAGCTGTATCTTTTCTCAAGCCAGAATTAAATAGAAACACTTCAGACCGCCGGTTTTGGACGAGACAAATGTCAAGGAAAAGTCAAATGTAAAGTTGATTAGAGCTTCAGTTATCACGCTCTCTTAAGAGCAAAATACATTTGAAACACTGATTTGGAGGGTCGCAGACCTTTCTGGTAGTGTTTTTTGGTTTCGACTATCTTTCACCCAACTGAAAAACGTTTAAAACTTTCAGACAATCAGCCAAAATAGCATGTTACGTTTGCCTCTATTGCCACGTTTTTGACGTCATAATACCATGTGACCTACTTCGATTTGCAGACCTACGGATTTCTTTTTATCCCACAAGTTGCGCTATGGCAGCCTAAATTCTGTTAAAGCTATAAAGGGACCAAAAAAAGAGCGGCTAGGGGACCAAAAAAACCCGTTGTAAATGGGGTTAAATACCTTTATATTCCCATACTTGGATTCCTTTGGATCTTTTGAAGTAACTTTAAGCTTTTTATCTTAGTAGACTAAAGACTGGCGAAGAGAAAGCTTCTGTTGCAATTAATTACAGGTCAGATCAGTTCACAAACAGAAAGCCTATCCTTTGCTCAATACAAGAACTCGCAAAGGTTTCAGTTATATGCAGTGACATGATTCATTCAATGATTTCAAACCATTCGCAAATTAGCCGGTAATACTGGGTAAATATAAAAGCGCAAATTGTATTATAGTCTCAGTTTCACCTGTTTCCAATAGTTAGAGTGCAAGCAGGTGCTCATTAGAATAATTTGCATACAGTTATGAAGGTGGATTCAAGAAGTGTTAAAATTATTTTAATAAATTCGAAGGTGTTCTTAATTTTCAAAATTACATTAGTTACTTGATCTCATCTGTTCCTGAATCAGGACAGAGGTATGTAAGAATTCCCATTTATGATCATTGTCTAGTTGACTTATAACTTCTACAACTCACCTCCAAAAACTCCTTAAACTCAATACTTCCATTTTTATTTTTGTCGACTTCTTCTATTATTTTGCGTAATTGATATCCAGGAATGTCTTCTCCTAAAGCTTTCATAACCTGTCCAATTTCGTCGCAAGTGATGTGATTGCTGCCATCCAAGTCAAACTGTTAAAACAAATAAAACAACGATAATCGCAGATATTGAAAAGAGTAAAGGCTAGTTACACTTAATAGGAGTATCTTGCTTAATTTTCAGAAAAAAATGTAAGCAGTTAACGCTCATAAGATATCAATTCAGATAAAAAAAATTATGCTAGGCTATGATGGGCAAAAAGTAGTTATTGCTCTGAAGTTCTTGGCTTAACTTATCACTAATAATAATAAAAAATAGCGTAAGACAACTCTCTCTCAGGGTTGATAATAGCTCAAGTTTACCTCGTAAAAACTCTCCTGAATTTCATCGATCTCTTCTTCTGTGAGTTCATGATTTTCCATGTTGCAAAGACTTAGAAGGTTTTTCAAAGATCTAGTCCCTTGGATAGAAAGAAGGAAAATGATTTTCAGTAAGTCATGCCGAGTTTTCGAAGAGAAACACAATCGTTGCTATTGGTCAAAACGTTTCTCTTTGACCAAATTTGGGCAATAATATGTTTTTCCCTTTCCTCTTGCACTCACCAGCAATGAACTGTCCTTTGACATTAAAAATTAACTACTTTAAACCTTGACTAAATTTGGAGATAGCTTTAATTTGTTTCGCACTCTATGTGCGTATAGTTATTTCTATTTAACTCAGTTTAAAACGTCACTTACTAGACTCCTTGCAATCATTTCCTCCTTATGCTGAACTTGTACATCCTGGACATGAAAGACAAATTAAAATTGTTATTTTTTTTTAGTTCGAGAAAGTTGTTTTCTTTTTCGAGGGCAAGTCACAATAGGTTAAAATTAAAATTGTATGAACTAAGGTCAGCTCTAGTTTTGTTTCCAAGGTACACAATTTCGCAACAGAGTAGTCTGAGTTCAACTGTGTAAATAATTACTGGGACAATAGTCTTTTTGAATTCAATTTAAAGCCATAATTATAAGCCAACTTGAAAAGCAACAAAAAGAAGATATATATATTTTTTTAAAGTTGGCGATATTTTTAACATTACTTAACACGTTTGCCATTAAATAGAGTTTTAATGTGCACATTTGCGATAGGATTTTGCTAAGCGCCGTTTAAACGTCTTTACGGACAAATTTGGCGTTAAATTTCCATAATCAATGGCTGAAGAAAAAAAAGTGCGCTAATGTGCACAAGACCAGCATAGAAACTAGACATTCGTTCTCTGGAATTCTAGAAAATAAAGCCAATTGTTTCCTATAGAAATAATGACTGGGTGCCTCAGCGAAACTTCAACAACAGTCTCTTACAATGATCGTAACAACAATGGATACCCGAATCCTCCTGGGGGGTTGCCTGGGGGGTCACTAACCGGCACATTCATTCAGCCCAGTCCCCTTGGAGATTAAAAAAAAAGCGCTTTGAAGCTGGCCAAGGTCAAGTAAAAATATCTTGCCAAAAACTGAAAAGTGACGCAGAAATACAAAACGTTTCTTGTTACTCAATTACAGCATTATCTTTCGTTCCTAATGCAAAAATGGAGCAGTATTGAAGCTAGAACATGAAAAAGGCAAATTTTGAATCAGGGGCCCGTTTCTCGAATGTCCTGATAGTTACTGGGGGTGGAAAGCTGTTGCCGTTTACATTCAAGATGGAAGTTTCAATAGTTTTGCAGATAACATGACGAAACTATCGTTTAAAAAAACAAATGGACTGGTTCGGACGGCAAGAACCCATGCCTTCATTCGGTAGATTTTGGCTTAAACGTTGATTTCGAAACAGGCCAATGGACCTCTGCAGCACTGTTTCGTTATCTTTCCCTCCTAGTTGCAAGGGGTTTTTACATGGCTTTGTTTCTGTATGAAGAATTTCTTTTAGAGGAGAGGACAGGAGGAATTTGGGTACAAATATAACACCATGGTTCATACAAAAAATTGCAACCATTTCTTACAGACTATTCAAGGACTACATTCGATTTTCAAGGATGACCACCTATGACAGATACAAGTCACAGATTGTACAAAAATGCACAATTCCAGTCCACTTGTTTTTTAAATTGAACTAATTCATTTTTCAGTTCACTTGTCTTAAATTGTCCAAATGAATGCTGGACAACGATCGAAGGTCAAAACATTTTGCTGACCCATTGCGTAAGTTTCAACAATGGTCGAAACACGCGTGATCAGATTAGGATTGAAGGTCGCGCCTCCTCCTCCTTTTGACACCATTTCATTCTTGTCCCAAATGAATGGTGGCTATGTCTTATAATTCCTGGAGGGACTGTTCACCATTAACTTGGACTTTATAATTCACAGAAATTTAAGGACTTTTCAAGAAAAAAATAGAATTAAGACCTTTTCAAGGACTCTCCCTACAATTCAAGGACGTTTTAAGACTGCAATCCCTGTAACACTCAGCGCTACCATTCAAAACTTTAGGCTCGATTTCCAGTGGTTCTTAAGGAAAATGAGCCCGCTTCCATTCTACCGCTCCTTAATCTCGTTTACAGATCTTCCACGGCCAAGAGAAAGGACTTTTCAGCGTAAGACAGAGTGAGATCTAGATACAAAATTACACGCCCCTTCGAAGAGGATTGAGAGGATATGACATCAGACTCGGGAGACGCCGTCATTGCAAATGGTCCCATGTCGAAAATGAACGAGTTCTCGGCATTTTTAAAACACACGTTTTGCCGCATTTAAAATAAATATGAGCCAGTCGGCGCGCGAGGAAAATCAGGCAAAAAGAACTACCACCTTAACGCAACTGATAAAAATGTTTATTACTTATCACAACGATTTTAGCACACCCTTTTCTTACACAAGGTTATTAGTTAGTGTTCCTCTTCGATTTTAGTCATTACTACTTTGGTTTGTGTTAATTCAAACTACTGACATCAATTCCGCAGTTAGTACTGCTTGATTCTCTAATTCCGTGATCGCCTAATTTGTCAGGTACAATAAAGAAATGTTCGCAGGAAAAAATTTCATCGTTTTTGGAAGGTTGGTTGGCTTCAAAGTGTACACAACACTTTCTTAATGTGCCTGCGTGATGCAAAAGTCCTGTATTGTTCTGCTTTAGTCCAGCGCAAAAAGTCCCGTGGCGACCTGCACGCTGTGTGAGTCGCCCATAACCCAATGGTTAGAGCGTGCTACCGGTATCTGGAAGGTTGTGGGTTCGATTCCCGCTAAGGGCTCGGTTTTTTTCACAATCATTTCTTTGTTGTACCTAATATTTATTTGAGTCTAATTTGTTATTTTGTCAATTTATAGCTGCAATGGAGAGAGGGCATGCACCCCTCTGTGCAACCACATTTAACAAATCTTTATTCTAAGATTTCAGTTAATCTCAGGAAAAAAATCTCCTGATCTATATATTTAAATATTTAGACGTATTAAAGATTCAAACTGAAAAACGTGGAAACAGTTAAGGCCCAGAAAATTTACAGCGTCACAAGCACCAAAGGATATCGCGCCGGGTTTACCGGCAGGCACGCGCGTTTCACTGGTGAGCGTAGGAACTAGCTGAACTACGGCTCGATCGTATCTCTTACTGTCTTCTAATTGACGCTGTATAAAGATAGCCTGTGTCGCAGACGTATTCTAACTCCGGCTATTAACGTCTGGGAAATAGCGCCGAGATGCTAGTTCTGGACTCCAAATAAACGCAACGCCGCGCTGATTGGCCAATCGAACAATGGCTCTTTTAACAGGCCAATCATGGTGCGCACTCAAATCCTGGTACTCAGTTGAGAGCCCAGAACAAATAACGGAATTAAACCGCCAAGTTCTTCAATTTACTTGACCCATTACGCACTTTTTTGTTGGGCAAAGTTTAATCGCTTAACCGGGCTGCTTAGCTGGGTTCACGTTGTTTGTCCTCTAGTAAACTTCTTCACCAAAAGAAAGCAAACAAATAATAGGCAGTCAAATTGTTATATTACGAGCTTCTGCTACAAAAGCGCGACGACTCAACAATGACGAAAACGTAAAAAAATGATTATTTCAACTCGTTCAGTTCTTTTAAAGTTGTGACGATACATTGGAACCTAGGGGGAAAAGGATCGAGTCAATCTATTCTCCTGCCGTCTAAACCTATCGTTTGTTTCTATTTTTTTACGGTTACGTTGCCGTCGCCGTTCGGTAGGTCTCTGTATTTTACTTTTTCATTCGCTCGAATATTTTACTATATTTCAAAATCTCAAATATGTTTTCAAAAGTTGGACTAAACATTTTCTTCTTAATTCCTAACTACTTCTTTTCTTATTCCAGTGCGAGCGCCGTGGCCATCAGACAGGCAAACACTGTCAACACCATCTTCGGTTTGACTTCAACCAAGTCATCAGGGAGGGCGTAGGTTGTAGCTCCAATCTTTCGAGCCACACTCAGTGCGTACTTGGCGTTTTCGTGTTTTTCCTGAAAAACAAGGAAAATATCACAGGTAATTATATGACTGAATCTGAGAATTTATTGTTCTGTGATTGCCGATGCACTCAGGGGCTGCTTTCGGGGATCCTGTTATTTTTCTATGGGTTTCCCATCCATAGCCCTTAAGTTTGTACCTTATTACTTTTTGTTCAAGGTGTGCCCTCTAGGATTATGTTATGTTTAACCCTTTGATTTGATTCAGAGGCCCCGACTGGGGAACCTGTTGTGTTTCGGCAATGACATAACTTATACCACCTACTTATATTTCATTTTTTATCGTTTTATCGTTATTTTTACCAATAGTGTATGTCTTGCTTTTATTCAACATATTACGTAACTTTATTTTCACCTTGAATGCATACAGATATCTAATTCAAAATGTGTATTTTTTATCCGGGTTTCTCATTCTATGTATATATTATATATATGTTCTGACCAAAGTGTAGGGGAGCATACCAATTGTCAGAACCAAATTGTCATTTAACCTTTCGTTTTGTCTTAGATAAATCTGCCAGATAAGAATATGGCTTTCTTACTACCATTCACTCGAAGATTAACTAAAATATGTCCGCATTTTGTACTAAAAAACTTTTACAGGGGCTGTTGTGTCACGGCTGACTACGGCTAGTTCATGTTGTTTACAATGTTAGTTACGCGTCCTTATTCGCTATAAAACTTGTGAAAGACAAAATCAAGCTTCGTGTCAAACAAATATGTCTCTCAAACATCACTGATCAAACGTTACAGAAAACAAAATTGATCTTTGAAAAAACTGACTAGCAAGATTTACGAAAACCACCATTGCGATCCGTTTTAAGCATCTCCAAGTTCGTCCATCGGCGCATCCTTTTGCATTTGCCGTCTTATTTATACCTTCTTTCAACGTTTTCAATCAAATTGTGGCAGTTTCCACAGTTTGAATTTTAATAAATTTCGTGAGACAGCTCCTCGTGACACCGGTGAACTGCGTTCGGCACTTTAGAATCGAGGAAACTGGGCCGAATTACCTATCGCAAAGACTTCTGGGACTGTTACTAGGGACAGGGGAAACAAATTGGCCAATAGCTGACCGGTACGCCACCAGTAACGATCCCAGAATTAATTGCGGCACATATTTCGGCTCTAGGTCCCTCCTTGTTTCTAAAGTGACGAATAGAGCTCATTCCTTACCTCATCAGTATCCCCAGGAGTGACCAAGCTATAGTCCACTATACCAGGCTTGATAGCATCAACCAGATCCAACACCGCCTGACTGCTAGAAATAGCTGGATCCTTAAATGAAGCAATGCTGCTGGATTTGTTCGCACTCTTTAACTGCAAGACAAACAAGGGAGGAAAATTATTACAATAATGACGGCGGTATATTCTCAAAGCTTTATCCATCAGAAGTAGAGCGTAAAGATAACGTGGATGGCATTTGAGCAGGGCCGGGCTCTTAACGATACTTGGCTTGGTTCCATTGTGAACCTTGATCATTGTTTCCCAAACAATCCTGTGAGGCCAGCAGTCAGAGTCAGACTTCACGCGAAATAAAATTTTATTATTATACATCAGACTCACTATGAAAAATCTGATTGGTCGAGAGCATTCAATCAATTCACAATAGCTTGTGAACTTGACATGATAAATGCAATATCTGCTGCAGATATTGCATTTATCATGTCAAGTTCAACGTCTGCCTGGTTACCAAGCCCCTTGGAGTGTTCTCCTCCGAAACAGAATGGCTGAATGTCTTCTTTTTCGGCTTCGGCAGATAACACAGACCTCGGTTTTGATAATTCATGATATCATGCTCAACCTCATCCAATAATTGTTTAATGTCAACCCTTTCTTAACAGACACCTCAATAAGTCTGACACCTCGCTAAAACAGACTTCACTGCCTTCATGTACTCCTTTTAGCTGACTGTCTTTAAGACAGACTCCTCACTAAAACCTAAACCTAGAGTTGGACCCTGTCTTTCTTTCTTTACTCCTGTATTAGTTGACGAAAAGGAGTCCCGATCAACCCTAACTAAGACGGACATCTCCCTAAGACAGACACATGGCACCTGTACTTAAAGGTGTGTGTCTTACAGGAGGGAGTCCACTGTATAAAAAATAACAGCACCTTCTCGTTAACCCAATCCACGATGTCCTTGTCCTCCATTGTTTTTCCATCTTTGTTTAGCCTCGAAAGCAGGGCAAGTGTGTATGACCTCATTTGCTGCCATACAACAGCTGTAATAACAAAGAGAATTAAAATATTTATCTGTAGGTGTTACACCCAAACAAGTCACTGCCCCTTCTGAAGTCTGGGATACGGATTTTACTTGGAGACATAAATGCTATGAGTAGCACTGATGAGTAATGTGTAAACATGTTTATCAAATAAAAGTGGTTTACAGAAAACCTAACAACATGCATATTGGATAGACACTTGAATACAGTTTCTCATTTCGGCAAGAAAAAATATACTAGTAACCATACTGTTTCATTTTAAGAAGGTAAAGATCACTCCACTTCCAAGGTCAAACGCTTTTTTGCCTAATTAGGGGGTTCCAGATTTTGGTTCTTTTTTGCTTCATTTAGAATAGTTATAAGACAGAGTGCCACCACAGACTCCTTGTATTTCATTTTAATATTCACTTTAGTGGCACTAGGCATCAGCGATACTTTTGAATATTGCTCTTCAAAGAGTTAAACCTTCTTTAAATGAGGTGTTTCTTTGAAGTGTCTGCTTTTGACATTAAGTCGTGGAGTTGAAAGAGCATGTTTTATTGTTTAGCCACCTCTCTCGACATTGCATTTAAATGGTGTTTGATGTTTGACCTAGATCAAACATTTTTATCCAACACTTTGCATCATACACAAATGTTCGCTCAATTAGCAGGGTGCAAAGAAAATCATTTTTACAGCTTGCCATTAGGGCAAGCTGAAGCTAGCATTTACTAGCCCAGACGTCATTTCAACTAGCCCCAAAAGCTTTTTGTCGAGCAGAATTGATTTCACACTTCTTCTGTTATTCGAATTCCTCAAAGAACATCACTTGCCCGTTGGGCAAGTTAAAAACAGATTTCACTAGCCCGATAGCAAAATCCACTAGCCCTGGGCTATCGCACACTATACTTTCTTTGCACGTTCATTTAGCCAGTCCATTAAATACATTAAATTTCTTTCTTACCCAGGGTCAAGGTTTCATTGCAGTCATGGATATCCTGGCCTCCGATCCCAACCAATGAAAATTTCACTTTTTTCCCTATCTCCACTGCATAGTTGCAGTTCTCTAGTTTCTTCATCTTTCCACCCATTTGCTTAAAAGGAGGCCTGTTAACTTTATCCCAATTGACAACCCCTGGCTGTACAATATCATAAAGCTATAAAAAAATAAATGTTAGAAATTAATGACAATACATACATTACTTGATAAACATCTAGGGCTCCATAATAAAATAATAATTAATTAATACTAATAACTATAATAATAATAATAATAATAATGATAATAATAAACAGTTGAGTTTGCAGGTAAACTCCATCGTATAAGAAGATCACGAAAGCAGTGTGACAGAAGAAGCTAGTCTCTGATTGGGCACAAAAATATTTTTTGCGCATATTTTTGTGCCCAATCAGAGACAAGCATTCAACTGAGCCCTGCAACTGGTTCATTAAGAGAAGCATCCCAGGGTCTCTCTCGCCCGCCCCTGGGTCTCTTGAGGATGCTTTCACTCAAATTCAGGATTTAGAAAATGCATGGAAGGAGACAAATGAACTTTACATACAATTTGGCGAACTCAACAGACACTGAAAGTGTTTCAAATCTCTTTTTTCTTTAACCACACGACTAGAATTTTTACATGGGAGAGAAATTTGGCGCACAGTATGACAAATTGTCGCATAAGCCAGCACACCAGTGCACCCCCATTTACTTGTTCACATTTAAAAAAAGATGCATAATTTACAGAAGTTAAAAGGGATACTGTGTAGGAATGTGAAAGGGGGCCATTAGTCAATTAGGGGTAACCTTTTCTGTCAAAAATGAATTTTTATATTAAAAAGGGTGAGGGGTTGGACCTTGGCAGAGCCTCCCAACACGGTGGATGAAATAATAAGGGAAGAAAGCTGTCAACACTGATGGTGAGATAGCACTCTTTGTGATTACCTGCATCAATTTGCATTACCCGCGTTAATAAGATAATACTAACAGTTAAGATAGCATTTACTATAAGAGTAATAATTTTACAGCGTACCTGTAGCAGAACCAGTCCACTGCACAGATCCCTGTAAAGGTGGTTGACATAGGGATTAACACCAATACTGTTCATCCAGTTACGGAAAGCTGCATCAAAAATGAACATGAAAAAGTTGACAAGATGATTATATTTATTTGATCTTTATTTTGTTTGTTACATCTTTAAGCAACAGGGATGCTCATGAAGCTAACAACTGGCTACTGGCAAATTTTACGGGCTGGAAAAGAAGCTTGTCATCAGCTGGTCATTTTGAAGGCGTAGCATACATGAATGCAGACTTAAGAAAAACAGGGATGGCGTTTGGTGGAAGCACTCATTCATGAATAACTAGGGCTACAACACAAATATCATTAAAGTAAGAAACGCATCAACCTAAATAAAAAAGGTTTACACAGAATTTAATTTTGACCCATAACATATCGGTTAAGTACAATGTATATCAAAACTTGCAGATGAAAGACATTCATAAGAAGCGCTAATGTCTACAACTTTAAGTTTGTTAACTCACTTTTTTCTTCTCTGGTTTCTTCACGTGCCTCTTCAAGATCCACTTCCTCAGCATCCATCGGCGGCAAGCCAGGGTAGCTGTTAAACAAGTTGGCTACAAATGCCATGTTCAGCTTGGAGTTTCCAGACACTACATCCTGAGGAGAAATATTAATAATTATTGTCAATTTCCAGGTGAGTAGGAAGAACAGGCTGGTAATGTGGTTTTAGAACAAAGATGGCAAACACACCAGTCTTAACACCAAGTTGATGGAAATACATGTAGATGCAATCAAAAATACCAAGCTATTAGAAAATAAAAGTTGATTGCTATGCACAAGCTTTTATTTCACACCACTTTGCAAAAAGAAAACACTCAGACAACAAAACGGTTTTGAATTTTGAAATCAATTTAGACGTTCTAGTCTAATGAAAAAATATACAGCAAAAGGCTTCTAGCACTGGAGCCATTAAGGATTTTTATGGAAACTCCTTTTCTCTAGAATGAACTGATTATCATTTAAGTCACATTTGTGATGATCAATTTCTGATGCATTAGAACTGTAGTTCTTTGCTTATACTTCATAAGCCAGGAGTTCAAGGTCCTCCCCCTAATATGTTTCTATCATACCTTAGGGCGTACAAACTTTCTGCAGTTGATCCTGTCTGCCATCTGCAACATTTTCTCTGCTCGCTTGTTAAGATCTTTTTCCTAAAGCAAGGACAAGAGTATTTTCTGATTAATTAATGCATGCAGATCACAAACCCTTAGGAGGGCAAACTGTACTAAGGCCATTTACAGAAATGAATTTGCACTGATTTTACACATCAAATACACAAATTCAAAGCAGTCACAAATCATTGTTGTATAGAGTTGCTGTTGTAAAAATATTAACCCTTAAAACCCATTTATCAATATGCAGTGATTTTATTACCTCTGCGTCCTGCGTCCCTGATGCATAAAAATCCCCAAAGACGCTAAATAATTTGTGGTATGTGTCCCATAAGATGCAAACATTGATTGATCGATCTGAACATGTTTTTGTAGCATAACCTGTTTGTACGATTTCCGTGGCTGTTCTTATGGCTGTTGTTTAACCGCGTATATTTCTTTTAGACTTTGTTGAGCTGGACAATAGAAGGAGTACATTTTTATTTCAGTAAACTGTAATACAGAGTTTTGCCGTCTGTCTTTATATCAACTGTGTGGTTACATAAAGACCCATGGACTCATGTTTTTTAACTGGGACTCAATGGTTCGGGACTGGGACCCATGATTTTTCACAAGATGAGTTCCAGGACTCGCCATAACTATTTGTAACAAAATCACTGAGTGTGAATTCTCTCCACACTGTACTCTATACATATTTTATTTACAGATAAGGTAATTAGTTTACTGATTAGTTTAACAATAAAGGCCTTTAGACGCTGGCCACTGTTTGGATCAAAAAAAATTATTTCTATTCACCAATTCTTTTTGTAGTCTCAGCCATCAGGTATGATAACAAGGCCCTGAACATACTAATTTGCAACTCATTAAATGACCAAGGAAAAACGAAACAGCGGAGCACATTTTGTTACATGCCTCATTCTCTAAAGCTCTGGATTACTTTTCCACAATCCTCCAGCTTAATAACGCCCTCAAGGTGTTATGTTTATACTTACACGCATTGGATGGTTATCCACGTACATTTCAGTAGGAGTAATGCGACTAAGAAGAATGGAGTAACATTCAGAATCCTGAAGAAAAAAACAGATCTTAATTTAATATTGATCACTGGTCAAACAGATCATAGAAAACAAGTTAATTACAAATGCAAATCAGGGCCAACAACACATTTTACCTGAGAAAGTAGTTGAAACTAGGTGACATTATATAAAGACGGGGTGCCCTAAATGATTTTTTGGACTGCTAGATTCTTCAGCCTTTAATATATAGGCTTGGGAATCAAAAGGAGAATTTGGCATCAGATCATTAGCCACATTATTTTCCGGAAACAAACAACCAACCAAAAATCACTCTTCCATTTCTTTGTTCACTGCATGTTCCTAGAGAAGGTTAGAGTTTCCTCTGAATTCTGAATCTCATCAAACAATTTTGCTAGTATACCTCTTACAACAGATCTAATCTGCAGACATCAAATTTTCAGGCAACACAGTCCTTGAATGTCAAAGAAAAGTTCTATGTAAATCAATGTAGACTACCTTAATGTCATCACTGAAATTATGCACACGGCGATGGTGTCCTGCTTGTTCCAAATGGTAATTAAACCAACGCAGTAGAATTTCTTCAGGAGAAAGAGCCATGAGGTCATTAATTGTCTCTCCCTCCCTCAAGAGACGGGCCAGTCCTGGTACATTTGTCAGTGTGATGTTGGCAAACAAACCAATCTGAAACAATATTAAAGAGTATATTCAAAATGGTGAAGGGTGGTAAACGTATCTAAAATTATTTAGGGACCAGAACAAGCATCTTTGTTTTTATGTGTTATTGTAGGTAAAGTGAACTGCAACAAAAATCACGGTTGTCACGTCATTAACCCGCATATTTTAGCTTAATTTTCAGTTTGTTAACTTGATAAAATCATGTTCAAACTGTTTGGGGTGCATCTTATAACTGAATGGACATTTTAACCAAAAAATATGGTATATCAAGTATTCCTTTTAACTGACATGAACTGATGACAGGGCTTCTGATATTTCGCGCGGTCGCGGACCCGCGAAATTCAGGTATTTCCGCGAAATCCCGCGACATTCCCAAAAAAACGCGAAATACTGCGAAATCCGCCAAAAATATTTCCGAATACGTGTCGGCAAAACATATTTAATCCTTATTTTGGCTATTAGACCTGTTTTATTCACCCCAAACGTCCAAATTTATCTTGAAACTTCTTCACTGCAAAGGGTATAAACAACGTCCCAAAACTACCAGGCATTTTTAGATGAACGTTGCGAAAAACTGGGCACTAACCATAATGTTAATAGCTTTAGCGTTCGCTCATTTCTTGAGTGAACTGTTGTTGAAAGAGCAAATGATTATCCCTGTTTAAAAAACGTTACACAACGCTGGTCATATCGACACAAAATTCATCGATTTTAGCGAAATTTGCCAGAAAAAAGAAATTGGCTGTTTTTTATTGATTGTTTCTTGGCGAAGTTTACCCCCGAAATTTCCCGTGAAATCAGCTGATTTTTCCGCGAATTTGCCCCTGAAAATCCTTCGAAATTTGACTTTTTTCCGCTAAATTCCCGCAAAATCGGCCGATTTTTCTGCGAATTTTGATTTTTCTCCCGCGAAAATCCCGTGAAATCGGCCTATTTTTTTTGCGAATTTCGACTTTTTTCCCCGCGAAAATCCCGGGAAATCGGCCGATTTTTTGTCGAATTTGCCCCTGAAAATCCCAAGAAATTTTGCTTTTTTTTCCGCGAAATATCAGAAGCCCTGTGATGAAAAACAAAGACAACTTCAATTCATTCAAAAACAAATATTGGCAGCAAGTTTTACTAGTTCCTTGAGCTTCTGGAAAACCGTATCTGTAAGGCAATCATCTGTCATGTAATAGAAACTACTATCAGTTCTGACTGTGTCTGTCTTAGAGAGAGAAGTGTTGAATGTAAAAAGTAATGTTATTGTAATCACTTTACTGTGCATTGCACAGAAATAGTAATTAGCAGGTGTCCAAATGTATGTTTCTTATGATGAGTGTCAGGACGTGAACTTACTCTAATGATCTGCCAAAGGACACCTAATACCAGATGAGGCTTGCCCTTCTCAAGATCCTCTGCTCCAATATTGACAATGTTACAACCAATAGAGCGAGCAGAATTCAGCGCCAATGTCATGTTTTCATGGATCTTATAGATGCTCAGAGACTTTCCTGACTGAGGTTTGTTGATAGCACGTTCATCCACCGTGTCGGGTACAGACAAGTTGATCATTTTACTAGAAAGACAAGGACCATAAAGGGAAATTAAAGCTCAGAGACCAAAAAATAACAACATTGACTTGATTCCACTCTAAAAAATTGTTTAAGGCAAAGTACTTACAGCAAGTTCCAAGACAAAACTTACTCAAAAATGTATTCCAGCACTTTAAATATAAGGACAATATTGCATCTCTTGACAAAGGAGGATTGGATTTTGTAATTGACTGAGAAAGAAACTTACAATTTTCTATTTCACACAGAGCAACTTCCAGCAACTCTAGAAAACATAGCCTTTTTCGAAAGGTCTATAAAGGTATTAAATGCACTGACAAGTCATTTCCCATTAAAAGACAAATTTTTCCCATGCAATCTCCAGGAGACTTAGCCTGGTTCCAAAAGGTCCACTGCAAGAACAAAAGATCTTATGGCATAGATGATTTAACTTACATTTAATAGACAAGCACATCTTAATCCTCTCAAATAGGAGAATCTGGTTTATTAACTAGTATCTAAATTACTCAGATCAGCACAAAATAATAACCACGTAATAATATTATTTTTTCAACCTCAGTTATGCAATAGTGAGGTCAAGAAACAGTCTTAACAACTGCTGTTTTTTTTTAATTAGTAAAATAGGCTCACCATAAAATGATACCATCCTTCATCTTTTCAAACACATCTGACGTTGCTGGGTTAATGGGTAGGTAAGCCTGTGCCTCCTTGTCATCTTTGAGTGCAGTATTTATCCAGTCAACAAAAGCAACTCTCTCTGCCTCAGAATAAGAATGCTTTGTGCCTTCTGCCGAACTTTCAGAAGTCCCTCCTGAACTCTCAAGTTGGTCCCTTTTCTTTATTAGCTTTTTAAACTCTGACCCTGCCGAGAACTTTTTGCTGTTTTGTTTATAAATCTGGAGGAATAAAAATGCACAATGCAGTTAGCAACCTGACAGCAGCACACATTTGCTAAATTTTGCTGTACTCAAGAAAGACTCTGCATGAATCAAGCAAGAACTTTCCTGAGCATGCGCTGCATGTTGCTAAGATAAAGTTTCGAACCCAGGCCTAATAGCCATGTGCATGCTACAACGAGCTCAATTATAACCATCAGTTTATCATTATCAATACATAAATGCTCGCAGTTGAAAACCAGTTCGATGAGAGGAGACAAGATTTACTAGTCCAGAAGTTTGGGCTGTTGCAATTTGGGGGAGCAGGGCCCCTCCGCATTTTTGGTGTTGAAAATATCGCTGGCGCAGCATAACAATTCCCAAGAACTACCTAAGAAGCCCCATGAGGCAGAACCGCCTGAACAAATGCCTACTGATGCATTGTCATGAATCGATTATGGACACACTAGACACTGTGAAGATTGCAAAGAAATTTGCTTGTGCCAATAAAAAATGCAAAGGGCAGTTTGGAAAATTTGAGTAGGCATCTGCACATGGCTGAGTGAATAGCCCGCATTAGCAAGCTCTCCTGAGGTTCCCAAGGGGTACAGGAGTGGGGGAGGCAAAAAGGGAAGGAGAGCTTGCACTTGTGTTTCATAAATGTGAATATATACATCTCAGAATGGGATGCGAAATACTGATTGGCTGATTTTTAATCAGGCAATGACATTATGTTCCCTTAGGAGAGCTTACACACAGGGTACAGTAGAATTCCAATAATAATGGCCCCCTTTATTTTTGGATTTAGCAGGCCAAAGGGGCCGTTACTGTTACTTTTGGGTAGCCGTTACTTTCGGATGGTTAGAGAACGTTTGTAATTCAGCAGGGGTTTTACACAAAGAGGACGCATAACAGACATAAAAAGGTCATTCAGGTTGCATGCTGGTTATGGTATTCATTATCCATATAAACAAAATAAAAAAAACTGTAACAAAAAAGGCTCCAAAATGTTTGTGTACTATACGTCGAAAATATTGTTCGTGTTATATGACAACTGTGATGACACATACAGCTTTTATCTGTTTTTTCACATTTTAGTTACTATGTTACCCATATCCTATGTTTATGAAAATACAGTACACCACTAAAATAGGGAAATATTGTGTGGCATTTGTTGTAAATTAAATAGGAAAATATTATTCAACCCCCTACCTACTTGTATTTGTAACCACATGCCACACTTCTTGAAATGTTACATTAACGGTACAAAAATTATATATCTTTTTTTGAGTGGTCATTTTTTCCGGGGCCGCTATTATGGGGGCGTTACTTTCGGGTTTAATAGCAAGGTAAATTCCAGAGAGGAGGGAAGTTGGATGATAAAAATCACTTTCCAAGGGGTTAATATTGAACACAGTATGAAAATAATTGCTACTTACTGATCTGGTAGAACATTTTTGAAAACAAAAAGCGTTATGTATGCGAGTCCAAAGGAATTAGACCCTTGTTAGGCCGACAAAAACTTGACTTGTCACGTGCATAAAATTATCCGCCATTACTCGTTACCAGTCTCCTTAGAGACATATAAGAGTGACAGGTGTGGTGCACTGGTGACTAGCTACATTTCTTTGATCTCCGCGGCATGTTAGTCAATCGAAAAACAGTACAACAGTGAAAGTTTACCTTCAGGAAGCAGACATTATAAAATGTAACGATTTGAGAATCTAGAGTTTTTACTCTCCTTTTCTTTTCCCTTGATTTTTTGTTTAAAAGTAGACGTGTTTGTGATTATATTCATGCTGAAATGGCATATTGATTCCATCAACATTACGGCCTTACCCGCGCATGGAGACAGCTTAAGCCGTCTTGCACATCATAACTGACAGATACAACTTTATCTCTTTCATTTAAAGGGATAAGCAATATTTTGTAGTTTAGGTTGCTTTGTAGGTAGTTTACTGTGTTTTAATTCAAGACCGCTCGATAAAATCAAATGAAAACCATTATGTAACCACAATGGTGTCATTCTTTACTTTGATAATCTTTTTTCGTGAAAATAAACTTTTCCAGAGGGGTTGGGGGGTCTTTGTCTTACTTTGTGGAGATTCCAGGGGGGGGGGGGGGATCATCTGTTCCTTGCAATATGGAAAACCAGGGAGGTGGGGGGGGGAGGGGTCCTAAGTGAAATTCCCTCTGTGGTGGGGTATGGATATTTTTGGAACCACACAATATGAAATCTGTATGTTGATATTAAGGGGCCTGTAAAAGGCTTCAAACTGTTTAGTAGCTGGTAATGTGGACATGTTTCATACAAAATCTATCTTTATAGAGTGACCAGGGACATAATTTCATAGCTTTTACTATGTTATTATTTTGGATTTATGGCCTTAATGCTTAGGAATTTTATTCATCTTAAAAAAAAACAACAAAGGTACATTTTTAAAGAAGCTTTTAAAAATTTCTTGCAGAAAGTCTTGGGCTATTAATAAAGGCATGTTATTAAAAGCAAGCAACCTTACTATTGGAACACTATTTACCCTGTGAAAAGAATGCAATTTACTAAACGGGCTAAATGAGTTAATTATCTGCTAAATCCCAGAGATATAAAAGAAACATTACTTATTTAAGTATGCTAATTATTTCAGCTACATTTCATTTGGCAATAAGTTGTTCTACAACGCCTCGCCACATTAACTCTGCGATAATTAAGATCTTAACCCTGTTAATTGGTAAGAGACAAGCGTTTTCATTTCTCCCTCTGCTGAAAATTTTGGCGCTTTTTTAGAACTCACCTCCAAGAACTCATTGAACTCAACAGTTCCGTTCTTATTTTTGTCGACCTCTTTTATAATTTCACGTAATTTATAGCCAGGTATGTCTTCTCCTAAAGCTTTCATAACCGATCCAATCTCTTGGCAAGTTATGTGGCCATTGCCGTCCAAGTCAAACTGTAGATAAAGCAGAGTGAACGAAGTTACAAATTTATAGCAGCTACTGTAGAATTGCACAGCATTAAGCTATTGCTTAATACTTGCCAGACGCGCAGAGAACACGAGCGCAGTAAAATTCAGATTATTCAACGACTACGCAAAGGATAAAATCATTTCATTTTGTTTGGACTTAAGATCGTTCTATGGAAAGTTGCAAACAGCATGTCATCAAGGAAGTAAATTAGAACTTAGCTACAGTAAGGTAATTGTTATAAAATGAGCAAGCGAAAGTTTCAGCTGAAAGTGGGCTTTAAAGAGGATGTTTACCTGACTAAACGACTCTCGAATTTCTGCTACTTCGTCTTGTGAAAGATGAGAGTCTGCCATGTTGAAAAGGCAAAGTTCAACAACGTTTAACTGGCCAAAAAACAAGGAAGAAAACAACTGAAAGTATGGAGACTCCAAGATTATAAGCCTGTTTTTCCCACAGTGGGCAGTGCCGATAAGACCCACTTCCCTTTTCACAAATAACGCTCTCCTATTGGTCAACACCCAGTGGCCTTAACCAAATTTGGTAATCGAGACGATGAGAAATTGTTCTGTTCCGACCCATTTCCGTTCCGGCTGAACGCAGAGATATTGTACTTTAACGAAGACCAATTAAATATTTAAAGCTACATTCCCCAAATTTGGTTAGAGACAAGAGTATAATTTATTCGCCGTCTGTATGGTCATTTTTAGTTGATCTGAATTTTTAAGGTCATAGGATGGCTTCAGCATTCCTTCGTATCTATAGAAAGATGATTGATGTATGTTTTGCATTTCTTTTGTTGTTTTACGATTTCCGGTTCGGTAAAAATATTTTTTCGCTTTCGGTGAAGATCCAAAACGAGTTTGCGTGAAATATTGTTATAGCCTGACTAAAATGTTGATATATTTAGGTTTGTTTCAAGGTTCCGATTTCTTATGACCCCCGCGCCGAGGTCAAATGTGTTGATATTGAAAGCATAGTTGAGCACTTTCAAAAGATAGACAAATTTCCATAACTGTTGTTAACTAAGAGTACTGTGTATTTTGTTATTAAATTGTGCGAAGCAAAAATGCATGCTATTGTCCGGGATTGATTGACAAGAAAAGAAAATTAAACAATGACCTTTTTCCATGTTTTCAGGTCGTCATCAAACTATGTAGAATTTGCAATTCACAATGTTGTCCTGTGTACACGTGGTTACCTAAGAAATGTGTGTCAACAAAGATAAATCTCAGTTTCCAAAACAAGAGGACACAAATAGCTTCGACTAGTTAATGACGTTTTCTCCTTTAGAAGAGAGAGTGGCGGTTAAAGCAAAGTTGGATGGCAAAAAAGAAAAGAAAGAGAAAGAGACGAAAAGTTTCGCTTTTTTCTCTTCTCTTTTACTTCTTCTTTTAATCTAAAAAAAGAGCTACCCTGCGAGCAGTGGTTTCTCCAGGCCGGACGCTACGCTACGAAGGTTTCTCTCCCGTAGCGTCCGGCCTGGAGAAACCACTGCTCGCAGGGTACAAAAGAGGAAAAAGGAATGACCTTTTTTTAGCATGGATGACCACGACTGTGTCACTAAAGAGAGAAGGGGAGAAAGCAATCCTATCAAGTTATATATACCCGGCGGAAGTTGATTATCCGACAGAGACGTCCGCCCGCCAACTTTTTTGTTTTTGAATTTGCCCGTGTACATATGGGTGATAGTCAGGTGATCCGTATTGTGAACTTCAGGCTGTATAGGGAATTTCGAAATAATAGGAAAAAATGGTATCAAGTATATTTTTAAAAGACTCGATAGGTGAAGGAGAGAGATTGAAAGAGGGGACTGGGGTCTATCCAACTTTGTTATCAGGGCGTCAAGGCGTCTCACCTCTACAAACCTGAATTACGTCATCATGAGTAATGCTAACGTCAGCAGCAGCCCTGGATGACGTAGTTGAAATATGAACTACAAAGGGCTTTAAATAATAAGTGTCAGAATACTGTAAGGGTGAAATGCAGTGTCGTTTATTGAAAATACCTCATGAAAACTGCACGGTCAAAAGGGAGTTCGTTGCCGATGTGTAGCAGCGTATACCTAAGATTTCGGCTAATATACAGCAACACGGTGTGTTATATGTTTAAAGCACTTGCCATGTTGTATCGTCTATTCTATCCATACTGATACTTTCGTTGTTCTGATCAAAGAGCTTTACGCATGTTGATATAATGACAAGGAAAACTTCATATGTTAATAAAAACTGTTTTAATTTCGATTTAATTGCAACAGCCTGTATTCAAGGAAAAGCAGTAATGAATCAATATAAATTATTCACGAAGACATGCATGGAAAACCGATGGAAATATGAATGAAATGGTCTCTTCCTTGAACAAAAGGGGACAGAGAGCATTGTATCGATATTTTTAGTTTAAAAACACGAAAACGAAAAAGACTAATATCCAACAATAATTAAATAAATAACGGCTCATCTCTAGCTCAGACCATAGCATCATGATTCATTACTTAGCTGAACAATAAAATTTTGTCCATAGTGTATCCTCTAGGTAGGTCTAAAATCATATTTTTGGAAACTAAAAAGTTTAAAGAAGACGCCGCTTTTACTCAGAAACTCAGTCTTTTTTAACGCTTTTAACTTGTGAAATCCTAAAATAGCATATTTAAAATTAAGTTTTGTTGCTATTTTCGATGCGGAGCAAATTATGATAAAAGAGTAATAACAACTAAAAAAAACTTTATTTGCCAAATCTCTACACGTTCTGTTCGCAGAAGGAAGTGGAGATGTCCAGTCAGCTTCGTCCCCAGGCAGGTTGACGCGAGCAGAGGAAGCTTGGGGCTGAACGTGACTTTTCCCACAAGCTTGACGTGACATCACATCCGAAATGAGAACGAGGCTGGAGAGGTGCGTGCGAGGAGCCTAATATTATTTCCTCTCTTGTCCATAGTCAAAGTACCCTGGGTGCCAGAGGCTTTTCGCCGCTCGTGTCTTCTGCCAAAGGCCGAAGGCGTGTCGGCCTGCAGCCGACGAAGCTCCTCGTCACACATGAGAAAAAACCCCTGGTACCCAGGGTATAGTCAAAGCTAAGTGGTGAAGAAACTTAAAGAATTTCCAGCTTTGGAAGTTGGAAAATCTCTTTGGGAATCGTGATTGTTCTGTCCAGATACAGTTTACATAAGTTCGTAAGCTCGTTCATGCACACCGGTAACTCAATCAACGGATTTCCTTCAAGGTGAAGAATTTCTAAACTTCGCAAATTTCTAAAGCTATCAGGCAGACCTCTGAGCTCATTGTAGGACAGGTCGAGTTGTTGCATGGTGATCAGCTCGCCAATGCTGCTCCGAATAAAATCTGGAAGCTCTCTGATCTTGTTTTTGTTCAAGTCTAAGGTGGAAAGGTTTGGCACTTTACAAAGGACTTCAGGGAAAACTGACATGCCGTTGCAGTTTAAAGACAAAACTCTTAGATTAGCAAGACGGTGGAACCAAAATGGTAACTTTTGAATGTTGTTCTTTCCCAGATCAAGCTCCTCCAGGTCCCGGAGATTTATGATGTTATCTGGTATTAAATTCAGCGAATTCCCGCTCAGATTTAGTGTCTGTAATTCCATCACGCTTAAAACAGAGTAGGGTATCTCTTCAAGACCATTGTTGTCCAGGTACAACACCCGTAAAGAATTCATCTCAGCAATGGAAAGGGGAATTAAACGAATAACGTTTCGACCTAAAAACAGTTCCCTCAGTTTTTTCAGTTGTTTGATCTTTTCTGGTAATTCTCCAATTTTGTTTCCCGCAAGAAGAAGATATTCCAGCTTTACTAGAGAGCAGATTTCGGTTGGAAAGAATGGCATATCGTTATTTTCCAAAGAGAGATACGTCAACTGTTGGAAACCTTCAAACCAGTCTGGAAGTGCCCTTATATGATTTCCACTAAGGAACAAGCGCCTGAGATAGTTTAGATGTCGTAAATTCTCTGGCAGGGAGATCATTTCGTTAGAATTAAGACTTAAAATGCGTAACTTGGAAAGTTTGTCCATTCCAGTAGGCAAATCCGTGACTTGGTTGTGGTCAAGGAGAAGCGAATTGAGATTTACTAGTTCGCAGATAGTTCCCGAAACATATGAAAGCTCTTGCCAGCTAAGGTCAAGCGTTAATCTTCCTTGTTCCATTTTCACCTCTGGAAATAATTCACTAATACTTGCAAGATGTCCAAATTCATCGAGTTTGTTGTCAAGTGATTCAGACTCAACTGAAGATGTTTTTCTCTTCAATGTCGATTGAGAGTTCGCGTCAACTCTCCAGCCGCGCCATGTATACCTTGATCCATGATTCACTACCTTCACCGGTCTTCTCTCTTCTCTTCTAAGTTTTGGGAGCTGTACTTTAATAGATGGCAAAAAGCCCGCTTTCTTAAGCTCGCGGATGAGTATTCCCCACTTTGGCGATGGGCGCATTGCTTGACCGACCCTTGCTTTAGCGCTAAGAGTATTACGCTTTACACGCTCAGCAATATTGGGGTCTGCATCTTCAGATTTCAAATTGACAAGACCTGGTTTACCTCCAAAGATGTCTCTCTCTTCTTCGGGGTGGTTTAGATTTATTTCTGAAAACACCATTGAACGATCTTGAGCAACTACAGACGTACTGGAAGTTTCTGGAGCTCCCAGACCAGTCAGTCTCTCCGTAGTGACCTTTGCATCGACATGGTTCATCTTTGCTTTCGTCTGACTCCGTTTTTTGGGCTTTTCGTTTTTACCCAGGGTTAACACTTTCTTGTTGTTGCTCAAGTTAAGCTTTTCAAGCTCTGCGAGATATGGTAGCAGTGACGCCGGAAGCTCGGACAATTTGTTGTCGTCCAAGTAAAGCTCTTTTAACTGGAACAAGTTATCCAAGTCTTGATGAAGGAATGTGATTTCGTTGTCGCTCAAAACCAGAACTTCAAGACTTGGAAGCGAGACGACAACTTCGGGAATGCTCTGGAGATAATTTCCCTCCATGTTTAAGTATTTCAAGGTTGTTAGATAGCGAAGACTCGGGGGAAGAGTTTTGATATTATTGAAAGAGAGATTGAGTTTTTGCAGGTGACATAGATGACTAAAACAATACGGCAAAGTCTCAATCAGATTTCGATTCAATTCCAAGACTTCTAATTTGATTAAGGTACAAATCTGCGCGGGAAAAAATTCCAAATAATTATTTCGTAGATAAAGTTCCTTTAGATAGCGAAGTGAGACGAAATTATAAGGAAAATTTGAGATCTTGTTGCAGTTGAGATTAAGTACTTCGATGTTGTTTCTCTGGCACACTTTCGCTGGTAGGGATTTCAACCTGCGAAAACTTAAATCTAATGTCAATTTACCATTTTCTACAACAGTATCAGGAATATCGGAAAGTATTCCTTCCTCAAAGTCATCTGGCCATGATATATCTATTCGTGAGGTTGTCAAGTCGGGTGCCGTATTGTCTGCATCGCTATTCTTGGACAAACAGCTCTGTCCCATCAATGCTATGCCGGTTTTGCTTTCAGATATACTAAGTCCTTCGAGTTCTCATTTTCTTTATGGTGTCATCAACATGGTGGCCAACTCGTAACATGAATACTCTTCCAAAACCAGTTCGTAGATTCCGTGTAAGCTTCATTGTATCACTAAGCTACACAAGAGCGTCCCCTTCTTAATTTGGCAATCCGCTAATCACGACTGTTGTGATGCAAATGAGTTAAAACTGGTGGGATGGATCATCGCCAATATTATATATGAACGCTGGCGAACGTACCAACAAACAAACAGGTGATGTGAATCTTTTAACAGGAACCTACTCCTGTATTTATTAATATTTCCTCATCTTCTCTCTAGCTTCGACGTGCATTAAGTAGCAACAACAAAAGCTAGCCTGCGTAACGGGCGGAATCCGTGCGGAGAATGAGAAGGAGGCACTTTTCTGGCGTCTTCTGCGCTCGCTTCTCGCGCCAAAACTGCGCGGGCAATGGGAGCTTCGCCGCCAAAAATCGCACACATACAAAAACTATTCCACCAGCTGCGTAGGCTAAACATAGGCACGTTAAACGTGCATGAGCTATTTTGAATGCCTTAGTGTAACTATAATACTTCGCGCGAAACGCTCAGCTGAGTCGATCCTCAACCTATATATTCACTTTCCTCTGTCTTTCCCGTTGCATCTGGTGCAAGTTAAACAAATTGTTAAAGTAAAATAAATTTCTACTTTGATTAGAAGGAAAACTCCAAGTTTCTCGGAGTTTCTTAAGCGAAAATGTGACTCACCGAATACTGAAAAGTTACGAAATACCAGGATTTTTATCATTGTGGTAGATGGTTGCATCATCATAATTCACGAGGTTGTCACGTGCGATTCTACTCAGTGAAACAGTCTTTAACTCCGACAACTTATTTCTTCATGTTTTAAAAGCTATTGCTTCTTAAAAGACAAGAGCCTTTTTTAAGGCATTGGTTACAAAAGGAAACAGGTCTTCATACGTCCAAGTTACTATTTATCATTGTGAAAGGCCAATCTACATGAGATGTACAGTCACACAGCTGGCACGTGAAAGTGTTGGACTTTGCTCCCTTTCGTGGTTCGTACGTGAGGGAATTCGAGTTATCACACAGTAAACTAGTAAACAGAATTATAAAAATAACTCTTGCACACAATTTGCACGTGAAGATGTTGGTCTTTGACCCTTTTACAATTCCACAAAATTTTCTCAAGCGATTTTAAGAAATCACCTCGGCTTCATTACAACATCTGCAATTAAATTATGTTTCATGCAACGTCAAGGTTGATACCTAATATTTATTAACATTTTCAGTCTTTAACCAGAACTTATTTCTTTATGTTTTAAAGCTATTGCTTCTTAAATGACAAGAGCCTTTTTAAAGGGCATTGGTTACTAAACGAAACAGGTCTTCATACGTCCAAAGTTACTATTATTATTATTGAAAAAAGCCAATCTGCATGAGATGTACAGTCACACAGCTGGCACGTGGAAGTGTTGGACTTTGCTCCCTTTCGTGGTTCGTACGTGAGGGAATTCGAGTTATCACACAGTAATCTAGTAAACAGAATTATAAAAATAACTCATGCACACAATTTGCATGTGAAGATGTTGGTCTTTGACCCTTTTACAATTCGTACGCAAAAAAAAGGCAAATTGTTTTACTGCAAAATTTTCTCAAGCGATTTTAAGAAATCACCTCGGCTTTATTACAACATCTGCAATTAATTTATGTTTCATGCAACGTCAAGGTTGATAGCCTAACCTTTACTAACTTACAAGAAAATTATCAAACTGCCGAAATATATTTTTCTACTTCATGTTACTCCACTCAATACAACAGTATCTAATTATTGTGTCAACTAGCTTCTTCAATTTTATTCCCTAACGCTACTGTTTCTACTCAAGTTACGCATCTTTACTAAATAAAATACGTTTCAGAAACTATAATACTTAGTATGCAGGAAGGATGTATCATGTTGTTCACCTATTATTCTTTTTTTTTTGTTTTGTTTTGCCAGAACGAAAAGGTCTGTTGAACTTTGTAAGCGAGAGAATAATATTTTTTTTAAAGCTTGTTTACAGGATTAACAATACTCGGTACAGCTTTCACAAAAATAAGCTGCCTTTTTAAACTTCTAAAACCACATTTTATAGGGCGCATACTTTCGAATTAAAGTCTATATCTAAATATCAATTATTGCTTCATTGGAAGAGCTTTGAAAATATATGATCTTTTATACTCTACCCAAGTGAAGCGGGTGAAACAGAACTCATACTGACGTGCGTTGTACAGATAGCCGAATTAGGTCAGAAATGCCTTGAAGCAGATATCGGCCCTTAAACAGGTCACTGTATAACGTTTGAATCATATCAAGTTTGGTGAATTCTTGAAGAATCAAGATGGCCTCAGATGTGTTGTGTTCAGAGAGATATTTCTAGTTAATGCCGAATGCCACTAGAATGAAATTTGTCCATTAAAAAAATGCAGGCAAATTTCCGTTCAATTTTAACCTAGACGATTTTCAAGCGCAAATTTCCCTGCAATAATAAGCCCCACAAGAAGGGCCTTGAAAAAAATATTCAACAAACAAAAAGCACAACACAAACAACAACAAGAAACATAAGCGCGGAATCTTAGACGCCCTCAAATAGCTTTTCGCTACTTTCAACATACTAATTTAGCCCTGCAGGACTAAGTCTGATTTACACATTCTTGGAGCCTTATGAGCACAATTTAAGCTAAAAAAGCCGCATCAAAAGTCCATCCAGCCCACGCTTGGACTCTTCTCTGCCCGTGGGTCCAAATCAACCCTAATTGGACTGTACTAGCCCTGATTAAAGAAGCCGAATTAGGCCCCAAAAATGCCTTAATGGTACAGTATTTAATTTTACTCACTGAAACGGCCGCATTTTTAGGGCTAAACATATCTTTTTTATTTACAGTGAGGGCTAGCGCTAACCCTTATTCGCCTGATGTGAATTTTTACGTAGCAGTTGCAGCATGGTTAATAAGCAAATCGACGCAATTTGTCTCAGAGGGGCCATGCCCGGAGGTCTAATTATAAAACCGCAATATTGAGGAACAAAACTACAGTGTCACAGCTTATTCAATGTTTATTTAAGTTTATTACAATAGAGAAATATTCCATGTTCAATTAAATACAAATATAATGATCATGTTCTACCCAGCGGGTAATCAAAAACGTGAACGTCCTTTTCAAAAATATACATATACCTGCGGTGTCCCAAAGAGCAGGATTTTCAGAGGCAAACTCAAGAGAAAGCGGCGAAAATTAAGTTTCACAACTTTCTCTTACCCACCGTTGCCCAAATTGTTTGTACTTTGCCTCCGAGAAAGGTCCTAGCTTGGTAGCCGTATTTCTAAAGATTTGGCCTATTTTCGTCTACTACAACCATTAAACTACAAAATGATGAAAACGGATAGCCGTTTATTGGAAAAATTATCACCACGTAGCAAAAATTATGAAGCTTATTCCCGAGCATTATAAGTCAGAGCAGCATAGAAACTGAGGCAAACTTAAAAAACAGCTGGCCGCTACTTTTCAATTTTACCCGCTGGATGTAAGTGGATTTTCTGTCTCTATATTTTGTGTTCTTCTACTGTTTTAGGGTCTGTTTACATGGAGGTGGGGGACCCCAGGTAGGTGGGGGTAAGCCAATTAGGAGGGGCAACCCGCCTGTCTAATGTCTCATCAGGTTTACATTGATAGGTGGGGTGACCCGCCACGTGTTACCTGACCTATCTGGGGTCCACCACCTCCATGTAAACAGGCCCTTAAACAGTCATTTTAATAGTTCGGTCAATTCTGCATCGGTCTGGTAACTGTGGTAAGTGATAAGAGTAAATAGTGTTTCCTAGTCCTGTTAATGGCAGTTGGTAAACTTGCTTGTATTCAAATTTATTAAAATGTATTTATAACTTACTGAGCATCCCAGTCTACATTCTACTCTACAACTTTATTTTCTACTGAGTATAACATTGAAAGTAACCCTAGCGTCCACTATGTCCTGCACAAACTTCAAAGCCCCTTTGATACAAAGAATGTATTCCCTCGCGGTTAAAAGGCAATCAAAAGCTTCATACAGAGGTCTACTTGATCTCCTGGCAGTACATTTCAAAGGAAGGGAAAACAAAGATATTGCAAACATTTGATGTAATATACTAAGAACAGCATTTTCATAGAAAAATCAGAGTGATACCAATGGATTCTTTCACACAACGTTTTCACTTGTCGACATCCCATCGGTCACATTTTTATACCAGACCAGTCCTGTGTATCCATTGCATATTCACTGGACACTGAAAATACTCTCAAGTCAGGTCAGTACAGAAGAGGTTGTCAGCGACTTACAAAAGAAAAAAGGGCAAAAGCTACCATGAATGTTCACAAGAAAGCAAACCAGAATGAATGCATATCAACTATCAAAGGAGCCTTTGAAGTTTGCTCTGCCGATACACTGGGTTAATAACAACTGCATTTTGGTTACTTGAACACAAAAGTGTCATAAATTCTACCATTACTATAATATATTAAGTGACCATACACAATTCTAAGTCCAGTAAATCTAATTAATTGTACACAAATTGACAGGAAAATGTCACCAACCACCCTGGCTGTCGAGAGCCTTACAAAGTGGGTTTTTTGTTTCTTTTTCTGATTCGCGATTCACAGACGTTTAATCAAAGAAATCCACCGAAAATTACCCCGGCAGGAAAATTACATGGAAATTGGTTCAGATCATGCTCTCTCTATATCTCTCTCTGTGATGAAAAATGACGGAGGTTTGACAATAAGGCAAGTAACTCTGTCGTTGTCAATGAAACAACAGTATAGTTTTAGGATCAAATTGAAGTTTTTGTGAAAAATTGCCAAGAACAGTTCAGTTATTTACCCGGATTTCTGCACTTACAATTGAAGCCACACATCAAGGTGAAATGCTTAGAGAACGGAAAATGGGCGTTGATATAATTAACTTAAATACATGGAGAACAGATAATGAGTGCTTTTAGAATTATTAATTAAATGCATGGTGAACAAAATGGCGTTGATATAATTAACTCAAATGCATGGAGAACAGATAGTGAGTGTTTTTATAATAAAAAGCATGAAGAACAGAAAATGGGCGTTGATATAATTAACTTAAATGCATGAAGAACAGAGAATGGGCGTTGATATAATTAAGGTAAACTAACGTTTTCGCTTGCGTCGCTGTCGTAGATGCAAATGCTTTACAATATGATAAAGGGCATAAATCATAAATAATGTTTATGTTTACAGTGATGTGAATCATAGCTTCCTTAAAAGATTCAAACGACTTTGTGTTTGAAAACCTGGATCAGCTCTTTCATTTTAGCGAGGAACTGCAGCTTCCTCACGGGTCACTGAAAATATATTCTTAGGGAAAATAAATGGCCCTTCCAAAGACTGCCATCTATGATTCCACTGGCAAAATTAAATAACATATTTTGACGTACACCGGGGAAATTTTGCATTAAATCCCAGATTTAAACTTAAATCTAATTTAACTAAATCCATTTCCATACTAGTTCGTTTCCTGGGCAACCGTTCTTTGTTTCGTCACACAAGGCGCAGCGTGACGACAAAAAGAAAGGTCCGCGGAGGAGACTAAGCACTAGTAACAGCTGGAATGGAACTACGTTGAAGGTGGCATTGTAGTGACTGTGGGCACACTTAAAGTGGGTAAAATGTGCGCCACGCCCGTTGAAGATACTGTTGTCGGATAGGGAGAATAGACGGGTTGCATTCCCCCCAGGGGGAGGTACGTAGGAGCTCCGGCTTGCATACCCCCCATGGGCATCACCTGAACCCCTTGCGGCATCATCGGAACTCCCTGCGGCACCATTGGAACTCCCTGCGGCATCACCGGAACCTGCGGCATCACAGGGGGGATAGCAGCGTAGGTGATCTGAGGAGACACTTTCTCGTAGCTGGAAAGACGCTGCTGTTGTTCGACGAGTTTGCTCTGGTTCTCTTTGAGCTGATCTTGTTGGGCTTGAATTTGACGCTGAAGCTCCCTGTGTTGGTCCTTGAAGAAAATGAACGTAATATATTAAAAAAAGGGAGGAGTCCGATTCAGCCCTGCTTTTTTCCGCGACTTGAAGTTGCGGTATCTGGATATCAGAGGAGCCTACACTTTTACTACGGTACTGAAATATTTGTTCCGCAGTTCAAATATATGTAATTATCTATGCTCAGTTTTAGATCTTCACCGTCTCCGGGTGGCGAAGTCACAAAGTGACCAGCTCCTAGTTGGCTCAATAGCTCCAATCAGAGTTAAGAGAATTGCACTGGTATCGCAGAGATCATGAGTTCGAATACCGTTCCGAGCCTAGTAGTTTTTTTTGTCAGGCTTTCTTTGGCTGCGCACGTGACTGTGATAAACTTTCACGTGATAAAAGACTTAGACTGAGTTTAAATATGAATGCGAGTGCTTGCCTTGACACTGGAAATGTTACTGAGAAGTTCAAACAGCAATAATTGAACTTGCATGGAGGAAATGAAACCGCAAGAATGTAATTAAGATTTCTGACAAGGGGGCAAACACCTTGGCCTTGCTCTCTCGGAATTTCGCTCGACAAATCCCATAATTTGACAAATTTCTAATATTTGTAACGTCACACCTTTTTACTCTATTGCGGAAACAAAAAATTACTCGACCAGAGATATTCTAAACCAGGCAAAACTGTTCGCTTGTCAAGAATCTAACGGGAAACCTCGCTGGCGTATCAGAAACCAACCAACTGCGTATGATTACAATCTTACATCCGACAAATTACCACATTTTCTCCGCTTTCTAAAAATGGTATGTGGCCCCGCCAAAGCTCGATAGCAAAAAGGTTTTAGTTGTGTCACATTCTTCCCGCTAACTCGTGACCCCGCGAATGCTTGATAGCAACAAGGTTTTAGGTGTGTGACACTGTCACGCCACTTAACTTACCGCTAACTCGGCCTCTTTTTGCTTTTTCTGCTGTTCTTCAAATTCTCGCTTCTGCACCTCCAGCTCCAACTTTTGTCTTTGAAGCTGTTCAAGCAGGAAAAGCTGCTTATCATGTTCCTGTACCAGAAAGGCGATTAACACTACATTAGTAAAAAAGCGGATGACATGCAGACGGCAGTGTAATCGCCACTTCAGAAACGAGAAGATAACTGGGACCGAAATGCGTCCCGCTATTAGTTCGGGATTAAGATCGGGATCGTTACTGGGTACGCGCGGGTCAGCTATTGGCCAATTTCTCCCGGAGGTTTTTGCGAAAATCACTTTGGCCCAGATCCCGTCTCGTTTCTTTAGTGGGGGAATTGACTTCCCAGAGTAAGCTTATGATTCTAAGGCGTAACGCCTGGGCTTGCAAACCAAAAGGAAGTAATCTCACCAGAATTAACTCCTGTTGTTTCCTCTGCTCACGGGCAATTTTCTCGACGTCTTCTACAGAAACTTTCCTCACCTAAGAAAAATTGGACAGTACATGATCATGAAGCTGATAAAACACTTTTAAATTTCGGCTTGTTCTTCGCAGCGCATTGTTGAAAGCACTCGCGGTCATTAATCAGAATCTGTTCTGGGTTCGATTACCGGAGTCGACGCACAAAACCTGGCCTTTTTTAGCTTAATCCCCACCTGTCCCTTCCCCTTCAAGAGCCTGGCACAAAGGCTAGAGCTAGTAGGGCTACGAAACGCTGAGTTCTGTAGAAGGATAAATTTTTGCTGCTACGAATAAGTGTGTGAATACTTTTTGTATCAATTCCATTAACTTATGGCTATCAATCACATACCCTCGAGGTTCCTTCGTCCGTGTTCAACTGATCTTCGGAATCCAGCACAGGTGGCGGTGGAATAAACTCTTTCTCAAAAGTCTCCTGTCGTGTCATTTCAGCCTTTCGCCCGTATGATGACGTACGCTCTCTTCCAGTGTCGGCAGAGGACTTGACCTCAGTCCCGGCAAAGCTATTGGGACGTGGTTTCACAGCAGGAGCAGGCGCACTGAGCTGACTTGACCTGCGCTGAGCGGGTTCGGATGATCCATTTACAATCTCTATCTCTTCCTTTGCCGCGGCTGCTTTAGCATTAGCCACTATGACCCGGAGCTCACCGGAGTTTTCCGGCTCCTTTTCGCCAATTTCTTCTGAACGTTCCTTGCGTCTTTTCATTATAAACTTGAAGAAAAAAGTTATTCATAATTGCCCAATTCACAGGTTACTAGTTACAAACCCATTCACAATATATTGCTTTTGCTTCAACCCTTTCGGGGGCGTATCGTGAGGTTTTGAAGGTTTACTCACGGGAAGAAAGGTTGGATCTCCGAAAGTACTGCAAACTAGGGGTAGTCTGGGGGCATGCTCCCCCAAAAAATATTTCAAATTTAGCAGCTCAGAAATGCCATTTCCTGCGTTTTCCGCAGGACATTTTCAGTAAATAAATACAAAGGAAAATGCAATAATCAGTTGTTTAATTTACATCGCTACTGTTCTCGGTAAGGTCAAGAGCCATAATAGGTCCTATTATGGCTCTTGATAAGGTGCAATGTTAACCGGAAAATAGGTCAAACAGTGACGCCACCCGCAAGGAGGTTCAAGCAAAGAGCGAGATGTCTACCCTTCAGACGGGTAAAGATACAAACATAATGCGAACGATTAATCAATCATCCCGATTTAATGATAAAAATGCTTTCAGGAAATTAAAATATGCATTTTCCAGATTTCAGCTGTACACACGGGCGTACGTATGTGTGTATATGGACGCTACGCCGCTGCCCCCAAGTCCCAAAAGTGACCAACACAGCGTGTAAAGGTGATTCAATGTTGGAACAATGTTGTAACCATTCGAAACAATGTCGCAACAATGTTGAAACGCTGTGTTGTACTAAAAATCGTCGTTGCGAATCGTCTCGTGTAACATCACCTTAAAGAAAATCAGTTTAGCCTGGGTCTAGTAGACTGCGAGCAGTGTCTCTTTTTCGTCTCGCGCCTTTAGTCACGCGCGTGGTCATTTCCGTGTTTCGCGCGTTTCTCTCAACGGACTAAGCAAAAAGAGAAACTGCTCGTAGTCTAGGGTCTCGTGGATTTTGCTATCGGGTTAGTGAATTCTGTTCTTAACTTGCCTGACCTGGTAAGTGAAATTGTTTTTTGAGAATTCAAATTACAGAGGAACTGTTATCAATTTTGCCGGTCAAGAATTCTTTTCAGGCTAGTTGAAATGACTTTTGGGCTGGTACATGGTAGCTTCTGCTTGTCTGGATGGCGAGCTGTAAAACTGACCCTCTTTACACCCTGGATCAACATTAATTTTCTCCTAACAAGACCTAAAATATTAACACATAACCAAGAGAGAAGGTTATGAGAACTAATAAAATGATCACCCAAAGAAAAATTCTTTGATCTTTTATCAAATCCTCCCCAGTAATTCGGTAAGGAAAAGCATTGAGCTCAGTCTGGAGAATTTATATGTGGACATTAGTGTTTAAAGGGCTATAAGTTGCACTTACTGCTAATTCAGATCCTTTCGGTACAACCTAAAAGAAAAGAAACAAACAAAAAAGTTATTTTTTTGTCTTATGTCAGACATCTCTAGTAAATAGTATAGTTCCCGGCATACGGCATCAGAAGGCAAATTTATTTTTGCAAGAAGAATGGCTATTAATACCTTCCAACTACCCTTCTGAACTGTGAACAGACTATAAATCCTTGATCCTTCAGATTCACCACAAGCTTGCTTTAGCTGTTCTCTCGTCATTTGATCCAAGTCCTTAGCGGTCTTTCCGGACAAAGCTGTCACGGAGCTGCAATAAAGTGGCAAAGAGAAAACAATCCATGATACATGCAAGGTTGGCTTAAAGGAGTAGTGTCGCTAATGACTCTTAATAAAAGTCAGAACTGGATTCCCAGACCGCTTTTTTTTTCAATTAATTATTAGTCTTTTCTCTAAACTTTCGCTTAAAACACTTTACAGGTCTGTTTTAAGTGTAAAGGGCGCACAAAAAACATTTTTTTTGCGGCGGGGGGGGGAATCAGGTTTAGTCTTATCGTGACAAGTGTCCCAAGACTGCTGACCTCCATTGTGGACCTTTGAGTTTAGCAAAACTTAACAACGTTTCTTAGGCTCCAGTTACATATTCCTCGATTAAAATAATAATAATAACAATAATAATAATAATAATAATAATAATAAAATTGCCTAAAATTTGACTTCTCGCTGGATTAAAGTGGTTTACCAACATACGAGCACCTCCAAAGGGGTCTGCAGTGAGTGCAAAGTGTTCACTCAGATTTCACACAAAAAATTTTACGCAACTAAAAGAAACGACAATTTTCAGTAACAAACCTTGGCGCAAAACCTTTACTCTTCAGCCATTCTTGAACTTCTGCGGCGTTTGACTCCGCATTTAAGTGAACAGTGGGTGAAATGTCTGTTGAAATAAAATACAAAACAACATTTCTATGAGTTCTTTTTTGTATGTAAAAGGGCCTTGAAGATAAGCACCATTACACAGTAATTAACATCAACAAAGTGACGGCATCCTGATTAGCTTGTCAACCAGCTACGAATGTACACAAGTACTTATTCATTTTCAGACTCGATCTTATTATTCAGTTCAATGGTCAGTGTTGAATACCATCTTGGAAACCTTTGGCGAAAATGGGGTTGGAGGAGGTAGGTATCATGTTTTTAAGATCGGTAAACATAATTTTTGGCTCAATTACAAAAGGTGCAGATAAAAACTCTCCGAAATAATTCTTATGGAGAAAATTGGCATGAAACTAAATAGGTTTGTGTTGATATAGTGAACAGTTAACCTGCGTAGCAAGAGTTTCCGCGCGAGTTCTTCGAGAAGGTTGGGACGCGAGCAAAAACGCGGAATTTCTTTTGCTCTCGCCGCAACTTTTGCGCAATCAGTTGATTGAAAACGCTTGCTCACGCGGGCTAGTGCGCAGTAAACAACAAGTACTAGGTCAAGAGGTTCAAACTGACGTTTGTTATTTGCCTAAAATGTGATCCTAAATTTCTAAAATTCCAATATTAGACACTCTGGCTGAAATCTTGCAACTTGAGTCCACCTAAGTTGTAACATTGATAATTCTAAGTTTTAGTCTAAATAAATAATTAACGCGTTACCATTCAATCAAAGATCAGTATTGTTTGGTATGTTCTATCGGCCTTTGGCTATCTCCAAAACAGTTACCTTTCCTTTCCGCTTTGGGTGTCAGTCCACTTTGACTTGACGACATCCTTCGTTTCAGCTCGTCATTTAACATATCCGATGAGCTTACTATCATAAAAATGAAAAACAGAACATCTTTTAACGTATTGCTTCGCAAACAAGAAACAAGAAGTTTGAAAACACATCGTTTCAAAAAAATAATAAAACAATTCCGTTGTTACTTCGTCGTTTACTTTGGTCAAGAGAATACCACGTACATCGTACATAAACGTGACGATCACATAAGCCCCACATCTAACATTTGTCGTTTTTTGAAGGGTGAATCCATTAGCAGCGTGCGCGTATAGCGGTCGCATTTGTCCTCTGCAATTTTTCATGGATTTTAAGCTCAAAAACAAAACAAAAATCCCAAATAGCAAATGCGACGGCTATACGCTTATACTGCAAATGAATTCACCCTAAGGTCTGATTATAAGAGCCGAGCTGGTTCCAATTTCTGAGATGACTATTGATCACTATTATCCCTGTATTACGCCATCTCGCTACCTGGATTCTAAGTAAACGGGATGGCTGGAGTCATGTAATCACAATGTTGATTTTTGTTGCGTTTTGTCCACGTGTCGCAGTTTTGGCAAAGCGAGCCAACCCGGCTGGGTAAATCAAGCCCAAAGGACAACGTTTGTCCTTATAAACAGGGCCTAGTTCAGTAGCCGTCGTGTTGGAGTGGATGTAACACTGAATAAATAGTTCTTACATCTGTTGTTATTAAAATCTTCCCGTCGTTTCTTTTCAGCCTCCTTGTCGACTTTCTTGAGATTCTTTGCTTGAATTGCCATGGCAAAGTCTGTGCCTGCAGGAAGGGAAGCTATTGAAAAAAAAAAGAAACAGTTCAACTTCAACTTTATTTAACAAAAAATAGTAATTACAATAGACTGGCGCGCAAAATAGTTATTGCTAATCTAGGCGGCCCAGTTAAAAGAAGAAAAAAGTGAAAGGAAAGGAACGAAAATATTTTAAGTTACAATAATTCTTATTTCTATCACAGTTTTATTTTAATTACATTACATCTAAGGAAAAACGAAAAAGGAAATGATGGAGAGAGGAAAGCGTATAATTTTGTCAAAGAAATCACTTAACTGTTAATCCAACTTTTTCAATTATCAATCCCGTCTCAATATAGTCATCTTCTCTTTTTAAGATATCGGAAAGCAATCTGTGAAGAACTTTTGTAAATTCCTTTTTAGGAAGATCTCCAATATGACAAGGTATCTCATTCCAAAGTTTTACGCCAAAACGAGACAAGAAGTTTTTGCGTATTTCCAGCTTTTAGCTTTTAACGTGAAAGTTACCAGAAGTAGATGATCGTGTATTGCATGAATGAATTGTTGAGGTTTTTCCAAATAAATTTAAGAGATTTGGTAGCGAATTGTTGTTGTTAATATCGTGCATTAGACTAGTAGACTAGCTACAGCTTTATAATACATAAATGTCACTGGTAATATGTCAGCGTCGACAAATAGAGGAATTGCGTGTTCACGTACATCCATAAAATACATCAGGCGGAGCACTTCCTTTTGGAGAATTAGAATTTTAATAAGGAAAGTCTTGGATGCCTGACCCCAGGCAGCAAGACCATAGTTTAGGTAAGGGTGGATTAATTTTTGGTAAATGTATAAAAGTATATGACGAAATATGGAGTGCCGAAGTTTTGAAATAAGTCCAACAGTTTTACTGATTTTTGCCGAAATAGCGTCAACGTGATAATTATTTCCAAGTAAGGTTTTTATCAACCAACACACCAAGATATTTAAAACAATTTTTGGACTCTAGAGTAGCATTTCTATTTTTCACGTTATCGAACATGTTTCTTTTAAGCAAATTCACACTGTTGCACACAATTTTAACGCGTTTTAATAACAGTGTTGAAGTTGAAGTTGAGAAATTCTCGTGTTCCCCTCGCGCGGTAGAATTAAACTAACCGGCGCCTGCCACGCACGCTACTTTATCACTATCTCTGGGAGTTAGAGCCGGAAAACAACGAGAAGCAACAACTAACTCCGTCCAAACCTTTCTCTTTCTGTGTTGTGCCATTTTTGTTGGTATTCACCGGGGGCGGAGGTGTGGCCGGTGGTGGAGGAGTAGAAGGTGAAGGGCTACTAGGAAGTGGTGGGGGGACCAGTATCTGTGAAGGGGGAGCGGAGACGGGGCGGTTTGACTTTGAAATTCCAACTGGGCGCAGCTCCACACGAGGAAACTGCGAAGTCTCCTGTGGAGCCGGTGTTGTTGATGTTACTGATGTCCGTTTTGGTGCTGTGGTTGGTGTAGATGTTGTTGTTGATATTCTTGCTGATGATGAAGATTGTACAGTTGCAGTCTCAAGTTTCTGCACCTAAACACGGCAAAGTAAAGCCGTTAGTATCGTTCAGAGTCAACTAATGAGTTAAGGGCAAGTATAACTATTTATGTAAAGAGAATTATTATAATGGTTTTTTACGAATACCCTTTAAGAAAATATCTTCCGATAGCTGTAGTAAATTACGAAATTGTGGAAACATGCACGTTACTATTTTGCATGTCAATGGTCAAGAAGGTGAGATTAATAATGAGAAAACGAAACTAACAACGTCAACAAACATTAAATAATGGCCCTAAAGGTTTTAATTTCTACAAGATGAGAAGGGAATTGACGTACCGCTGTTTGAGATGACGTCAACTGTGTAGTTGGTACAGGGGGTGGAGCCGTTGTTGGTGGACTGGGAAGCACCACTAAAATGCAAGATCAGAAAATCTCGTATGAGTGCAAGACAAATGCGGGGCTTCGATGGCGCGCGCGGAGTTTCTTTTCATGTAACGAGGTGAAGCCCGCGGCTTTTTCGTGAATATAAAGGGCTCCACATGTCAATTGTTTTCGACGTTTATCTGCTGATCAGCTGATAATAAAGAGATTTAGAGTCACTTAAGGCAACTAAGTAAGTAACAACTTTATTATAGTGTCGAAGTCGCTAGCATACAACGTACACTACTACTTGGGGACATCTAACTACAGTTACGTATCTAACAAGTAAAAAAAAAATCTAATAAACAATAAAATATGAAATTATGTCCACACGTAAAATCACTTATTAGTTGTTACATAAAAAAACAGTCTTTACAAGTGCTGTCCAACAGGCTTGTGAAATAAACCAGTTTAATACGCTTTTTGAAAATGTCCACTGATCCAGACGATCGAATAGATACATCGAGTTGGACCAAATGACCTGGCCTGACTTGGTCAGGCTATGTTTGCCATAAGCAAACGTGGCTTTGCACCACTTGACCAAGGTTTCCCTTTACTTGTCGTTTACTGTTAATTTCTTCAACACAAATACTGGTCGTTTTACGTTAGTTTCATCAATAACAGTTGTTTTGGCCTGTTTTTATCTTTTCATTTCTAAATTTGAGAAATTGCCAACTTGAACCTGACGCTTGCCATTTGCCGCTAACGTGATTCTAAATCTCTGTAATTTTTTATTTGGTCACCAAGGGTTCGAGTATCTTATTTCTTTGTGCTCAGGTATTTAGTTCGATAAACTGCAAAGAAAAGCCGTATTTTGAGTCTGCGCTAGTCGCACGAAAGGTTTGGAGCAAGTTTGAAAAAAACAAACAAACAAACAAAAAAAAAAACAGAGTGGGACTCGGTAGGAACATGCTGTAGTTACTAAGCTCTCCAGAACCTCTTTTTTCATTGCCTTCAAAACACACCTGCTGTTGTTTCTAGGGGAAGGCACATTGTTTGTGTCATTCATCTATAGTCCCATCACGCAATTCGCAACTTTAGAAACGAGACGGGAACTGGTGCCGAAATGTGTGCCGCAATTGATTCTGGGATCGTTACAGGGGACGCGCTGGTCAGCTATTGGCCAAGTTGTTTCTCGTTTCAGCCTCGTCTCCAGGGCTTTTCCCTTAAAAAAAAAATCGGGCGGCCCGCCCCACCCAGTTTTTTAAGGGAAAAGCCATGGGGACGAGGTTTGTCTCGTTTCTTCCGTGGGAAATAAAACAGCTCGTTCTGAGAGCTTCGTGGCGCCCCCAAACATCTTCTCTAACGTCTCTCACGTCCGCAGGGTGCATGAGGCTCGTGCGGAGCGCGCGAGAATTTTACACGATATCCAATTAACTGTATTAAATAATAAAATAACTATTGGGATAAACAAGTGAGAACAAGGGACAAAAGTTCGTACCTGATTCTTCAACTAATGTGTTTGGTATAAAACCGATCGAGCCGACGGAGTTTCGAACACACCACCACTGGCGGGAATCCAGCAGCACCTAAAAACAATGAAAGCTCAAGATTATCAAACCTGCTGTTAAACCCGTGTTCGACAACAACAGCAAGAACAAGAACAATACACACAATAGTGCTACTTTTATGGTGACAAAACTGTTTTAATCCCAACAGGGAAGCCAAATAATCGATGAAGAAGAATTCCACAGCTAGGCTCAAACTTTCGCACAAATTGTTTGCACTTCACTGGACAGCTTTTTAAGGGCGAACGGCAACGGCACAAAACTGGAACAAGTCACTCACACACTTCAAACATCGGGCCGCGCGAACGATGGAAGAAAAGCAAGGGCTACTTTTTTGTTCCTGAGTGTAAGCATGCGCAGCAAAGTCATACATGCCATTTTTTATCTCTTCTGTCGAGGTCGACCTAGACCGTTTTTAGTGTCGTCACGCAACGCTCCTTAGTGGGGAGGAGCGTTGCGTGAAGACACTAAAAACGTGTAGCAGACTGAGGTCGACCACGCCCCAACCTCTATAACCACGGGCAACTTGTACTTTTCTTATTTAAAGACAAGCTGGGATTTTATTTCAAGCCCTTTAATGACGAAGTACAAGAAATTGAAGTAAAAGAAAAAATCTGTACGAAGGAGACAAAAGCTATTGGTGCCTTAAAACAAAGCTGGGTCGCCCCGCATAGATAGATAGATAGATACTTTATTATAAACACCATTGCAGCCATAGGCTGAATTACGGGATATTTACAAATACTGATGATAACAAAGAGAAAATAAGAAAATTATCTACATCAGTGCATATTTACAACTCTTCCTTTGGGGGAGGAGGCTATGGAGACTGTGGGTGGGGTTACAGACGATCTCGTCAAACAGATCGATTGAAATCTTTTCTCTCCTCTCATGAAGTTTCGGTAGGCCAACTGTTTCTAGTGCTACACTATATGACAGGTCAGGATAGATGATTCTGAAAGCCCTTCTTTGGATCCGTTCCAAATCTTCACTGATGTAGTTTGGTAGAGAACGATGGAATACAGGACTTGCGTATTCCAGGACGGGCCTAATACATGTCACATAGAATTGCACCAGTTCACTTGGTGCCACTCCGGATCTCTTGAGTTGACGTAAAAAATAGAGACGAGAGGAACATTTCCTAATTAGTTCAGGAGTGCATGTTCCACTTTAAATCGTGGCTAATGGTCACGCCTAGCAATTTGGCACTGGTGACTAATTCAAGGGGTTTGCCATTTAGGACTAGGGGTTCAAAATCGTGGTTGCTGTTGGAGAATCCAATTCGAAGTCCAAGTTGCATATAACACAATGACATAAATTATCTACTTACTGCAACTTCCTCTCCTTGGTGAACTGTCAGCTCTTTGCTGTTTCTTGCCTGGAAATCGTACATGACGCGAACTCTTCTCAAACCTTTTTTCGTTGGACTGCAAAATATTAAATAACATTAACAAAACTGGCTACTAACTTGAAGCTTTCAACATTAAAACTGTAAGATACCACTGCTAATGCTGTTTTAGTTGTGCCGTATGTAAGATCTCTTGGCCTGATTCGATCCCTGTCACTTTGATTTACAAACAAGACAGCATCTTGTGGTGATGGATCTTTGGCTCACCCAGCTAGGTCAACTCGGTCAGAGTGAGACAATCAGAACACGTGCGAGCGCTGTTAGTTCGGGCAAAGCCAAGGACAAAGGGGTAAACTTTTTATCACTTCAAACAACCATTAATAATTCATAAAGAAAAAAACAAAATAATTTCAAATGTTTACTGAATGTCTTTATATCTGATAAAGACACGGTTAAACTTTACGTCCAATTTTTCAGACCAAAATAACCCCACATCTAAATATTAGTGCAAGAAAAATATGATTTTGCGTTTTGCCCCGCAGTGTAATCACCCTAAAACTCTCAGACCAAAATTTTAAATAATACGCCCGGCTCGTTTTTTAAACAGTACATAAACGCTTGCTAAAGTTGTCTCGACTAGGAGGGTGGCCCTTCTGACGGAAACAGGTTTTCTCCACATAAACAGGGGCTTAACTTCCGGTCCCAAGAATGTCCCTAGTAACAGGCGCAATGGCGGGAGTAGACTGTATAAGGTCAGTACCTTGTTGGTGGTATATCAACTGGTTTCTTTTCACTAGCCAGTCGTCTGAACTTGGCTGCTGCTGACAAGACTGCTGAATTTGCTAGATTTGCTGCAACGGAACGATCTTCTCCCTGAAATATAACAGCAGCTTAAATAAGATTTCAAAATGTCACATTTGCTTTTCTACCTAGGATTAAGGTATTAAATATTTCCCTCCTAATCAATTGTGAACATAATGTAGTCTCATAGTAAAAAATTCAAACATCTATTTGACTGTCCTCCACCACCACCCCCCAAAAAGAAACCACAAACAATGAGCTGTGATTAACTTCATTTTTTATGAATGGAGCAAAGCACTCTGATTAATATCGTTAACTCTTTAAGCCCCAATACTATCCACATACAAATTCTCCAAACTAATCTCCATACATTTCCTTTAAGAATTAGTTGCGAGAATTTGATAAAAGATCATGGCATTTTCTCTGTGGTGATCATTTTATTAATCCTCATAACTTTATCTCTTAACAATGTATGGATATCGTTAGGAGAAAATTGTTGTTGGACACTATTAGGACTTAAAGGGTTAAAGAGGCCATTTCACGATTTGGCTGTTTAAGTCATTACACCATCACCCATACACAAAGCTCCTGTAGAGTTATGACGAGGATATCAAACAAGTTTCACCAGGAAGCATTAAACAAAACATTTTTTGGTGACTTTCACAAATGTAGCATTTTGAAACTTGACAACATTGCCCCAATTTTTTCACGTTTTAATCCATGTCCACCCTTACAATCCAAAGCAACAGATGACAAGACAGAGTATCAAGGTCTAAATATCGTCTTAAATAACAAAGCTGGACCATTAGTTTTAAATTCAATTGACGCGAAGGTACGTTTTAGCTTGTTAAAAAGACAGAAAATAGCGTGGGACATGTACTGTTTAAACCTGATAATACACGACTGCGTCTGTTTTTGATTGGCTTCAAAATCTCTGATATGGATCACCTCATTCTCGCACTAATATTTATATTTGGGGTTATTTTGGTCTTAAAAAAATTGGACGTAAAGTTTAGCCGTGTCTTTATCAGATATAAAGACATTCATTAAACATTGATTTCGTTTGTCTCTTTTCTTTACGAAGTATTAATGAGTTTTTGAAAGCCCTTTCAAAAAAGGCAAACTGATCTGGCGGTCAGTGCATCCAAGGTTCTGCTTAAAGGGTATAGTCCATTGTAGAAATGCAAACTTAGTATATTTGTGTATACGGATAGGTTATCAAGAACATTTCTTTTCTGACCTTTTTGTTGTCATCAGTAAGCTGTGCAACAGCTGCAGCATTTGCAGCAATAGCAGCAGACAGAGAGGAGATATCTTTACCAGCAATGACCTGAGGAGGCACCCATCCATCTTTAAACACTGGTGAGTATGGCGGAATAAACTGATCCTTGAAGTGCGTGTTTGACCTGATAATAGTTTATCCAATAAGTTACTGTACACACGTTAGAACCATTAAAGGGGCTCTGAGTCACGGCAGCTGTCTAACTCACTTTCCTGAATCATTAAACGTTTCTAGGAAACTGCCCACCTACCCCTCCCTTACGCCAACATTTTGACCAAAGTGAGAAGAAAGTGTTACCGTTGCTTTAGGGGAGGGGTAGGTGGGCAGTTTACCAGACTTCATTTATGTAGCTGCCAATTACACGACCTTATTCACAATGGAACTTAACTTTAGCAAAGATATTGCAAATGAGAAAAAATACAGTTTCATGTAAAACAGATGTCTCCTAAGCATTATATCAAACATTTAAAACAACAAAAACGAACTTCTAAAAACTGTTATGGTAAGCAAGTTTGCAAAAACCACAATTGCAGTACTTTTTAATCTTCTTCAAGTTCGTCCATCCGTGCCTTCCTCTGTCTAGGCTGTATTATTTACATCTTCTTTTAATGTTAACTTTTGAGTTGGTAAATTTTTATGTTTCTCTAAATTTAGTGGTAGTTCTGACTGTTTGGATTTCGATAGATTTCCTGAAATAGCTTCTAACTAAAAAGAGCTGAAACAACAAGGTCATATCCGGACATCCACGGCCACTACACAATTCCTCTCCAAAGACTGCAAAAATTCAGCTTTGTGAGCCGCCATTTTGGACCATTTGGATCATGTACGATGTCATCAGGTTCATCAGATCATGAAATTTGCGGGAAGACCAGCCCAGAAAATTTAGCATTGATACTGTTTCATTTTTTCTTCTGGCGCTCTATTGAGCAGACACCTATGAAGTACCCATGGGTGTCCACTTATTCCGAGTTTCACTATATCTGGCATAAGCATGGCTTTTCTTAACAACTCCTTCTCTAAAGAAAAAATGATGGCGAGAATGTATTTCTTCCATCCAAAATCTTCACCAGAGAAAATTAACCAGAGGAGGGGTGAGGCGGGAGTCGGCTAGGGTACAAACGTGCTACTTATATAGTTATTGGTGTAATGGTTGGAAACCTAACATTTACATACTTTGGGTAGATCCAGTTTGGTCCAAGAAGTTTCCAGACCTCTGATTCCTTTGACGACAAACAGTTCTCTAGCAATTCTATTGCTTGAGGTGTCAACAGAGGTGCAAGAACAGCACTGGCCTTTTCAGGACTGAAATAAAAACACACAAGAAGTTCACACTTATACATAGTCCCAGAAGAACACCAATCATGTTAATTTCAGTTCTGCAAACAGTTGTTACTATTATCTGTGAGCAAACTCTCCACTTGGTGGAAAAGGAGATGCAAGAGTAAGTTATAGTTTAATCTGGACTAATTTACAAGTCATGGAAGTTGCATTAAGTTATTGCTCAACTGCAGTTGTTGTTGTTTTTGCTCATGAGGCATGAAGTACCAAAAGCCTGGATTTATACACAAGCCTACCAGTCACAAGCTCTCTATCAGTTCTTTTCACCCGCGCTCCAGACTTCTTTTTGTTTGAATACCACACAAGCTCAATTAAGCAATGCAAAAATATGAATTATTAATGGTCAATGTTATGTAATCCTGTGCCTTTTCATTAACTGAGAAACTGAAAAATTTGAAATTTTAGACAATTGGTCCAAGGCGTCGCAAATATACATGTATACTGGATAAAGTGGTTTATGAATGTTGCAACATAGGCCTTACCCTCCAGTGCAGCGAACCAACAAGGATAGAGGAACAAATAAATAATGAACTAATTCAGCGGCATTAGGATTGTGGATATGATTCCTCAATTTACCCTGTGGGTACAAAAAGTAACTTTTGTTAGGTCATGTAACTGCAGCTTATACATGTATCATGGCTGTTGGTGTTCCCTTGAACAGAACCAAGGATTTTTATTGATTAATTTCATAAGAGTTAATAGCCTGCGTGGCAGGTGCAAAAGAGAGGAGGGTAGGAGGAGAAAAGTGTGCAAGGGAAAAGGAAGAGTCTTCTTTTCTTCTCTCCTCATATCCCCTCTCCCTTTTCTCTCCTTTCCCCTCCCCTTTCGGTTCCTGTCGTACAGGCTATGACTTGATTGACAGAATTGACAGATTGATTGACAGAAAAGCAAAGGAGGTTATGGGTAATGAGTTCTTTGTCAGTAATCACATAATCCTTGTTTACATGTTTTGCCTCATTAGCATAGGCTTTTCATTATCTGATGAAGCGAATAAAATGAAATTTCTGAATATTGAAAGAACATAACAATTTCAGTTATCTCCGAAAATTTGACCCCCGATAGATGAAATAATTTTGGAGAAATTCTCTTTGAAAAACCCCAAAATTTACAATGCTACCCAGTAATTTTGCAGTTTTTAATTGCTACTATTTTCTTTGCTACTAATTGCAAAGAGCTGAAACTTGCACAAACTGCATAAATTAACCAGCTCTTTTATTTTTTTAACCTAATTAGTATATAAGGCTAAATCGGCTATGGGTTAACTTGTATGCTAATGAGCAAAAATGTAAACAAAGATGTCACGATGAATCCGCCTATATACAATGTAGAAAATGTTAAGACTAGCATGTCCTTTACCCCTTTAAGTCCCAATGGTGACCAACATCAATTTTCACCCAACAATATTCATACCTTGTCAAGAGATTAGGTTATGAGAATTTATGAAGTGATCACTAAAGAGAAAATGCTTTGATCTGCCATCAAATTCTCTCAACTGATTCTTAAAGGAAATGTATGGAGATCAGTTTGGAGAATTTGTGTGTAGATATTGGGGCTTAAAGGGTTACACTGCACTTCAAAGGATTTTCATTTGCTATCAACTTGGCTGAGAAATATATACGCAGCACATTGAAAATCCCGGCTCTGAACAACACAAGGATGAGTTGAAAATGGTGACAGGTCACTTGCAGACGCTTTTCTCTCCATACCCCCTTTAAGCCAAACATAGACTGTACAACAGTTGAGGTAGGAAAGAGGAAATGAAAATCTTACCAGCAAGTTAAAAGCATGTTTTAATTTCTGAAATGCATCATGGAAGTCTGCCTCTGGAGGGGGTCGAGCTTCATGTGACAACATACTGTCTCCTGCAAGGTGAGGAAAAAAAACAGAACATCATTATTCATTAAAAATATTTCTCCATTTCTAATTGGCTAAAACTTCATAAAAAGCTAGTGTTCACAAATTAGGATTTAAGGTCAAAGACTAAATGGTAGCCACCTGATGTAAACTGAGACAAGGCATACAGCAGCTAGCATAATCTTATCATGCAGCTTTTTACAGTCTCTGATTGTTAGTCTGGGCAGAGGTTTAGTCCACAATCTTATGCTTAAGGCCAGTTTACAGTAGTATAATCTGTCTGTGCGGTGTAAGTGTCAATGCACAGGCTATGATTTATCGAGCCACTCCTTCTACTCAAAGGGAAATGCAAGGATGTGAATAGGCCTACAATTTAGCCCCCCATGCAGATGTTCTTCTAGGGCAAGACATCTGCATGGGAGGCTACCTAAAATTGGGCTGATTTGTTTTTTGTAAATCTGAGACTTTTCCAAGTCAGATCGTTTCTCGTGTTTGCTATATGTTGTATAACAAATCAGCCCAATTCAGGGTGAAAAATAATTTTTTTAATCATTTTTATATTGTGAAGAGCAAATTGGCTGGCTGGTGCTCAGCCAACTGAGCTGCTAACACGACAAAATTGATTGATTTAGTACAACCTCATGTAGCGTGCAAGGAAAGTAGTGTCCAATAGCCCAGGGCTAGTGGATTTTGTTATCGGGCTAATGAATTTTGTTCTTAACTTGCCCGACAGGCAAGTGAGGTTTTTTGAGGAATTCAAATTACAGAGGAACTGTGAAATTAATTCTGCTCATCAAAATGTTTTGGGGGCTAGTTGAAATGACTTTTGGGCTAGTGTACACTAGCTTTTAAGCTTGTCCGAATTGCAAGCTTTTAAAATAACTTTCTTTGCACCCTAACATCATGGCAGTAAACTGGGTTTCAACAAAGATAATTTGAGAACTTACGTTTAGACTTTCCTTTCTTCTTGTTCAACTTCTTCCATGCTTCAGCTGACTTTTTTGTTCGCAAGACTAAATTCTCGATATCATCAATACAGTGGTTTAAAATTTGCTGCAATGAAAAATGAAAAATGTAATATTTGCACAGTATATCACTTCAACAGTCAAAAGCTTCAGCATATTTTAGAAGTTTCATTCTTTGAATTTGGCACTTGAAATATGCATCGAGTTCTTGCTAGTTAATAATGACAAAATAATATCTGTTAAGATGACTATTACTATTATAAGTATGCAGTGTGCAAAGAAAGTCATGTCCAAAAGCCTGGGACTAGTGGATTTTGCTATCGGGCTAGTAAATTTGGTTCTTAACTTGCCAGACGGGCAAACGATTTTTTTAAGGAAATTCACATTACAGAAGAACTGGAATTCACCCTGCTCCTCAAAACTTTTTTCCTGGCTTATTAAAATGACTCCAGGGCTAGTAAATGTTGGCTGCCGCTTGCTTGAACGGTAAGCTGTAAAACTGACTTTCTTTGCACCCTGGTAAGTTCAGTATATTGATGATGAATCCTGATATTTCCTAAAAGGCGCTCACGTGTGGGAATGGGTATGGAAGCTCCCCCCATTTCCATTGGGCAAGTCTTGGACCTTCCCCATTTTTTAGTATTTTAGCCATGAGGATAGCAGATGGCACCTTAATTTACTCACATTTGCTTTATTGTATACCATGTATTTGTTTTCATACAACGAAGCATTGCAAAACATTAATACTGATTATTTTATCGTCATGAATGGAAAATTCTTTGCAGTAAGTGGCTGGTGCTTCTGTGATGATAAGACAATGATTTTTGCTGGTCACCAGAGCTTTCAAGTAAAAGTGACTCACAAACAAGCACAATTTAAGGTTCAACATCCTACCACATCTCTGTTTGTGCGTCCCTCTAAGATTTCAGCAGATAATGATTCGTCAGGAATGTCAGATGTTGATTCTGATGCTTGGTATTTTGATGCTACTTGTGGCTTTGCAGTTTTTGTAGCGATGTTTTCTGAAGCTGCAGAAAATGCTGCAATGGTTTGTGCCACCAGTGACTTCTCATAGAGATCCAGTCTTTCTTGATCAACTTCCTGCAAAAAAATCAAAACAAAGTAGAAATAGGGCCAGGAAGCTATGACATATGCAATCCTACATTGTCTCAAAGAATCTGATTGTGGTACATTGTCAGCAAAACTGACTGCACGTAACATCTAGTTAATTTTCTTTCTTTTTTTCCACTCGACTTCCTTCCTGTTATTTATCTTTCACTTTCCAAAACAAGTAAAACATTGACTTGGCCAGCCCTGCAAGCATTTAGTTGCAAGTTAGTTCATCATTTCAAATATTACTTCTGCCCTTTTTAGCCGTCTGAGAGTAATAACAGATGTTGGCAGGAACCCACATACAAACATTAATGTGCTGGTTATAGTGTTTAATGATTGCTGAGTAAAGTTTAGAACTTAGATGAGTGACAGACTGCTACATTCAAGCAATAACAACAACAAGATTAGAAAAAAATCTTCAAACTGTACCTTGGGAGGAGGGGGTGCTGGGTGAGTAGGGGGTGGGGGCAGTATAACACCACCCTTTGCAGCAAATTTGTGTGGCATAGCCTGTAAAAATATAATATGTTAATAAGGAGGGGAAAAACATGTATTCAGTAAGATTTAACTCAAGTCTGCAATTTTCATTGGGAACTTTTGACTTGCAGGCGGGACTAAAAAAAATTTAGTAAGCCGAGTGTTCCACAAGCACTGTTAGAGGAAAACCATGGTGATGGTAACAGGGGAATAGGATCTGTTTTATCTGATGATAACATACCGATCTGCTGCTGGAAGCTTTCATTATTTCTGTGGCCACCACTGCTGCCTGTAGACAATTGCAATATGGAGTTTTTAGTAGTTACTTCACTGACACCTAAACTAAACAGTCTTGGTTGGTGAAAATAAAACAGGCCCTGTGATCTAAGGAGCAAAGGAACTTTCTGCAATGTGTTTGTATTGAAGAGTTGTCTGTAAGGAGAGGTTGCCTCCCAAGGTTTATTACAAAGTGGCTGCCAAGACAGCTGTTTCTTTAATATCCCTAACAGCTGCTAATTCACAAGCTAATAAGCCCTTCACAACTAATGCAGTCATGTGACCTGCTTGAAGCAGAAATTATGAGATACAACTTAATTAATACTAGAAATGGTATTACGTAAGAAGCCAATTTTGAGATGATTGACACACGAGACTAAGAATTTATTGGTGCTAAAGTGTCTGCAAAATTTTAAGGTTTTGCATGGGAAGAATTGCAGCACTGCGAGTTGGTTAAATGCAGTCCAGCAACTTTGTCCAGTTGTCTTTCTCCGTTATTCAAATTACCATGAAATTCCACTGTTGACTTTCAGGGTTTAAAGCCTAAAAGTTGGAAAACCCACTTCTCATTTTATGCTTTTTCTATCACTGGTATATTTAGGGCTGTCTCCAATAATTTTGGCATGAGATAGGTTTTGTGATAATATTATTGTCACGCACTGAAATCACTGCAATAACATATAATACAACGAACTTGAACAGTCTGAAAGTACATACCGGAACTCGGTCTGACTGAAACAGGTGCATAGCCCCAAATCTATTTTCTGTCTGCATTGTATTGAATACAAGCACACTATTCAAGTCAGGGTCATCACTAAAATGATGAACATGGCCAATTGTACTCAAGGAGAACACTTCAACAACATCCTATAACAAAAAAACAGATCATGTTAAAACAAAGGCCAAAGAAATAATAATTTACCTCAGTATTGCAAGGAATTGTTGTTGATTCCAAATTATTTTTGCTTGGGTCTTGCTAAATTTTCATGTTTAATCAAGGCTAAATATAGGATCTTACAGCATGGTGGTGGTGTTATATACAACAAGCTAAATTGTAAATTGTAAATATTTTATTATACACTCTACTCAGGGCTTTTCAGGGACAATTTACAACACTGGTTGAGGGACTTCTGCTAGACTGCTTATGGTGCAGTTTACAACGTACAATATTAGTGAAAGAACGAGTTATCATGCCCCCTATACAGTGAGTGTGAATTTTAGGTAGACCACCACACCAGTTGCTACATCCCCTACTTTTTATGAACAATGTGTGGTTTCTCTGCTGTCTCACAGAATGTATCGCTTGCATGTGAAGATGGAGCCAACGGTTTATTGTCTTATCCGAGAAGAAACTGTTTGCAGATGTCATTACAAAGGCAGCAATTTCTCCTATAAGCGAGCGAGTGTAGGTCAGGCCAGGGTTTTTTAACCAACAGCCTCCCTTTCAGCAGACTGACACTTGTCCAACTGAATATTTGTACACTGTAAGTTGTACTTAAGGCCCACTATACAAACACTTACAGAGTCTCGTCTATAAGACAAAACTTCTGTCCCTTGAGAGGCGACTCTCGCCTCTCAAGATGCAACATTTGTCTCTTGTTGTTGAAAGCCCAGGTTAAATACAAAACAATTAATATTGAAGCATAATCTTCACCTGTGTTTCTCCATCTAAAAGCACCACATCAGTGTCTGTCAACCTCATTTCCATCTCTTTTGTCCATTGGTTTCCTTTCGCTAATAATTCCTGTTGCAAAAAGAGTAACATTTCAAAGTTCACAGCATTTGCCAGGAATGTAAAAGATCAGGGATAAACACAGAGGAGGAGGGAGGGGGGGGCAAGAGGGAGGGGTGGTGGGGTGGTCTTCTCACGAGTTCACAAACAAGAATTTTGTGTGTCATGAGTCACAAAACAAATGGGGTATTTGATCTCACCCATGTGTTTGGGTGATCTCTGCGCGGCTATAAATTCCCTAGGGAAGCCGGCTGTTGGTGGGTCTGAGCGCACTGAGGTGTGAAATTACATTAAAAGACTCAAAAGTGAAGTCAATTCAAGCCGCCAGATGCTAGTTAAGATTGTTTGGCCAGATTAATGATTTAATTTCTTCAATTCATCTTCAATGTACGTGTACAGTATAGACCATTACTTTAGCAGTTCACTTTTCTCATTGAGTGCATTTCAATCATGATTCACAGAACAGTTTTTCAGTAGATCAGGATTCACGGACACCAAAAATGGTCAATCATGGCTTCATGAAAATAAGCCTGCCCCCGCCCCTCAACATAGACTTTTACAAATAATTTAAGGCATAAAGGGTTTGTTGCTTAAATCAAAACTAACTGATACATGACTGTAGTATGTTAGTAACACATTAATATACTGGTCCTTTAGATCCGTTAATGAGTGGTTTTGAGAGTTATCGACAGTTGTAATAAAGAACCCAATTGCAAAGTGACCAATAGATATCAAAAATTGTTGATAAACACCAACAAAAACCAGGAATAAAAATATTGATCATGTTGTCATGATCATGTCAACTTCTCTTAATTGAATGGCTACCAATTTCTCACAATAATAGATTAATCAGCATTGATAATACAAATCCTCAGTGAATGACACTGATAATTACTGATTGACCACACAAGGCTCATTTCTCAAATGTCATGAGAACACATGGCTGTAAAGGGCGGAATATCATACCTTAGTCTGCTTCAGTCTTTCCCGAGGAGGGACTTGAGCCTCTTGAGCAGTTTTTAATGTGAATGAAGATAAGTGCTGCAGAGAAAAAAAAAACACAGGGTTATGAAATGGTCAAATCCAAGACTCGCTGGGTTACCAGGACATTGCTAAGAAATTTGAGACTGCTGCGAAAGGTAAAAAGACTGAGAAGCAATCAAAAGAAACTCTGCAAACAATTGAGCAGGGTTGTCATTAAGAGCCGGGGGCCAGGGATTTCCCCTGGCTACCAGGGGTGTGGCCTCTGGCTACTTTTATTGGAAAATAGAAGAAAAATAGAACAAATTGAAATCCCTAGTTGATTAATTCCCTGCCTACTTAATTGCATTTACCCAGCAACTTGAAATCTTAATGACAACCCTGATTGAGACTTCAAAATTCATTACAAATGGTTCCACGATTTAGAGATTGAACAAAAACTTTTCAAGACCTTTTGCTTTCTACATATCAATATGACCACCCCAAAAAATGAGATAACCACAGAGCATACTTTTTTCTTTATTCCAGAAGAAGAAGAAGAAGAAGAAGAAGAAGAAGATCACACCATAATAATAATAATAGTAATAGTAACAAAACAATAATAATAATAATAGACATAAAACAGTTGAAATTGTTATTGTTACTACTCTGCCTATTTTAATACAAAGTAATATGCCTCCAAACAGAGGGTAGGCGGGTAACAAAATTTTTGAAAGTGCTTTTCTGGAAGCTGACTGAATAACAACCAGGTGAGGCAATGCTAAGATGTATTTGTAAACTGGGGAAATGCTCTAAATTGAGATACTTCTAGCCATGAAAAGCCTTTGTTCACAGCTAAAAGAGACGTCTTTCGATCATAGAAGGAATTACAAAACTACCGTATTTTGACCTTTAATGTCAGGCAGTCTCACACACCCTGCCCCCTTTAGATGTTACATTCCATTAACTGCATTTACCACGAGGTAAAATTAAAGTCTTATTACCTAGTCAATATTGTGTAAAAATACCTCAAGAAGAAAATTTGTCCTAGCTTGAAATTGACTTGCAGCTGGAACAGGCATCGTCTTGATATCTTACAAGACAACAAAAAGAAATACAAATATTATTCTATACTGGAAAAATAAATTCAAGTGTTCATTAGTTGTGCATTTTTAAAACTAATTTTCTAATTTAAAGTTTGACATTTAAAACAAGCCTCAAAGGCCAGAAGGCAAAAGGAAACTCACTATGGGCAACCACCAGGCTATGCAAGACCATGGTCCTGCACTACAACATACTGTACTAACCTTTATATAAATTTATACTCGTTACCTTTATGAGGTCCTAGATTTGGCGAGTTTTTGGGGGACTTTTTTGGACCAGTACCATTGAGCTAAAAAATAATAATAACAACAGAAGAATTTTAAAGACAGTAGAGAGAAGAATAGACATTGTCTAGAAAGGCGCAGAAAATTATTATGTTTTTTGTAAACATACCACACTATGAACAAAATTTTCATGACATTCACCTTGAGAAGTTAGGATTCATACATATATAAAACATATTCTGTTTCACCACTTTTTATTTCCTTTTTTTTCACAATCATTTTCATAATTTGAGACAAAGAAAAACATAAATTAATCTAGTTTCATTGATAATTTTTAAACTGAAGAAGAATCTGACCAACCTTACTGGTTTGGTCAGTGATGAGTCTATAAAGGAGAAGTAAATTTAGTAAACCAAACAAATATCAGTTATTTTGTCTACTTACCATTCTTGGCCCTGGTGGAAAAAAGAGTGAAAATACAAAGTCAGTGAATATGTTGTGGTTCAAAATTGTCCCTGCTTTCAACTTAATTTTACTTTGTAATTTGACTATATGGTAATCTGTGATAATGAGTCTGAAACAAAGTATTATAAAATGTTAATAAACCAAGGATAAAATTGAACCTATCTTTATAACGTGCAATCAACAAATGCTGAGAAAATAAGTTCTTGCAGATGACTGGTTACAGCTTTAATCCCCTAAAAATTAATTTTACTTAAAAATAAAAAAAAAAACGTTTTATGACAACCTGTAATGAGCTAGAGCTAGTTTTAGCATAGTTAATCGAGTGGAATGGTTATGAAACCCGTCAGACTCCTTTGTTATATATTTTTGTGGACCTGAAAGTGCACAACGTTCAAAAGAATTCCTATCATTTTGATTGTATTGACCAATAAAAAGGTTGCATTAATTTATTCCGTAACAATTTGCCAACAGAAAACAAAGGATTGTGCACTTTCAGGGTACTTCCAACATAAACTGCAGCACTGTTGTTTTTATCATTGATGTTTGCCGCTTTTCATAACCAGTCTCCTCTAATAACTATGGTTTTAGTTAAGACAATCAAATTCTGAGATTTTAATAGTCTTAAAGCATGTGAACATCCAAAGATCTTCACATAGGGTCACTGAGGGTCAGGAAAGAACAAAACCAAAGTTCACTGAATGCACATGTGCACTGTATGAAATTCACGTGCTTACACCTCTAGTAGACTTAAGTTTGCTTAACTTTCCCAAGAGGGACATGCAAACAAGGAAATAATTAAAATAACTAATAGCTGTTACCAGCAAATTTCAGTTCTTATTCATTGGTATGTTAATTAGGGTAACAACTTCACAGATAATTCAGGTTGCTGTAAATAATCATTAGGAATAATGGTCAATAGTCATTGGGTTTCAACAGCACAGCAATGTTTGTATGTGTCATTAGTTCTATAAATCAACATTACAAGTTGCCAAGATGAGGATAGCACTTGCAATCACATTTATATGGACATAAATTTCATGGTGTATTGCAGCAGATTCTGAACAGAATCAAGAGCACAGTCAGGTCTATCAACAAAATATTATATTTTACAAAAATTGCATTGATTGCATTGTTGGTTCAAACAACTGACTTAAAATGAGAGGTAAAAATGTGGGAATTTAAAAATTACTTTTGAAGTTTTGAAAATTTACACATTCTTTTGTTGTGTTTATATTATATGTTATGCTCATGAGTAATACAAGATACCGTAAGTCTATAACATAAATTTAATTCAAGAGACACATATACAGTACTTACTGAAAATACCTGTTGCTTCTGCAATAAATGTAGCAATTGATTATTTTTTATTATCATTAATTTTAATTTACAATACCATTTGCATGACAATGTCATCACTTTTACTGGTACTACTAATACCAACATCCTCCAGGGATTTTACTTTGTTGAGTAAATTAGAGCTCTTGTTATTTTAAGCCTTTCTGGTATTACAAAATTTAAATATGAAAGAACAAAAATTATAATAGTATAGTGAAATGACACTGTGGGGCAAATGGCATGTTAGTTTCTGCTCCAAAAAAATTATCTTGCATCACATCTCTTTCAGGCCTGCTACCACAATTATTATCAACATCATGACATTTGTTTTGCCAATTTCTTGACCTACACTGTAGTCAGTGAAGACATCTTCATCAAGTGGCATTGAACTTAAGACCAGTAGTCTACACCATGACACACGCACAAAAAACACACCATGAAACAACAAGATCAGTAAGAGATTCTCGGAAACTGCCCACCCACCCACCCTTAATCTAACATCACCGCTTAATTTTCACTGAGGGCCAAATAAATGTCGCATTAGGGGAGGGGTATGTGGGCACTTTCCCAGAATCTTACGCTGATTCAAACAACCCATTTGATTACTGACCTTCCCAATCTCGAGTGTCCACGCCACTGTCTGTTGGGCTGGAATCTCCCGGCCTTCCACTCATCTGTTAAACAAATTATTATGGATGAAAATAACAGCAGATGAACTTGCACAGCTTCTGGTAATATTTAATTTGGCATAGTTGCTCACAAATTGTATCCTAATCATTGCATAATTTACATTAAGGAACCTTAAAGTTAATTTTTAATTTGTATTGGGAATTAGCGCTCTATAAATATTGTATATTATTATTGTATATTATGATCTGGACAAACAACAACATTTAAACTATGAATAATAGTAATTTCACTACTGCCGGTACTTTCTAAAGTGACCGAAAAGATCGCCCTAAATCAGTTTACTGAGTATTTGACTCAACAAGGCAACCTCACCTGTCATCAAAGTGGAAAGCGTAAATTCCATTCTACTGAAACACTAAGTTTGCTTGTCACTGGTCACATATATAAAGCGATGGATAAAAAGGAGATCACGGCTATGGTCCTAATCGACTTGAGTAAGGCTTTTGACAGCATATGTCATGGAACTCTTCTCACCAAGCTGAAAGGGCTTGGTGCGTCAAATGAAGCGTTACGTTGGTTTGAGAGTTATCTTACAAACCGAATGCAGTCGACACGACTTGGTACATCTCGCTCCATTGAGTTAACCGTCACACATGGCGTTCCACAGGGGTCTATCCTAGGACCTCTTATGTTCAGTCTCTACATGAACGACCTACCGTCCGTTGTTAAGTTTTCAAGTGTAGAGTCATATGTTGACGACACAAAAGTTTATCTTTCGTGTTCATCCGAAAACATTGACTCCTGCATTGCAAACGTCTCGGAAGATCTCCGACTTATTGCCTCTTGGTGCTGTACGAATAAGTTGCTTATTAATCCAGACAAAACTAAACTTATCCTCTTTGGAACGAAACAGCTTTTAAGTAAGGTACCTGACATTAGAGTCCCCTTTCTTGGGCAACAATTAATTCCTGTGTCCTCAGTCAAAGACCTGGGTATAATTTTGGACTCGAACCTTACTTTTAATGAACATGTTAACACTTTGACCTCGTCTCTTATTTCTATCTTATGCCAGATAAACAGAGTTAGGCACCTGTTTTCTAAATCAGTACTCACTACCATTCTGAACTGTCTTGTTTTTTGTAAACTTTTTATTGCTCGACAGTCTGGTCTGGAACGTTTGTGCACAACATAAACAAACTGCAACTCGTACAAAACTTACGCCGCCCGTGTGTTGACTAACACCAAGAAGTTTGATCACATCTCACCAGTGCTGCGTGCATTGTGTTGGCCTTCTGTTAAGAATCAGTTACTAGTGCGTGATGTTACGATGCTATACAAAATAGTTAATGGCCTTGCACCACCATATTTAGAGTGTTACGTCAACAAAAGATCAGCTATCCACAGCTACAATACTAGATCTAGGGACAATTTAGTCGTACCGCTTTGTAGGACAGCCACAGCACAGAGGTCCTTTAGTTACAGAGCAATCACTGCTTGGAATTCTCTTATAAGTGAAGAAACAAAAAATAGCGCAACACTCTCAGTTTTTAAGCGTGCAGTAAAAGCGAAATATATAATAGTTCGTAGTAAATTTTTAGGTTTAGCATTTTTAGAATAGGTTAATTTATTTATTTGAATTAGTTTTTTTTTTTTTTTTTTTATCATGATATTATTGTAATTTTTATAAGTCGTTTTTATTCGATTTCCAATTATTGTAAATTAAATCGGAAGAGCCACTGGCTGGAGATTTAATAAATTTACTACTACTACTACTAAAGGTTTTTTACCTTAGGAAAAAGTAAACTCTGTTGACTTGTGAATATAATGAGAGTATAAATGAAGTGCTTTATGCCCACTCTACTTTATAGAAAAATTTGCAGCACGAAAGACTGTTTTTGCCGCATAATAAGGTTTAATTTCCACATATTTTTTTAATTCAGTCTCATGGTAAACCCAAATGATGCAGCTCTAAAATCACAATTTCTTTATTTCTTCTCTGGATATTGTTATAGTAACAACATTCACATAAACACACAAAATAACAAACCAGCAAGTAATTTTCCAAGAAGACTTTGATTTTTGCATTTTTTTTAAATAGTTTTACCGCAAAACTATTTTTATCTAACTCGGGTCAGCAAAAATGAATGAATGAATGACGCCATCATACTGCTGTAATTGCCATGAACACCATGGGATCTTAGCGACACGTCAAACAATTTAAAAATTAACATCACAAACACAAAATAACAAAAATGTAAACATGACACGGATTGTAAACGAAGACAAAGAATAACTGGAACAAACAAAAAAACCTTAAACGAAACAAAGTTGAAAAATTCTTCGGTGCAATAGTTTTATGCGTAATAGATGACCATTTATTCAACAAGGAAACTGCTAGAAAAATTTGGATTACTTTCAAAAGAATGTTGTCCACCATTGCGTTGCAAATGAACGATTCGAAAACTTCGATATTTACCCCCATTTACTTCATCAAAAATTAACTCTGATCTCATCTGCATGATAAAAACTCTCATTGGATTAGTAGTAGAGGTAATCAGAATTGCGATTCTTTCTGCCTCTCTGTTTAAAAATTAGAGGGGTACGGTTTACCCTCAACCGAACTAACTGAGCTCCCTTTGCGCGCATGAATTTCATGCTGACTAATTAAGCGTCGTCTCCTCGTCAAAAATAGAAAACGCTGACGCGAAATGTTAATTATCAATATTACAAGTATAAAACAACTTCAGAGCAATATTAGAGAGAAAGAAATAAACTTAACTCTTATGAGGAAAACAACACACAACATCAACGAAATTTTAAAAGAAAGAAAAATTCCTAAGTTGAGCAAGAGCTCATGTATTTCGTGAACTTAATAACCCTCAAACCTCCGAGAAATTTGCTTTGATCAATGCATAAGGTTGAATGCAGAACGAGGTTCGAAAGACACGTCGAAAACGATACGGTCCCGTCAGGCCGTTCCAATACAAGAAATTGTACATACTCGTGTGGTTAAGGTAGCACTTCAGCAGCAGTGTACTTCAGGCTATGAAACTCCATTACGACGGTACGCGTCAGATGGCAGTCATCTTCGATTCTTTTCGTTTACATGAACGCTAGGTCTTACATACATTCTGAGAATTGCTCACATTTTTATTGAAAAACAGGCTCTTACTACAGCGTGCTCTAAAACAACGAAGCTACACCACCGGTGTTCTAGAATACCACTCAGACATATACCAACAGAACTCAAAATGACATGTCAAGAATGAACACCGTAAGAACTTCAGATTTGAAAGTAAGCTCAATTTTAAATGCTTACCTGACTAAATCTTTTCCTCTTACGACACAACAAACTACTACGTCTTTTTCGTAGATGTGAAAGGCTCTCTGGCTATCACTTTCTACATGGGAGCGATAATTTTTCCTCTCGAAATTTCCGCGTCAACCAGCCGTATCCACACACTTTATTATACCCTCCAATGAATATTTCCGGACAATGGTGCGCGCGAAAAGCGGCCTGAGGGCTAGGGTTCACTACTTAGCACTGTGCCAAAAAATCCAAGCCTGATATTCTCTAGGGTATTTCCGTAGTGAAGACAAATTAATTTTCAATTCCCCTGGTTCAACACAAAATATTTAATATCAACAAAGAATTACAAGCTTATTTTCATTCCGAGATATTTTTGAACATCTTTGGCACTTCAAGGCACGTGACCAATATTGAGCCCGCAAAGCTTTCGCTTCAAGATGGCGGCAACTTTGTTTCTTGGGGGTTTTATAAATTGCTTATAATCTGCACTGTTACACTTGATTTTACTGTTTATAGCGGCAATATTTAGGCCATGACTCCACATACCCTTAGCGGGGTGTAGCTGTGAATGCGCCTAAACAAATTTTCAGTGATTGTGTTTTTGGCTTTGCTAGTTGTGGCGTTGGTTTCAGTCAACTTCATCTTGTACAGTAAGCTTCAATTCAAAGATAGATTTAACGAGGAGAAGAAGTTTATCAAATTGAAGGTAAGAAAACGCAGTCTAAAAATAATCATCTTAAAAGGTCGTTGCCAAAGCGTTTACGAGAGAAATCAAAACATCCCACCTAGGTATTCCCCCAGGCATTTGACACCTTTGCCTTCCCTGCGGGGGATTTGCCAATAATGGCCTTCTGGGGGTGGGGATTGTATTTTTCATGTAAAAGAGGTAGGGAATAGGCCACTTGCACTAAGAGGTCATGTGACCAACACTTCCTTTAAACAATGAGTAGGAATCTTGCTGATGCCAAAAATAATTGTTAGAGCACACAAAAATTGTCTTACACCCGAAATTTGAGAGGAAACGCATTTAAGGGAGATATTTTATGGCACTTTGATTTTTCAGCAAAGTAGTATGATTTGTATTGGCCTCCAACATGGCGGCCAAAACCACTTCTTGCTCATATCTTGTTCAGCGTTTTCATATTTACGCTCAGATGTGCTGTAAACGTTATCACATCATCTCTTCAACATTTTCCTTGAAGTTTAAGTGCAAAATTTGTGTTCATAGAGAGGTAATTCATAACATAACATAACATAACATAAAACTTTATTTATACTCGAATTTTAGAGTAGCTAACAAGCTAATATCTTCGAGCTGACAATAATTTTAAAATTCCCATTTAGGTCACGTGACCATTTACGAACTTATTCATTTTAAGAAAATGGTGCGGGTTTAAAAAACCAAATTGAGTCTATTATTTCGTTTAAGATATTACCCACTAGGCGTTTTTCGAAGGCAAAATCATATAGCTTTCATTTTCATAAAAACGATGTCTCATGACCTCTTAGTGCAAATGGCCTATTTGAACCCTAGCTTCGATTTTCAGGATATACCCTGGTGCGAGCAGGCACCAGGATCGAAAAATCATTGCAGAGGCTGAATCATGGTGAGTTTGGATAATTTTTAGACGAAAGATAGTGGCCTTATGGCCGATTGGCTAAAAAGACAGTATGGGATAACACAATTTACAAGCTTTGCTCTGTCTGCAGACTTGGCTTCAAGAGCATTGAAAAGCTACATTTATAATTTTAACTATATTAGTGATTTTTCATTTCTGCAGGGTGGGGGTATTTGATCAACTAAAATTCACCTTTTTGGGGCCATTTGAATGGCTTTTTGGCCTAGGGATTGGGGAATTTGAACTCTGTAATTTAAAAAAAAATCAATATTATTGTTTGCAGGTTTTCCAGGGAGGGGTGTTGAATCTTGGATTTGCCCAATACATCAGCTTCATTTATATTACTAGGCCATTGTGGTTCCTTTCGTTTACTGGCACCGGGAAACTTTTGATGGCTAGCTCAAAACAATAGGAACTATCGTCATGGAAATTTATAAATACCTACAGTGAATTAATTGCCTAACGGAATGAAACCCCGGGATTGAAACTCCTGGACACTTTACTGTTTGATGACTGAGGCTCCACCAGGCTAGAACTGGTGTTCAAATATCCCACTTTATGGTAAGTGTTTTTCTCAGAGTCTCTCTGCCAGACAGACAGACAGACAGAGATGCCAAGGGCATGAAGTTGATTAGGCATGGTCAGGACATAGGTGTCCCAACTCATCATGTAAATGCTTTGGGGATCTGAGTTTTTTCGGAAGTCTGAGGTCTAGGTTTTTGCAATTGAGGTCTCCTCAGCCTTGGCACTGATGGAAGGCTACGTCCCATGTTGCTTATTCTGCTTGATTTAGTTGCAGGAACTGCTTCTAAGGAAGGTAGAATTCAAAAACCTCCCCACAGATTCATCTGGTCAGTACAAAATAGAGGCACACTTTCTACAAGCAAATATCCATCTAGGAAAAGATAAACATGATGTGACGTTAGTAACTCACTGCACTTCAAATCACCTTCACTATCTTCTGGACCTCACTACCCACTGGAAGGGACCATTATCTTTGGGTAAGGATGGTGATGTATGGATACAGACCACCTCCTGTAAGCGACCATGACAAATTTTTGAGGGATGACAATTTTATTCTTTTCAGCCTCTTGAAAGCGACCACTTGATGTATGGTCTGATCTTCATGTTTGCTGTATGTACTATGCTACTCAGTGTTTACGAAACATTTTTAGTGACAACATGGAAAAACTTGATGTATTTCATAATGTAACTAAGAGACTGCATACAATAAATTTGCTTTCAGAAAGTAGTGATAAGTCTTGACCTCTTCTCAGAAGAGACCCCCTAACATTACTCATGTTGTGGTTCAATTTTATCCTTGGTTTAAATTTTATTCTTTTGTTTTTGGGTATGGTAATGTATGATAATGATTTATAAACAAAAGAAAATAAAATTTAAACCAAGGATAAAACTGAACCACAACATTACCACCCCTCGTAAGCAACCACTAAGTCTTTGCTTTTTGGGTAGTTGCTTACTGGATGTTTGACTGTACATCTTTTTAACATTGATTAGGTTTGACTTTATTTTGCACTTGCTTTTCAGCTGTTTTTGTACCTGGTTATGATGTAAAGACAACCTATACTTCTCTGTTTGGCCTCTACGAGTGTGTAGACAGATTCAGGGACCATGTAACAGTACATTTAGTATATCCCCTGTCGCATCCCCCGATAGAAAATTCACTTGGACCCATCATACAACAGGCACTGGATCATCTTGGAAGTTGCGATGAGTTTATTGCTAAAATTAACAGCCATGACGTAGCAGGAAGAAACAGCTGGAATTATGCAAATGTCAAAGTATGTTAAGATTTTAAACTTTAAACTAATAGACAGTACCTGTTGCTGTAAATAAACTGTGTATCACGACACAAATGTATGCCATCACTGCAGGATCATATATGTTCCTGATCACTGTCATTATATTGGTGAAAAATATAGCAAACAGCTAGTGTGGCCCACTGGGTACTGGCTACTGCCTCAAATATCCCTGCTCTGCAAGGGGTACTCCTTTAAGTCCTAAGAGTGATCAGCATCAAATTTCTCCTTGTAATATCAATGCTTTGTCCAACAGAGTGGTCATGAGAATTAGGGACAAGATCACACAAGATGAATTTGCTTGATATTAACTTCTCCCCACTACTTCTGTAGGAAATGAATAGGGGGGGGGGGGGGGGCAACAACTGAGAATTCAAATTTTGATCTTAGGGGTTAAAGGGTTAATAAGCTACACAGGTACAGTGTATGTGCAGTGCTAAAAGGTAAAATAAAATTGATTAGTTTTTAACCATTTGTAGTTTGTTTAGCCAATTTGCATGCAAAAAATTATCCTCCAGAGCAAAAATATGTCCAAGAACCCAAATGATTATCCTAAAAAAAAAACTACGTTTCTTTAAATGTCGATATTAGCTATAGGTGTGGATTGTGGCAAGCATCTAAATTGGCCCTTTTCTAAGAATTTGCCCCTGAAAATCCTTCGAAATTTTACTTTTTTCCGCTAAAATCCCGCAAAATCAAAATCCCGCGAAATCGGCCGATTTTTCCGCGAATTTCACTACTTTTTTGCTTTTTTTCCCGCGAATTCCAATGAAATGAACATAAACTCCATTTTACTATAGGTACCATACCCAAACAACCTGTTAAGAAATGTTGGACGATCCGTTGTGCCCAGTGAACACTATGTATTTGTTGTTGATGTAGACATGATGTGTAATGGCAATCTGTATCAAAGCTTCCTTGGATTAGCAAGACAGCTCAACCTCTTTGGGAAAAGAAATGGTAAAATTTTATTGTTTTCTGAATGAATACGAACTTTACTAATAGTTTGGTGTTAGGACCAGTGATTAGAATAAGCTCTTTTTTATTGTGATGATGTGGTTTGATTAATCATTATTATTGTTATTACTATTATTTTTTATTTTATCATAAAAAATATCATGCACGAGGCAGTGTATAATGAATGTCATGGATGCCAGGAATGACGTTCTTTGTAATTTTCACATTACTTTCATGTCTGTTCAAATGAATGTGAAATGTTAAACTCATTGTTGATATTTCCTGAGAATTTTAGCCTGACTAGATTTTTGATTGACGGACAAAAGTAAGAATCAAAAGGTGCCTGTGGCTTAACTCGTGGATTAATTATCGCAGAAATAAAAGATGATAATGAACTTGCAATATTATTATTAGTCTACGAGTATACTTCAAGTCTGTCAAAAAATTAAAATATATTTTAAGTAAAAAAAACAAAACAAAACAAGACAACCAAAAAACAGTAAAAAAAGTTTCTTTGGTCAATGCTTTACCTATTGTGCCATGTCAACTAATGTTAAATAGAATCATTGAATTAATTATCTTTATCACTTTTGCCATGAAATTCTGCCGCTGGATAGTGTTTGAACATGGTAGAGCCTTATATACGGAATTGAAATATGTATTTGAGGAAAAAAGCATAGTTTTGAGGGTAAAAGCCGTACTTAAACTCATTTCGTCGCATTTGGAGAACATATGACAGACAAAGCGATATTAAATTAAGTGTCTCGCTAATCCTTCGTGAAGTCTCTTGCTGACGGCATTGGACAGCTTATAATACTCTGTGTTAACCTGAGGAGAATAAATTACGATTCAGCAACAATAAACTTACCTTCTTTATTCAACCAAACCACGAGATTGGGAGTCTTGTTGTGAGAAAAGTTAAACAAGCCATAAGTGTCACAGCTTTCTAAGCAGAAGCTGTGTTGTGATTTGCTTGAAATACTATCCATCCTGATTGGCTAATTAGATCGAACTTCCAGTTACGAGTGAGTGACAAATTTGCACCAGATTCCCCACAATACTGGTGAATAATCCATGAGTAAAAGCTGTAATAGGGCCAAGTACATGTAGAGTATGAAGCACAAAGAAATTTAATGTAGCCTGATTCACAGATGGTTCATTTATATTACATACTCTCTCTCAACTCTCTCCCCTTATGACTTGTGAGTGAGCAATTTTGTTCTTTGTTTCAGATAAAAGGGTGTTTGTTGTGCCAACCTTTGAAAGCAAGCAGAAACTTTCTCCTTTGTTGACAAAGCAAGAATTGCTTGATCTCTGGGATTCTGGCAGTGTGCAACCATTTTACTATCAGGCATGTTGGAAGTGCCAGCAGAATTTAGACTTTGATGCTTGGAAAAGGTATTTTTATAGCTGCGTTTACTTGACTTTATGCCCGAAATTTTCGGCCATTTTCCCCAGCTCTACCAAAGCAGCTGTGCTAACAGTAATCTCACACCCAGGGCTTTTCATTTTTCATCCCTTTTTCTGTCAATATCCGGTAATATTGATGTCATTTTACTCGATATCCGAATGTTTTCAAAATTTGGTTAACACTAGCTGGTCATGATGAATTAAGCTGGGGTATTTGAGCCAATCAGAAACTTAGAAATATTTTGAATGAATATTAATTCATGAATGGTAAATGGCTCAGCTTGTACTATTGACTTATAGTTGTATGAGAGAGGTTGCTAAGCACAAAAGAAGCGTAAGGCTCTTGCTTCTTAAGTGCTTAGCAATCCTCCCAAGGGCAACTAAAACTGAATAGTGCTAGTAGTACACACCGAGCCATTTACCAATGTATTTTATTACATAATAAAAAGAGAACAACTTTTAATTTTGCTCACAGATAGCAGGGGAATGACTTGACTGCTTTAAACTGCTCACGCTATGGCACATGTACATCTTTCTTTGCAAATTCTTTTCTTTCAAAAAAAATTGTTTTGCTGAATATCTAGTTCTCCGTCTTAATGTTACATTATCATCTATCGTCTTTGTAAACTTTCTTTTAGTGTTAAGAGAAAAATCTTTCTTTGCAAACCATGAGGTAAAAAATATAGTCATATTGGAAGTGATGAGTACAGCTTTGAGTGTGCGCTTAAGCTTTCATCACCATTCACCCATGGGCAAATAGCAAATGGCCAATTGACCAATCAGAGTGCGCGCTTTACGTCTGTTATGTTATAATGCATTTTGTCTTGAAACTACTTTATCTCTCACAGATTTGTTCATTTATCTATTTATTAATAATATGTTAAAATCATTTTATTTAATTTCAGTTATCACTCTTCAAACAACAACTTGCAGATTGCTTATACTGTTACCTGGAAGGACCCTTGGGAACCATTTTACATCGCTCCTAATTATGTTCCCTTGTACGATGAGAGGTTTAAACAGGTACCTGCTTTGTACAGCTATATAACAAGTTGAACATATTCTCAATCATCACAACTTAGGGCTATTAATATGTAAATTTTATCAACAAGAATGAGTGTGGCAATCAGCTTTATTCAATGTACTGTCCATAAATGGGGGAAGAAGAGAAAAACATGCTTGACTAAACTTCTTCTCTCCCATATACCCTTTAGAGCGAATTTCTTATGACCTTGAAAAATGGTTTCGGTAAGTGTTTGTTATTTGTTTTATCAGCCAACAAATAAAAAGATCAACCATGGACTCTTCTTTTTCCTGCCAAAGAAAACCCTTATATGGAGAAGGCATTGTTCGATTGGCCAATCGTGTTGCAGTATGAGGTAAAAGCGAAGTATTGCTTTATTTCTAGAAAGTTCTTGGGCATGAGGTTTTTTCATCCGAGCTTTCGCTTAACCAACCAGAAGCCACGAGCCTTTGTATCCGTTCAATAAACCAATCAAATGGCTCTATTTCCGTTCAATTGCTCTTTCTGTTTTGCTCATGCATTTTCATTTCAAGGTCATATGAAAATCGCTCTAACTCATTGATATTATCCAAACTACCTGTAACTGCCCTTACAGATTCTCACCCCTTGTGCCTCTTCTGACATCATCAGCTTGAACTGCCATAGACAGTATTGTACAGGGGTAAGAGATTTTTTTAACCATATGCCGGTGAGCATAATTCAGTCAAACAGGCCAAAGAAAAATGCAGAAAACTATCCACTGTTGATCAAAGTTTCCAATGAAATTCTTGAGCCACTACCCAGCTATACTTCTTTCAAATAATTCCACAAATCCTCAGTAAACTTTTCCCACTGAAATGCAGCCTAGTGCCATTGGAAGAACAGTTTTGGTTCTATATTGACCAGAAAACCGCTTGACTACATAGCTTCGAAAGGTATTTTTCATTGAAATTTACAGGGGCAAATGGGCCAATATCCAGTTACTGTCTTAGTTGGAAGCATGCAATGTGCACATAGTCCTGTCCAAAGAGTCTAAGGAAAAATGTTGTCCTCAAATTTTCTGCGTGTGAATGTTTGTTTTTTCAATATTTTACAATTTGTCACTTTTCCTAACTTACATCTCGCTCGCTGTTGTTGTTTAGTTATTAATTTACTGCTGTCACTATATGCTCATTTTCACATAATAAACTTTGAAATACACACTGTTGAACTTCTATTAAGTAGCCACCCTCGGGGTACCGGTGAGTGGCCGCTTAATGGAGGTTGGCCACTCAGTAAAGGTTTGTCCATCAGCATAATATTTGGCAGAAACACCAATTTATTTTGAAACAAAAGCATGATGGAAGAAGTATTACTTGTCACCTTTCGCCTTGGTCTGTATTTTCCTTCATCATATTCTTGAAATAAAGCCAAACTAAGTGAAAATCTTGAGATTTTGGGTTTAAAAGTGACACAGCAGTCTTGACTTTTACTTTTTCACATTTTCTCCTCCCCTCGTTTTTTGCTTTTCTTGCCTCATTTTTTCTTTTGCTGGGCATTTAGTAGGCTTATTTTGGTGGGAAAAGTTTTTAGAAAGCTTTCAGGATCTTAGGATTTAATAGTTGAAAGGAAAGGCAAGTAGGTAGTGGAACAAGATTTTCATGGAAATTTTCAAGTCCATGTTACATGGTTTTTTTGCCCTTTTCTCTGGTGTCCTTTACTGAATTGTGTCCATTCTAGTATGGTTTGAAAGATCTCTTCACTCTGCAAGTTAGCAGAGAAAGTTGTCCTTGACCATTAAAACTGATGATGTCACATTAGCGGTATAAGGGACACAGGTAGTTATGGGCAGCTCAGGGGCAAATGGATTAATTAGTAGTAAAATTATATTATTATTTTCTTTGCAGTATGGTTTTAATAGGATCAGCCAGGTTTGTGAGACTCATATTGCAGGCTTTAATTTTATGGTCCTCAACAATGCTTTTCTGATTCATCATGGATTTAAGGTAAAGGAAAGTTTCCACTCAGCAAAAGATGAAGAAAATGCACGAAACAGAGACATTTTTAGAACATTTAAAAAGGAGCTCAAGATTAAATATCCACGGTCAACAAGACACTGTTGAATTATGAAAGAATGGATACTGTATTTTTTAAAAAGGCTAGTGCTTGACGAGATGATATTTGACTCTAGATTTCAATAATATTATATTTTTAAATTTATTTAAGTATATTTTCACTCCGGAAGTTTACCCTAAGGGTTACAAAACTCATCAATAAATATGTTAGTGGTACCATTATAATAGTTGGAGGTTGGTTTGGAAAAATAAACATGTTTTGGTAGGAATAGTTATGTTATTTTAAAAGAAAAGAATAAAATGTTTGGAATGTAATTCAGCATGATGTTCCTTCCTATGTTAGCATCATATGCTATACCTTTAATAATATTAATACATTGGGATGTATCCTTTTTAACTGCCTCTTGCTAAACCATATTGAGGTCCATACTTTTAGTTATGGACTAGTTTGTTTCCTCTCCTTTGGATTTATGTCTGAGGAGTGAATTGTGTGGCCTAGGAATCTAGGAGCAAACGTAAGGTTCTTCAAGTATTATATCTTTTAGTTGTCGGAACAGGTGTGAAACAGCTGGTGTGTCTTACAGCCAAGGTGGCCAGAGCATGTGACAGCTAAAGTGATAATTATAATAACAACAGTAATGTTTTCAATCAGTGAAAGTACTCCAAATCTGATGACAAATTTTATTATTACTCTTCGAAAACACCACTTCGAAAGTAAACTATTTGTCAATGGTAAAAAACCTTTCCTGACTTTATTTCTTCAGCAGGAAAGTGAAAATTAGACTTAATTCAAGTTGACCTCTAATAAGAAGTAATTTTTTAGTGAATGGTGCAATCCAATATTTTTTAATTTCTAGTTGTCCCTAGCTACAATTGGTGACAAAATTTTTTACTAAGATCGACACTATTAAGTAATTTTTGTTGCCAATATTGATTGTAACTAGGGATAACTGGCTTGTAAAAATATATTGGATTACACCATTCACAGCTGCTAAAAATGTTGGGCCCAAGTAATATCACTGAAAAGGAAATGAAAACTTTTAAAAACCAATGACACATTTTAAAATGCAGCACAGACATTGACTGGGGTGATAAAATTAAGTTCTACTATAACTAGTTACAGAGTTTTTTTTAATCATCCATTAAAATCTGGGATCAATGTAACTAAAATATCAAAACTAGCTCAGACAGTATGACCCAATGTTATGTACTTACTACAGTTTTTTAAATGTCTAGTGCTTTCTTCATGATTTAAGAAGCTTGCCTTTCAGGGAGAGTAGCTGGTCATCCAGTTGAACAAATTCTTTTATGGTTGTCTTTTACTCTTTCTGAACTTAGTGTAGCCAGTCATGTTTGCTGTAGCAGGCAGACACTAAGCAATTTGTTTCCCCCACATATGCCAGCCTGGAAAACTGTCACCTCTCTGTTTTGATGCAAAAAAGTTGGCTCTTTCAGCTACCAAACATAATATCTAGAACAGCTTATGAGGGTAGAATTTCTTCTCTGGTGTTGGTGAGTCTAGTGCTGGTTTCTTTGGTGGTGAAACAAGCTTTGGGTCAGGAGTCATATAATCTCTGTGCGCTTGAGTTTCTCCTGATATGTCTGATTCATGGTCAACCCCATCAAGAAAGTCTAAAATGTCAAATGAGGAGCTGTGTTGAGTTGACACCATGGTGTGCCTTTCTGTTTGGGAAAATGAAGCATCTGGTTGCCCAAATAAACATCTTTGAACATCCCTAGCATGTAAAAGATCATTTTCCTTTTCCTCATCAAGAATCTTTCTCTCTCTATTGCTTACTCCACTCACATATTTGTCCTGCAAAAGTAGAAAATTTTGTTATGAAGTTATAGGTCCCTTTGAAGTTGATTTACATTTCTCATATTTGAAGTTTATTTGAAGTTTCATTTTAAGCAGAAGCCTTGACCTAAGTTGTAGTAACATTCAAGTTCAGATAACATTCTTGCATACTCAGAAATAGTGAAGCATAAAAAGGAAGCAAAATTGTGTCTTTTAAGTGTCATAAATTTTACCTGGAACTGGAAATGTAGGTTTGATTGAGATGCTCCTCTGCTTGTTTTCGTTTCTGTACAGGTACATCTAGAAGTAACAGTTTGGTTTTGTCTGTTGTGCTTTTTGATATCATCACTTGTCCTGTGTTGGAAGGCAGGTGTGTTTATTTGTTGCTCACTCCCCACCAAACAGGGGTTAGGTTGTTGTTCCACTGTTTGAGGAGCTGTTCTTTCAAGGCTTGTACATACATACTCTTCTTCAAGAGAAAAATGTTGGAGAGAAGGGTCATAAAGATTATGGTCCTTGTAGAATCAGACACTATGTAGAATCTATGCAAATGCTATGTCACAAAGCTATGCAAAACCTATGTTAATCACTCATACATTGCTTTAACCAGATCCTATGTTGTTTCTATGCCAGGACTATGTTTTTTGTATCGAAAATGCTATGTTTTCGCTAGTCAAACGGAACCTACTTAAAAGCTATGTAGTTTTTAAAGGTAGGAAAAAAGGAAGAAATGACATAGTTTCCACATAGCCTATACATACAGTTTACTTAGCTTGTGGAAAGAGATTTTAGACTTCATAGTCAACCTCATAGAAAAATCATAGAAAATAAATAGCCTTCACATAGGACTGAAATAGAGTTTACATAGTAAAATGGAACAGGGAACAGTTGATTACATAGCTTTTGAATAGGGTTTGCTTAGAATTTAGATAGCCTAGAAATAGAAAAAACATATGAAAAACATAGCCTTTTTAAAGGTGACATATACTTTGCATAGCATTAAAATAGGGAAAACACAGAACAAATAGTCTTTGCATAGGTTTGAAATAGGATTTTAATAGTATTTGAATAGGTAAAACATATCACATACACAAGCTGTAACTAGAGTTCAAACAGAAATTACATAGAATTGACATAGTCTCTTATGTATGTAGGTTTCGATCTGCTTAAGCAAATGTAGTGTTTAAAATACGTTCGTAAAAATCACCAAAATAGTAAAAATAGTATAAAAATATGAATTAGAATACCTTTTACATTGGTAAGAAATAGGTTTTGAAACGAAAAATTGAAAAACTATGGCAATATAATACCACGAACACTAATAGTAACACAAATGCAGTATTTTCATGGAGGTTTCAGAATCGAAACCCCAAGTTTAAGTTTGCTTATCGTGTAGACTTTTTGCTGATGTCGTGCTCTTCAGTGCCATACAGTTTCCTTTTGACTACAACGAATAAGTATCTGCAAACAGAAAAGTGGAGATTTTAAGGCAAATGAACATAAAAACAACCAGACGTTTTAGAATTGAAACGAAGGAATATCAAAGCGTGATCGACCGATCCTTGTTCAGATACGCGAAAAGGGGAGACAACACAGGCAGATCGAAACTTAATTGAGAAAAACATCACTTACCAACGTTAGGAATACTTTTTGTGGAACCTGGCAGGAAAAAGACTGTAAATTGAAGTAAAAAGAAGCGTCTTCTTGTAAAAACGCACGCTTACAGCTCGTCTTCTTTGACTTGAAAGCGCCCGCGTGGAAACAGACAATTTTCACACCTTTTCATTGGTTGAAAAGGCCCACGTGACGATAAAACGCAAAATACGCATGTGTTGAACTCACGGGCTTCCCTGGGAACTAGTGGAAACAAAATGGCTGACAAACATCCACCGAGGCAGGTAGCATTTCGTAGTTTTGACCATGCAGTTATGTTCAGGAGACGTCCACAATCAAGACGAAGGATCGAACCCAATGTAAAAGAAGAAAATGATGCATGGAAGTACCATTTCAAGTGAAGAACTCTAGGGAAAAGCTAGAAAGGAAAGTTAAGACAGGGATGATGGATGTAGCGATTCAATGCTTAACAAAAGTCTTCTCACTAAGAAACTATCTGCAAGCACAAAAAAAATTATAGTACATGATTTTTCAGTGTTTTAGTTTAAAACACTGCTTTTTACTTTGGAAGTATGCTTAGCCTTCTGTAAGCGCTACCATCAACATGCCTAGTCACTTAAAAGCTATGTTGGAATATCACATAGGAAACGCATAGACTACATATATTTTTCATATGAGTGACATAGGAAAAAATATGTTTATGTAAAAGCTATGTAGCCTTTATCTCATGATAAAGCTAAATGAAAATGTCACATAGTGAATACATAGGCTGCAAATATGTTTCATCACATAGCATAGAATATACATAGCACTATGTAAAAGCTAAGAAACTTGTTGGAAATAAAAGTGAAGATCGAAATGCTATGTAAAAGCTATTTTACTTTGATGCATAGTGAATACATAGGATGCTAATCGGAAGGAAAAGCAGAACTTTCTATTGCATAGTAAATACATAGCTATGTCAAGACTATGAAAAGATTTTGAATAGTATTTGCATAGGTATTAAAAAGCTATGTGCTTTTCAAATAGCCTAAACATAGTTTCAACATAGATTTTGCATACTTTGGACTATGTTGTTTGGTGTGTTACATAGTTAATACATAGGCAGTAGTGAACATAACATAGCTGAAACATAGTCCAACATAGTAAACAAATAGCATGAGCATAGGTTTTGCATATGTCTGCTTCTACAAGGGGGGACTTTATCAAGCACTTTCTCCAGTGATTATTGGATATAACGGTGTTACACTTACCCTCAGATTTCCTTTTCAAGCATCGTTTTTGAACTTCTGAGGCAACACAGATCCTGTTGCTCATCCTTTGTGCCTGACTGCTGACAGAACTTAGAATGAACAAGAAAATAAATTTTAATACACACAATTCCATGAAAATACACTGGGAAACAAAAACATGCCAGCACCTGAATATTTAAAAAACTATGTTACATGTTACCCTATGTGAAGAGAAAATAGAGCACTGGAGAAAATCCCAACAAATTGAGCAACAGCCCATAATTTTGCAGAGCACTGCATCATGAAGAGTATTATTTTATTTACCTTTGCTTGTACATTTTTCTCAGCTGTCCTTGTAGTTCTGCAAGGTAGTCTAAGAAAATGGGAAGGGTTTTAGCAGTGGCTGGCATAAAACTGTACTAAACATTGAATTATAGTATAATACATCATTTATTTTATACATCTCTACACAGTATTAGTAAGAATTAATATTTTACACATTTTTTTTACTATTTTACATGGGTAATTCAACTTGAACTTTCTTATGCATTGATTATAAGGAACAGATTTAATTATCCCACACACTAAAATGTCCCTCACTAATTAATCAGTGGTTGAAATGTAAATAATGGTGAATAATAAACTCACTTCTTCCATGAAATATCTCTGAAGGGTTAAGCATTCCTGTTAAGTTTTGTGATATTTCTTGTAATGGTGTCTAATAACAAAACAACTAAAATGTCATATATCAAGCGTTAGCAGCACCACTCTTTGCTGTTAAAAGAACATGCTGCCATAAAAAAAAACAAACATATTAATAATTTATTGCTTTTTGTTCTTGGTGCAAATTAATATGATCAAATGCTCCTTACATATTTACATTTATATCCAACCTATTAATTTACAAACTCTATGAAATATACAAGCAATTATATAACACAGTCCTAAATTAATTAACACCATAAAAGCTTAAAAGAGAGGTATTTTAAAATATAACATTTAAAAACTGTCATAAAATAATAATAACAATAAATTTATTAATTTGCTCTAGCACCTTTTAACATATAAGCACTGTACATTTTCTTCATAGTTTTCTAGATAAAATTTATAAGAATGACTCTGATAGATAAAACCAAAAAAAAACAAGAGGCTATACATATTTGGTTAATATAATAATATTGCTCATACCTAGGGAAAGGAAGGTTATTAGAATTAGTGAAATGATTACACGAGGAAAAATGCTTTGATCTGTTATCAAATTCTCTCAACTAATTCTTTAAGGAAATGTATGGAGATCAGTCTGGAGAATTTGTGTGCAGATATTGGGACTTAAAGGGTTAACAAAGGATCAATATTATGATCACTAACTTGCAGACTCAAGGGGCTAAGTTTAATATTTTGCTGCTGCTGAGACCCACTGACAAGAAGTGGAATTTTATTCGCATGGATGGGAATACCGAAAGGCAAACTTGAAAAATTTAGTAAAAAAATTCAGTTGGCAGAAAACATGACGTAGCTGGTCATTGATTAAACTTATCGGTAGTTTGGTGTGGGGAAGATGCCAGGCCAAAAGGAGGGAGACTAAAGGCAGTGTGGATGGTAACCATGACAATCCTGTGTCATCCTTCAGGCACCTTCACACTGAGAACCTCATTGGAGAGTATCACAGATCCAGATATCCAGAGGTAAGAGAGGGCTGGGAGCGAAGTAAATCTAAAACTAAAATTTATGAGTAATCAACAAAATGAATGTCTACATACACATACCTTGAAAGCCAGTGCCATTTCATTATGAGGTGTAATTCTACGTGGAGTAATTCTCCGAAGAGGAGTGATTCTACATTTTTCAGGATTGCTGTATTTTCCAGTTGAACTGCAGGAACTGTATAAAATGAATATCTTTCAAATAAATCATTCTTGATGATGAAGAAAGCAGTAAAAGATGAGAGATTGCATAAACACATGACGACAAAATAACTCAGCACAGTTAACATGCTGGAATTATTGAGTGGTTTTACACTACACTGTAGGAGGATACTGATTAGAGAAATATAATGTAACTTACATGTAGCGCATACTTTTTAACTTGTCCACAGCACAAGGCTACAGAGGCTGTTAAAAGCTGCATTTAGTGCATTTTTATTATTGTATCTAAACCTTGTTAACAGATTTGGTAGTTCATCAGTGTGAAGTATTCAGGAATTATTGCAATATTTAACTTTTGTTACCTGTGAGTCCTATTACTTCCTGAAGGACTCTGTGTTCTAGAAAAAAACAAAGGAGAGTTTACTATTATTTAGTTTAATAAACCCTTAGAGCACTTAATAAAGTATTGCATGTCTTTGCTGAAAGTAATCACTGGTTCAACTTACAGTTGGTCTGAACCTCGAAAATTGGAATGGTCTGGAGAATCTAGAAATTAATACATGAAAAATAAATTGATCAGTCAATCAGCAGTTATATATCACAGACATGCATTCCTGCAGCGTTTAATTTGAATTCTGAATAGATACCATCAAAATTTATATTTTATTTTATTATTATTAATAATATTTTTGGGGTGGAGGGAAGTAACAATGTAAAACCCAGGAAAAAAATTTTGTGCAACAAGAAATCCAGGAGCAAAATCTTACTGGTTTCCTTAGCATTGTGATAGGAATTCTCCATATTATCTTAAATAGTGATTATTTTTATGCATGATTTCCAGCACTGTTTAAGAGAAGAACTAATTTCCATGCACTCGTTGGAAACAAGTGAGAGGAAATATCAATGTAATGTCTATCAACATTATACTAAATTAGATCCCATGTTTCAAGTGCACTTTGCACATTACACCCATAAAGGTGTTCCAATCAGTCAAAACACTTAGGGTCAGTTATTTACTGTTTAGGAAATCAGTGGGTCATTTTAAGAGGACAAACGCATTCTTAGTTTAAGAGCAGGATTTTGTTAAACACTGGCTACACTCTGTTTAAATAACTGGCCCGTAACATTTTGGATTTCTCCATTTACCTTGCCCATCAAGCAAACCAGCACTGCAAGATGGTGACTCTAGTTTGAATGAGGAACAGTCCAGAACCCTGGCCATATCTCTTGCAGTTTGAGTTTTGATGTCCTCAAATTTCTGAATGAAAAAAACAAAAAAGGTTGAAATTCCACATATTCCTTATCTAACACTTCTGCAAGTATAACAATGCACTTCTTTTGCTTTAGAGCAATTTCAGTTGACCCGTGAAACAGTTAATAACAACTAGTGCAAAATAGCTACAAATAAACAAAAGAAGACAATAGAATTAGTGCATAACAGTGCATAGTATTCTACTACCTATTTCACAGGTTAATTAAAATCACTCTAAATGGCATTTATGATGCTTGTAATATCCATGACAGTTAATTACAATTATAGGATTTTTTCCTGAGAACTAACAGATTTCAGATTTTTTTATTTTTTGCACCATTTCAAGAGGGTTACTACAAAAATGTGCATTTGACCAAAGGAGCTTAGGCTTTTGAGTTGGTCACTGCCATGTGCAACTAACTGGTGTAGACATTTAAGTAACAAACCTTTTTACAGAACTTCTTCTTGAGATTCTCTGCCATAAAACAAAAAGACTAAAGGTAACAATGAATGAATTCATTTAAAAGGCATTTTTTTGCAGGAGTGGAAGTAGGGCACCATTACCCTTTTGTCTCTTCTTAAAAACTATTGAAACTTGCCACGGTGGCCACCTTCTTGGACAGAAGTAAGTATTTGAAATGGGGGTGTTTGTATCTGTTTGGACAAAAAAAGAGGCCATTGTAGAGACGTGACAAATAGTATTTTCCACTGTAATTAGCATTAAAAAAATCCCTTCTTCAGTGAAGGCATTCTTCAAAAGATGAAAGTCAAGCATAAAGACCATCTCTCTACAGAAAACACTTTTTTGTACCAACAGATATATACATCAACTCATGTTTTAACATGTCTACAATGCCTATTTACTTCTGTCCCTCCCCAAAGTTGTGGCCATTGCAGAGAGGTTTGAATTTACTTTTTTTACTTGCTTTCCTGTCTTCTTACCTCTCATTACAGTGTCGGATCTCTTTGCTTTGTTGTAGATGCCTAAACTTCTCTGTGAATAACAAAGGCAAGTTAAGAGCAAAAGCCACAAATTGTCTTGTTTGATTGTTTGTTTACAGTAGAGTTTACGTTTTCTGACAAAATGAGGTAATTTTCTTACAGTTATTCTGTTCTTTGAAATGATGAAGTCCTTTGAATTATTGTGATGCTGTTTTCTGCTGTTACGGTCCTGAAATAAATGAAATTAATGCATTTACTGGTGAATGTTAAACTCAAAGCCATTTTGTCTTTTAGTAGTTATAGTTATTGATTTGTTAAAGGCTGATTTCATAACTCTGCCCTTAATCCATTTAATTATCTACTGATCAGTTATTAGCATTTTGTTTTGAGCTAATTTGCAATAAATTATTCCATGTTTTTCCATTTACCCAGGTTACTACACTGTAACAGTCTAACAGACATATTAGGAAGGAAAAATACCACTGGGCTTATACAAACGTGATTTAGGTGTTGCCAAAGGTATAGAGGTTGGGCTGAAAACAAAGTTTTTCCAGATTAAAAGTCGCAGCCAAGCATTATTTAAAGACGTCTGCACGAAAACTAGCATTTAAAGGAGTATGATAGATCACCGTTGACGAAATTACTTTAAAAAGATTAACAGTACCTACTACCTACTACCATACAACTCATGGAATTTTTTAATAGTGTACCTCTTTATCAGGACTTTTACGTTTCGATCTTCTCTCAGTATGTCTGTTTTTGCTTGTACAATCTCTGGAAGCCAGTCCTTTCCTATGATGTGAACTTGTCATTTGCTAATGAAAAAATAAAAGCCAACGTTATCAGAAACACCTCCCTCCCCCGCCCAAATCTTTCCGATGTTCCCTCGATTTCGCGAGGAAGGGGGTTTGCTATTTCATTTTATTCTGCCTAAGATTGTAGTTTTTATTTATATGAAGATTTAGTAATTGGCTGAAACTTTCAATTAACTTTCAAACTGAAATTAGGTAAGAATCTTTAAGTCCGATAGTCTAAAGATGTCAGTGTTTTTACGTTTTATTTCTGTAACCTTTCAAGTTAAGCACAACTAGGTCAAATATTCGGCAGATGCCTAACAAAAGATAGACATGAAAAGACAACTTTCAGGTAATTAATAATATTAATTATGACGTCCCGATTCCTTTTTTTTGGGGGTGGGGGAACTTATAATTGCACATTTTTTCCGAAAAATAATGTCCTTAGCCCTCGACGTGAAGCTGTCATCCCTAAACGGCTCGTTTCAAACCTTTTGATAAAGGGGATTCCCATTACATCCTCTTGGCTCTACTGAACTATATCAGTGTAAAAAAAAATGAAAACTGTTGTAACAGGTTTACCTTTTTACTAGATTCTTTTCTTCCTCTTTCACTGGATTTACGTGCAGCGTCTTCGTCTGTTTTCCTTTCTTTCGTCTTTCTGTGATTTTCAGCGTCGCTGCTTATTTCTTCGATGTCATCACTATCTGAACCCCGTTCGCTGCGAAGCGACTTTCGAAATATTTCTCCCTTCTCTTCAGCGATTATGGGAAAAATAATATGGATGGAATAAGATATACCTTCAATATTTTGCGAAAGTCGTAGATTAAGATTAAAACTTGAGCATATAAACAAGCTTACCATTTCGACGCTTCAAACGCATTTTGACAACATGTTTTGGTTTGGGATTGACCCTTCACGTGTTAAACTCCATGGTTCTTTCATAGTAAGAGCGCTTAAACAGAAAAAAGTATGTAACCTACTTCCTCCGTTACCTTTTTGTAAATTTTAAACAGGACCTTTTAACGGTAATGTGCCGGGTCTTCGAGGAAATAACTAAAAAACAAAGTACAAAAAGCTGACTACGGCCATCTTGCAATCCACCTTGCAATCCACCTTGCATGTTCGCGCGCTTACCACCCCTTGGCCCTTGCGATGGCCCTTGCACACTGACCGCGCACTTTTCCCGCCAAGTGAGAACAATACTCAAAGTCTTTCGTTTCTCATTTCCGGTTCCGGTAGCTGGCCCCAGCAAACGTACAAACGCTGTTCTCATTCTCGGAGACCCAGGGGCAGCTAGTCGGGACTATAGGATGTTCGATCTTATAGTAAACTTTCACCGCGAACATTCTATCGTCCCAACTAGCCCCAGCTGTCCCTACTCCGAGGAGAGAGGATGCCTAAGGAATTGCCCAAGGATGCCCTCTTTCTTGCTCCACCCTTCAGGGCGGAAAAACGTTCTGCGCAAGCTTCTGTGCATCGCCTGCGTTTGTTTGTCTCATTAGGGCCATTAAATAAGACGCGAACTATACCATTTATACGAGCATGTCTTATCTAATAAGACGCGTCTTAGCTTATTTTAGACGAAGTGTGCCGTTTATACGGAAAGTTCGCGTCTTATTTAAGGTAGCTGAACACAGTTTTTCGGGCGGTCAGCGGTGACTCGCGTGACCGCAAGCGTTTTAACTTAGACAAAAAAAAATGGCGGCGAAAGAGCAATGGTACACAGAAGACGATTTCTCAAAATCTACTCATTAGAATTTTGTGATATTTGGCAGAATTTTTACTTTTATCGTATTTTAAATAATGAAAACTTTAAAATGGAATTTCAACAGACGATTTTTGTGACACATTTAATAATTATAGTACAATTATATTATTGATTATCTGAAAACCCCTCTGTTAAAATTTGGTCAAATAAATTTCAAATGATAATGATTACAGTCAAACCAGGTCAAGGGTACCCCCCAAGAATCCATTAATGCATTTATTATTCAAAAGTTGAATCGGTTGCTAGTTGTAGATTTCAGATTGATCTCTGCATTCTTGTATGTGTAATGAGCCGTGCCGTGATTCACACGCGAGGCAGTTATGAAATTTCTACCAGCTCCATTTTCCTGAAATTGATGTAAATGTCTTCTAAGAAGCTTAATCCATTCAAAGATTTCCAATCTGACCAAATACAGAGAAGTTCTCGTAAAATATTCACTGCTCATTACGCATGCAGAAATGCCGCTTTGAATTTGACACCTGTTACGGGAACGACTAACGGATTCATTTTTCAAATAATCAATTCACTGATAGAATCTTGGGGGGTACGCTTGACTTGGTTTGACTGTAATTATAGTAAGCTGAGTGCAAGTTTATAGGAAAATCTAATGGGTGAATTTTCTGTAAACTGAGCAGAAGTGAAATTTTAAGGTTGTATTCAATCGTTCATGTTGCCATGGAAACTACGAAAATGTCAAATTTTACCTGTAAATCAAAATCTTTCAGCAATATATTTTCCACTTGTCAAGTTTCAGCTTGTGAGCTGCAACCCTTCTATTGCCATGATTTAGCAAATGACATATACTCAGAAACTGCCAAAACTGTGTTCAGCCACCTTAAGACGCGTCTCATGTAAGACGCGTCTTATTTTTCCTCGTATAAAGGGCCCTATTCTGTGAGAGTGAATGAAATACACGCGGTGCGATCGTTTGCTCCTTTTAAAGGCTCCTTTTATGTTTCTGTTGTTGTTGTTTTTTCGTCACTTGAAAATTACTTTAGATTCAGAACAACCAATGTTAGAGCAAAAACAGATCATCTGTCAGTCTGAGGAGGAATAAAACGTTTTGAACATTTCCAAAGAGGTTTGTATTTTTCTGATAATTGTGCATTCGATTTGTGAATCGATTTTGTGTCCAGTTCTTCGCCTTCTTTCGCAGGACTGAATTAAAACCCGCTTGTATTCTGTTATTAGTAGTTACGGTCAGATTTTTTACATGCCCAGATTTATTTACCTGCTTTATCCTTGTCTTATGTCAAAGAACCGTAATGCTAACGCTTGCGAGTGAACAAACTTGGGCGCTTAAAACTTCCCCGGAACTTTAGAAGGCTAGTAAGCTTACTCGAGAAGAAAAGACTACTTCGATCATTTTTCTGTTGCTTAAGTAATAATAGTCAGAGTTTTTTTCCTTTAGTTTTTTCAGTTTTAAGTACATAGCTTTGTTATCTTTCTGTACGCAAATTTTTCTTTCACTCGCTGTGAAGTAGCGGAGAATGACAACTGCCGGCAGTGACTCCAAAACAATCGACTCTTTGTCCGTAAACAATTGCTGGACTGGCTGGATTTGACTGAAGAAGCGAGCAAAACAGATCCTTATGTGCAGTTTTCTGTATTTTCTAGCGATTCAGTTTGCTGAGTTTAATTTGCTTGAATGAAGACCCTCGCATGGACCAGTTATTACTAAAAAAAAGTAGCTAATCTAGCTAAGTAGTCGGAATCATGGCTTGGCTGCAAAGCTTGCAAATGATCTTTTGCTTTTAAGATCTTTAGGTAGGTTGTTTCCGTAGAGAAAATTCACTTCTTCTTTGTCAGCAGGTATAGGAGCTTAAGCCTTGTGTTATTTTAATGAAAATTTGTTGTTTTGCAACATTATTGAAGCTTTTTTTAGTTCACTTAAGCTGAATTTTATGCATGATAGAATTGTTCTTTGCTTGTCGCATCTCTTTGCCAGCTTAAAGTGGCGTCTATGGTCCTTAAAGTGATCTCAATCGGTGATTAAATCTTATACATAATTGGAAAGAAGTTTTTGCAATAATGTAACTTTAACTTTGTTTGAAGGAAATCTTACTTACGCGTAGATTTTTAACAGGTGTTATGCATGTTCAACTTAATTGACAACACAAAGCAAAATTAATCTGCGCGAAACGATCAAGTTTAAAAAACTATGGTTGCTTTGAAAACGATCTTGGGGAAGATTTACTAGATAAAGATTAACTCTTTTTCTGCCCACATATCAGCTCCAAAACTTCTACATTGAGGATTTTGTTTATATTTTAGTGATCTGCGAAGCTAGAAGTGTCCGATCGAGTGCGATAAAGTTCAGTGACTTCAAACACATTGTGGGCAAACTTGAATTTCTATGGGCAGATTATTATACAAAGATATTTTGTTTTTCTGTCCACGGTGGAGCTCCAGACCTTATATATCCAGGAACTTCCTTATATGAACACATTTTGTGAATGCATCTTGAAAAAAATCAGACTTACGCATGCACATTTCCAGTACAACTCAAGGAAATTAGTAAATGTCGTTAAAGTCCGTTTTACTATGATGTATTGTTCGAGAAAATTAAATAATAAGAAGGTTATAGCCACAGCTCGCAACTTTTGAAGACAAATTGCCTGTTCTTTCCAGGTTTATGGCCGCACAAGCCACTTCTGCGCCAAGTCGACTCGAAAAACTGTTTTGAGTTTCCCGCTTTTTTTCACCTGACCAACATTGACGTTACAAGCTGTTTTTTCCGACAATTTTTCCGACCGCTCTACGAAGATAAGGGCCAAACAGCAATTTTTAATCGCGAATATCTCGAAGATACTTGCTTCAATTGAGCTGAAACTTAGTATGTTTATTTGGTTCGTATTAAACACATTTCACTAGAATTGAATTAAAATAAAAAAGGTCGAAATTTTGGTTCATTTGACCTTTGTGTATTGTTATGATGTAGGTTATAAAGCACACTCATTGTCCTACGATTCTTACAAGAGGAGGAGATCGCATCAGAAGTAACGGTAAGTTATTTAGCCCATTAACCTTTAAGTGACTAGTGTTGAAGATTTCTCCTCATTCTTACACTATTCAGTCAAACGTGAATATTGATAACAAGCTAAGCTGGCAGGTCACGCAATCTCACGTGATCTTGGAATGACGCAATGGTGAGGTAAAATTTCTCCTTATTCTTACACTGTTCAGTCAAACATAAATACCGTGAGAAAAAGCACATGATCAACAGGTGAAAAAGGTCTTGGAGCTAGGATATGAGCGAAGAACGTTGTGGAGAACGTGTATATTAATTTTAGTGTTCAAAGGGTGACACCAATCCCCGTGATACTGTTTCTTCTAGTGAGAATTTTAAACTCCATAGTTTTTGCTCTCTTGCAAAGGTAAATTCGGCGGACTGCAGAACAAAGCTCCTCCTCTTGAGAGAATGCGCGGCGCAGTGTTCGCTGCGCCACTTCCGCTGACATTCCATTCACTGACTGACAACGCAGATCGGTGAGTGACAAATAAAGCTCTTCTCATTTTTCACCACCAATGTATAACTCCAACATTGTTGCTAATGTTTTTCTTTATTCATTATGTTGTCAGAACAACAACAAGCTTTTAAACAGTCCGTTATTAAACACACACAAGCCAAGGAAGAACTTTCGGTAAGCTTAAAGAAGCGCATCGCATTGGTGCCTTTTTTTATTTATTTTTTCCTTTCGTACACAAGTCCACCCTGCTCTCTCTCTTCTTTTCTTGAGTGCGGATGAGAAGAGGAAGCTCTGCCTAAATCGTGTCGAGTCTTGTTTTAACCCTTTAAGTCCCAATATTGACCAACGTCAATTTTTTCCTAACAATATCCGTATATTGTGAAGAGACAAGGTTATAAGAATTAATAAAATGATCGTCAAAGAAAAATGCCTTGATCATGTAGTAAATTCTCTCAACTAATTCTTAAAGGAAATGTATGGAGATCATTTTGGAGAATTTGTATGTGTATATTAATTAGGGCTTAGAG